TAATTGAATGGGAAATTAATTTAAATTCTACATGACGGCCTGGAAAAAAAAGAGAGGGAAAAAACATGTCGGTGCATACGCCGCGTATTTCCGCGCGACCCCGGCAGGCCATTGTTGGTGCGCACGCAAGCTTGGGGCTGACCGTGTGCACGTGTGCAGCGCACACGTGAAAATCGGCTTAACCTCAGCCTATACGGCTACAATATGGGGGGGGGGGCGCATGATGTAGGGCGTGGCTACTTAGAAAGAGGGCGGTATGAGGGTAAGGCTGCATCAAGGGTGCATGGTATGGAAAGCGGTATAAATTTTGTCAGTTTTAGGGCAGGAATTGCTCCCCTTGAAACGGGTCAATTGTGCCAAATAATAAGTTCACTTTGCGCATGATTTATTAAAAAAATGGTTTGGCGTCGTAAATTTTGGAGGGTATTATACTCAATGATGGTTAGCAGGGAGAAGGAGGGGGAGGGTACGATTTTCTTATTTTTGAGGCCAGGGGGAAGACCTCCCGAAAACCCCACCACACCCACCGTTTATCAACCACTGGTTAGCGAAGACGCTGCAATACCTTCCAGCAGTTTGAACACAGAATGTCTGACACGTTTTATTCAGTGTTTGTGGAACGAATAGCAGGTATAGAGAGTGTAAGAAACGTCAGAAAATATCTTGCAGGAAGCTAGTTTACTCAAAAGATAAGGAAAGAAACGTTGGAAATTCCGGGGGTCGTTACGGGCCCGTCGCCAGCCTTGAGCGTCGGGGGGGGGGGGGGGTAGTACCAACTAGGGAGGCCCACTACTATAAAAATGCAAAAATGCACATGTAGGCCTATGGCGTTTGCCGTTGGGGGGGGGGGGGGCAATTGCTCGCCAAGGGGGCCCGGCCCAACCCCCCCCCCCCCCCCCCCCCCCGGCGACGGGCCTGGGTTGTTAATATAGACCAATAGAACGGTGCTTGTTCGGGACACATAAACCAACTAAAATGAAATGTGTCGGTGCCAATTTGAAACTGGCGTTTACACTAGATAGTTGCGGAACGAAATTAAAGTCTTTCTTATCAATATGATATACGAGTGCCAAATTAACCGGGAAAACGTACATTTCAAGTACCATTATCACCACTGTAATGCATACTAACTAATAAAAACTTAAGATATACTGTCTGCGTTCTTTATAAAAAAAATTCTCGTAACGATTTTTCAACTTGTATGATTTATTTTAAGGATGCATAGGCTTACCCAATGCTCTTAAAGGGCATGTACAACATTTGCCTTCGCTGCAATTTTCAGAAATAAACTTGGAAGATTAGTAGGCATAGCAAATATTGTTTTACTGACTTGTTTCACGTTTTGGGCTTGTTGATGCTGGAAAAACCTAGAAAACCAAAACTGTTCTTGTAATCTGGCTCCCTGACCCCACTTAAGATGAAACGGAGCAATTTGTAGACTTGGGGAATTGTATGGTCAGAGAATCAGTCTAGCAGGCTTGTACCCCTTCACAGGTGTGCAAAGAAAATGCGGAATTACTAAATATGAAAACATAGGAGCAGTTTTGGTAAAAAAAAGCCAGTTTTTTTTCCAACGCTGGTCGGCCGAAAATACAGTTTTTCTTGAAAATGTCAGCACACCAGGAGCCACGATTTTACAGGATGCTTTAGACTGTCATTTCGTAACAATCCAGTAAGGTATTTCGTGATAACCTGATCGTTTCGGTTTCTGATGTTTGCAAGTGTTGTATCTTCCCTTAAAAAAAGTTTTCCTAACGAGTTTTCAATTAATTTTTGTGTTGTTTAAACAAAATATCTACTTTATTTTGAGCGTCTGCAACCCTCTGAAAAAAAGGGCTTTCAATCTTCTGCGCACAAAATTTAATGAACCCGCCCTGCGAGAGCCGAACTATTGTATGGCAGTCTATCATTTATATTGTGAAGAAATAATTTCAATATAACTCAGCATTGGTAGATTTTTTCGTTCGATGTCTCACTGAAAAGTGAACACGTTTTTGTGTTAATAGCAATTGAAAAAGACCAACTTTTCAGGTAAAACTCGAAAATAGCATGGGAAATAATTTCTATTTTAAAGGATATTCCAAAACGATATCTGAGCGGGTTTTTTTACCCGGAGTGTCCAATGTGAATTTGCTGGAGAAATACGAAACAAATACGGACTTGCCTTTGCGCAAAAGACAGATCCGCCCTTCATTAGTGATACTGATAGTGGGGTCGGGAACCAGTCTATTTTGCGATGACTGAATTGTTATCGGGCCGCAAACAATTCGAAATTTGTAAAGCAATAAACCCGTAACTGGACGGGGGTCTATCCGATGTTCCCCAATACCTATGTTCCCCAATACCGATGTTTCCCGAAATCCTTAGGATTAGGGTTAGGGTTAGGGTTGGAGAACATCGGTTAGGGTTAGACGTGGGTTGAGTAGATGTCTCGTTCAAAATTGAATAACTTGTGTAGGCCTATGCTTAAAAAAAAAGAAATAGCAATTTAAATCTAATACAGTACTAAATACATGTGTTGTACTGTATTAGATTTAAATTGCCCTTTTTTTTATTCTAAAATAACTTTCTGGAATAGACTTTGGATCCCAAGGTATAGACGTTATTGTGGACTTTAGTACAAGCGAGGCATGCATTTATGCATTGGCACTCAGGCCCACCATCTCACGCAGCGATGCAGACAAGTGGATCGTCGCTCAAATTTGTCATATTTTTTTTTCTTCTTCCCCTTTTTTTTTTTGCGCGGGAAATTAGCGCGCTCAATACAATACGGCATCGTCTGTTTGTCAAGTGGCGCTCTAAACAACACGCAACTCACAACGTGTCGTCCCCCGTACGTACGTGCGGTGCAACCAGGGTGGTGCGCCGACGAGCGAAAAAAAAGTTGGCTTTTATCCGTGTCCTTATTCATACGTCTGCTCCGCGCGTCTCCGCCGTCCTCCCATTGTGATTGGCGCATTGTTGCCGGGGGACAAGAACATGTGACCACACGTGGCCCCGGACAATGGATAAGCAGACAATGTGATGGGCTTGCGCATATCGATGATGGCACGTTATTAGATGTGAGGGAGAATGAAAGGACAGCGGGAGGAGACAGCTTTTCTGCAATTCCATTGTAATAACGAGGATCGTCAGTGGCGTTCTCACACAGTCCGGGGTGGATCGTGGGCAGACAAGGCGATCTATTTCCGAAGAATAGACAGTTCCTTGTCCCGGTCAAGCCACATTCCCTACTCATTGATTTTTTTCCTCCCACTTCCCCGCCCCAGTCCGTTCGGCGTACTGTATCGTCCCTTGGGAATTTCTCGCCCAATGTTGTCATGCATGGATATCCGTGAGAACACACACGTATCCGTACGAGGCGATCGAGAGGACGATCTCATTAGCGTGAACTCGGTCGAGAAAATGAGGTCAGCCTTGTGGCTAGCTGGGTCTGGGGGCCGGGGATGGAGGTAACACGGCGGAGACGGAGTGGGGAGGGGTGTGTTTGAATTTGGTGTTATGGTACTTTTTCAATACCATTCAGTTGTGTCAACACTTAGCATCTCAATGTTCTAGATCTTTGTTGTGTCTGTAGTGGATGGAGGCTGGTCCTGGATTTCGGACACAATTTTACGAACTTTTGCAAAGCAGCGAGTTATTAGTTTTCAAGCCAGCATCTCATAGGCTATACACCAACAAAATCTTATACAGATCAGGGAACAATTCCCTAAGATGGCTGAAGTGCAAAAGTATTGTACATCTTTCCTCGAGGAACATGTGCTTAGCATTTCAAAACGAGAAAAAAAGTTGGGTTTTTTTCTCTTCAAGTTGATACCCCATTACCTTTTGGGCGGGACGCCAATGGCGATGGCCCACCCCAAAAATGTGCGTGTAGAGTTTGACAAAATAATGCATATAAAGTTGCACTGTGTTTTTCAATATGGTGTTACAGCTCTTTGAAAATGGTACACTATAAGAAACATCTGTAACATACCCCGTTGTTATGCACTGTCCACAGCGACAGCGCATTCATCCGACAGCTTAACTCACCACTTATTCAGCAAACTCGTGACCAAAGAGATATGCAAATTAAGATATGTATGAAAAGCTAATGAGCTACCTTTAATATGGAGCCACTTCGACAGTGTTCAAGCTCATAACTTTTACATATTAAGTTACCCATTTTTTTTGATTACCTTTTTGGGACGCACCCTGTATAGGCCTAAACCACTTGCTGTCAGGTGCCCCCTTCCTGAAAAATTGTGCATCCAGAGTGCCTCAGAATCGTAACCCTAGTTATGGCACTGGACGCAATGGTGACTGCTCTATGTTCCGACACCCCTATGTTCCGATAACCCGCACATAAGATTGTCTTACTCCCGTTAGGCCAAAAAAAGTCTCCGGTTTCTGGTATGCGCGGGCGTCGCCGTAGCCATGGGCGTCGGCAAAATGAAAACGTTTTTTTTTCAATGAAAGATGATGTCTCAAAACCGCCAAACTCACCAGTTTGACTGGAATCCTGCTGCTGCACAATTTTAACGTGTTTTAGATGGGGTTATGATCGAGAATAAGCTTTATGTGGCCTCTCTGGTCTCCCATAATATTTGCACTAAGTTTAGTCGGGCACCATTTGCAGTCATCAGCCGACATTTGAAGCAAAAAACACAGGTAAAAAAAAAAAAAAAAGCCGCGTCGCCGCTCCACTTTTTGGGCAAGCTCCATACCAGAAACCGGCGACTTTTTTGGGGGGCCTTAGGCTTAGGGTTAGGGTTAGTAATAAATACTTAGTGTTAGTAATAGGAATATGTGCAGTCGGAACATAGGGGTGTCGGAACATAGGGGTGTCGGAACATAGGCGTGTCGGAAAATAGAGGTGTAAGCGGATGCAATAGACTCTTTTACTAATGAAAAATATCGTACAGGCTATTTGATCTCAAGGTTATTGGTGTACTAGTCACCGATCCGAACTAGTCCTGATATCCACTCTATGTGAAGAACAAAGATCAAATAGGGGCAGATTTACAAAATGCAACTGTTTTATTCACTGCGTACTATAAAACATCTACAATGTATCTACAAAGTGACAATATTTCCAGCTAAACTAAACTCACCAGTGGAGTGAAGTTAAAATAATTGCGTCCTCAAAATGTTAAAAATCTCGTATCAATTCTATTATAGCACTCAGTAAAATCTTATAAATTTGAAAGACAAAATAGTTCTCATTAACATTCAGAAATTTACAGATAATTTCCCAAATAAAAAACTAATTCTATGATTTTGTACACTTGCAAACGTCGAGAATTTCGACACCTAAATTCAGTTTATAGAAAAGCATCATTGAAAAAAAGTGAGTAGGCCTATGCTACTAAAAAATAATTTGAATCAGCATTAGAATGATTAATCAATCAATTTCTGTCGCTAAATGTCTTCTTTTATTAAAATTGAGTATCTTAAAGACGTTTTATAAGAGCACATTTTTATTTGTATACATTTTTTTCTCAAATAGCGTGAGTTTTAGGCGGCTTTCAAAAAGGACGGAATAGTACAAAGACTTTCGCGTCTTATGGACGGAGGGGCTTAGTCTTCATTCCAGTCGGTAACTATAGACAGGCCTGCAAAATATGAGCATTAACTGGCCATTACAACAGTGGAACAGCCATACCAGACTTGAATCAAGGCCAGGGTCAATAGCACTGAACATGATTGTTTCCTTTAATAATCGTAAATGTGCATTGATCATAGGCTGATCAGAATGGCCTCCATTATCTACTCACATAAAAAAATATTTTATATATAATTTCAAAGTCGGACGGAATTTACTGAATTTGTTCATGGCGCAATGGATGGAATAGAAAAACAGTTACAAAGGCACACGGAAAATATCAATTTGTTCTGCCTCACACACAAATGGACATATGCTACTAAATTTGTCCTGTTGTAAGATACATTCAGTTTCTAAAAACATGAAACAAATGAAAACGTGAACAGCAGTCCAAAACATCTTTAAACTTACACAGAACTCATACATTTGATCATTGTAACAATGCTACTTTCAAAATCTTTTTAAAAAATAAAAAAGATAAAATCCTTTTAAAAAATAATTCAACATCCATTTGGAATTTGGAATGAAAAAAAACCCAACAACATTGGATAGGACTAATATAAGAAATAAAACCGAAACATCTGTAGTTCAGCATACTGATCATAATTTTCACACAAAATTCAAACATTGACAGAAATGTACAGTACGGATATATTAATAGTGGAATCTCTTAAAAAATACATTAAAAATCTGTGTACACAAATCTACAAAAAAATACTACTCATAAGATTATTTATTTTTTTTATGCAAATAATTCTTCTGTTCATAACAGCTGCACTGAATAAAGAAAAATTACCAAAAATATACAAACACAATCCAAATCGCTGCTTCTACATCAAAACATCTCTGGAAATCTACAAAATTGAAATGACAAGTGCAAACCTTGAATTTTTTAATTATTCCTTATATGTGAACAATTCATTACAACTTGAAGGGTTATTACAATTGCTATTGCTAGTTTATGATAATATACTTGCCAGTATGTACAAAGGGTCATACTAGCCACATGAGGTCAAAGGTCATACACTCGCCATTGTTGGTCGGAGGTCATGAACTTGACATCATGGGTCTAAAGCCATGCACTTGCTACAGGAATGCTCCGAACCCAATGTACGTTTTGAATATAAAACGTATACAAATTCATACATTCAAACACATAAAAATATCACAGGTCAATCTGCTTTGTCAATGTAGTTGGTGTCAAAGGTCAGATGCTAGGGTCAAGGGTCATACACCGAGGTCAGGGGTGATGCTGCTCTACTTGGCAGCTGCGCGCTCCTTCATCTTCTGGGCCACCTCCTCCTCTACCTGCGCGATCTTCTTCACCAGGTTGGCCGTCTTCAACCCCAGCATGCTCAGCTGGGACTTGACAACGGTGGCGCTCTCCCCGCCGGCGGTCGATCCCTCTCCTTCAGTGGGCGCGGCCAGCCCCTCCTGGAGGGTGTGCCTCTCGGCCAGGGCTTGGCCCAGCTGGGCGTTGAGGCCATCCAGCTGGCCCTGCAGGGCACTGATCTGGGTGGATAGGAAGTCTCGTTGGCTCTTCAGCACGGGCGGGGCAGCTTTGGGCGTGGCCATTCTGAGAGTAACAATAACGATACAGACAAAGATAACACTTGAAGATTTTGCATGGTGGAGAGGTAATAAGAGGATAAGAGAAAAACATTTATCTTTTGTGTCGTGAGGACGTCATTCTAAGAAAAGTCATGAGTAAGCCCATTCACAAGAAATTGACAAGTAGGAATAACAAAAATTGCAAAAGTTCATCATGTTTCAAAAGTTGAACACATTTCAATGAATTTTGCGTAATTTCGTAGTTTTTTGTGTAATGCCTATGTCATCTTGAGAAAAAAAGGTGTTGCTTTAAATCATTCAATGTTTCAATAGGGATGCTTTGATCATCTTTATGAAGTTTAGAAAAATGGCAACCAACAATGTTCAAGGATGGACCAAACTTACGTTGGCTTGTCCTGAGCTGACGGCATGCCTCTAAGTTCACGTAACCTGGAGGCGACAAAATCCTGGACGGACGTAGCGCCCCCACGGCTCTGCAGAAACTCGCGCAGGCGAGAGTTGTCACTCTTGTCCTGGGCGTTCTCCAAACGCTCTTGGATGTTCTGAAGGGAGAGATTATTGAATTTCAATTCAAATTGAAATTGATAGTTTCACAGCAAAGCAGACCAATAAATTCAATTTGTATTTCTAAATCCAAATCACAAATGGTTCACATTTTCTATTAATTTTCTATATAAAGATAAATAATCACCAGCTTTTTCGGGGGAACAAAAATAACCTCTGTTAGAGATGCCCGCCCAATTTGGACTTTAATATCCCACAAATGCTTATTACCCCAAAGGCTAGATGAAAGAAAATTCCACCATCCTTTCATTTTCGCAGAACAACAAAATATAATCATTTCCCCAAAAGAGTTCCACACGATGGCGAAACATCTCGAGGCAAAAAAGAGAAAAACAAAGAAAAAGAAAAACCTGGAAGATTACTATAGGTGTTTAAAAATTCTCCCAGTATGTCTTTTTTGTTGTTGCCATACCTCTTCATTGAAGTCTTGCTGAACTGGGCCTTTGACCTTCACATTAACCAACTCCCCAACCACGCTGGTCTTGTCGCTGTCTGTCTTGCTGTACTTGAATGCGTGCTCCAGGGCAGTCTTACCACTAGAGGGCGCCCCGCCGATGAGTGCCCCCGTCAGATTGGTGGTGCGCGAGCGGGCGAAGAACATGTCCTGACAAATGACCTTCATGGCCTGAAAAATCAACACAAAACAGGGTTAAATATATTCATTATTTTCCAAGCAGTGCCAAGGGTTGATTAAGTTTACCCAATAAGCCTCTGTACTGATGACGTCACACTTTGTTTACATGTGCACTTTCCTATGGAGCCAGTGGGGGCCCACGGTCCACTGAGCACCATAGGAAAGCACACACGTAAACAAAGTGTGACGTCATCGGTACAGAGGCTTATTGTCAATGTGTAGAGTGAAGGACTAGAATCATGGTGGAGTCCATTACAATTCCTCATAAGTACCCACAAGCCTATCATATGTTCTTATACATTGTAATTCCCTACAAGTCCTCACAAGTCCCCACAAGTCCTCACAAGTCCTCACAAGTCCCCATAAGTCCTCACAAGTCCTCAAAAGTCCATCAAAAGTCCCCACAAGTCCTCTTAAGTCCCCACAAGTAACCACAAGTACCTAACAAGTCCACAAAAGTCCTTAAGAAGTCCCCACAAGTTCTCACAGGCAATCGCATACTTTAAGTCCCAAGTCAAGTCACAATTGCTGTTCAAATGAACTGCGATTAAGGCATTCCTTTATCACTGTCGATCCCCTGTTCCTTGTGACGTATTGTAAATTGACTTTTGATTTGTTTGAGACTGAACTTGTGATGGACTTGACTACTACAATGATCAGGGTGGATATGTGGCCGAAGCAGAATGTATTTACTATGTGAAAATAAATGCCAGAAGTTACTTTTTTCTCACAGTGTAATGTTTTAAGGTAAACAAAAATTACCTCCTTAAAACAATAAACAAGACTAATCAAGCCCAATCAAGCCCAATAAAGCTGGTTACAGAGCTCATTAAATTATATTCTATTGGTTCGGAATGTTTATTCACTGGGAGGCTTTTCAAGCATCTGGTCTGCACAATGGGCCACATTTTAGCTCATTCATTGGCATTACGGGGTTATCTTATATAACAGCACTGCCCAGGTCACCAGTGGCAGTCAGTCAGTCAATGAGGGGACACTACACTGGCCCTCTGGGACCAGCAAAACTTGTCTGATTGTACCTTGTAGAACTCCCTCAGGAACAGCGGGTTGGTGTCGTCCTTGAGATCACCGATCTTGATGTGCGCCAAGCAGTGCATGATCAGCATGACGAACTCTCCGACCGACTCCAGCCTCTCCCGCCGAACGAAGAGGATGTTTGAGGCGTGCTGGTAGAAGAAGGAGCGCCGGTACATGTTACGGCTGTAGTCGTTCTGCGGCAGGTTGGAAGCCAGCAGGAGGGTGACGTTAGGTGTGTGGTTGGTCTTCTGCAGGAGGCGGACGATGAAGACGCCGAAGCGGTAGACCACAAACTGGCTTGGGCTGATGCTGTTGATGTCCAACGGTGCGATGTCGTTGGAGAGGAGCCACTGCGCATCTTTGATGTCGATGAAGGCGTCTGAAACGGCACCTGGATTTTGAAACAAAAATAAAAAAGTTTGAGACCTTCCAGTATTTCTAAAAACATATGGGTACATGTGAAGTACCAGTATTTTAGATCTTATTTCGCTACTTTTGTTCTCTTTTGTTTCTATCTTAACGGAGCAGGTGGATTTCTGATGACCAACTTGTAGGATCCCTTTGTCACTATTCGTGCTCTTTGTTCCTGGTACCTAATATTGCCACATATGTATAAAGTTGTGAGTGGCCACAGAGCAACATCTACTGTTCTTGCACGCATTATTTTTTCTTTGCTCTGACCTTTGACCCCAGGCCTCTTGAGGGCGTCAGTGCTCTTGACAATCTCCTCGATCTCCTGCAGGTCCTTGTAGAGCGGGGACTTCAGCAAGGCATCAAAGACTGACTCATCCATGCCGGAAGGCAGCTTGGAACGGTCCAGGGCTTCCTGCTCACGCTGGGCCCAGTCGCTGGGGGCATCCGGCGCAGTGGTAGAATTGATGGTTTCGTTCAGGTCCGACGCACCTGTGAAGAGAACGAAAAAGAACAAAGTGATTAACCAATTACCACTTTTGTATTGCACTTTATAACACGTCACCCACAGATTCTGTATCGTGACTGTTCTTGAAAGTATTTCAAGCCATTAACTTTAACATAAACCACATTTATTTAAAATAGTGGATAGGGTACTTTATTATCTTTCTTATTCCTTTATCTTCCCTTTATCTTATATACCCTCTGTTTTTTGGGAGGGTGCGTGTGGGAGGGAGGGTTCACACCCTTACAAACCTACCCTGCCTTTGGATGTTATTCAGGTGGTCCTGGGTTCGCCTGTCGTCCACTTGGGCCTGTCCATTCACCTCCCCCTTAATCCTCTCCATCTCCTGTTCTTTCTTCTTCCGTCGTCGGGCCTCCAGCCGGGCCCGAGTCTTCTCTTGGTTCCGCTCCTGCTCCAGGCGTTGTGAGTCCTCAAACCGCTTCATGTTCTCCTGGTGCTCCCTCAGTAGTTTCTGTGGTAGTGAATTAAAAATTTTGACTTTAGGTGGTCGACCTTTAACTCATTTGAGAATGGAACTCATAACCTCAACTCATAATCTCAACTAAATAGTAAAACAAAAATGCAGCACGACACTCAAGCGATAAGGAATTTGTTCTGTCAAAAGCAGATGCTTCTTGACAGATATGTATTGATATGTGGGGTTGATATATTTGTTTTCCAGTTTGTTTTTCTCTAATTCTTGACTTTTAGTAAGTTTTGTAGAACTGTATCAGTTCCAGAAATGCATAGCAGCGGCATAAACTTTATCAGGCACGTTCTGTTTTCACCTTTGTGACATAAAGAACTGTTTTATAATGGGCATAATTTTATCAAGAGAGTTCCGTTTTCCACAAAAAAAACCCGGTGGAAAGGAGACCCTATATTTTTACCAATATTTAAAAACCTATGTTGACCAGCTGGTAGAGTCCGTTTTGGACAGAACACCGCATGCATCATGTCCATCTCTGGCATGAGAGTCATTGTAAAGCCTTCCATGCCCAAACCAAACATAAATACTCCACATTATGGCTTCATTTGATAAATTTAGATGTTCCTGAAGCACACCACAAACCTATATTTAGCCAGAGTCCCCAATCAAAAGCCTCAAACTTGAAATGAAGTCAAGGATTCAACCCCCCCCCTAAAGTTGTGGTTTATTACAGTGCGGCGCCGTTGCCAGCCCTGAGCATCGGGGTGAAGGGGGGGGGGGGCATAGTAGCACCCCCTCCCCCACCCCCCCCCCCCCCCCCCTTGGCGACGGGCCTGTCAAAGGGTCCTCTATAGACCAATTTGGGCATGCTTTTACTTCATGACGACCCCCTACAATGGCGAAACAATGGAGCAGTTGCTTTGTACAATAGCATGCACAATGGTTTCACCATAGAATGGCGCTTTTTGAGTGTACAGTGATCACGTGCCCCCTGGATTCGTCTGTGAAGTTTGCATAACTCTCTTTACCTCCTGGGCTTCTTTGTTGCCGTCCAGCTGCTGCAGTTCCTGCTGCAGTCGTCTCTCTTTCTCCTGTTTTTGTTCCTCCAGTGTCCTCACGCGCTGCCCGTCCCGCTCTTTCTGACGCTGCTCGTCCCGGACGCGGTCCAACTCCAGCTCTGATTCCAAAGTCCTATGACAACAGTTAAGCATTTTTATCAACTATGTAACTTCTTTTATGGTAACAAACTTCCACGACTTTTCCACGAGTTCCAGAGATAGCTTAAAATTTCAGGATTTTCCATGACTATGGGAATCTTGACTAAACTATGACCTCACACTACAGGTTTTCACATTACAGGTTTTCACACATAACGGAACATAGCGCTCATTTGCTTTGTTACAATTAGAAGTGTAGTAAATACGCTGCAACAGGACCGTTTTCAAACGTTAAATTGAAAGTATATCGAGACCACAATGACGAATATTTCTGGTTCACGCGTTATTGATAGAGGAACTCACATTCTTTCAATTAGTAACAGACTTATTTTGTTTGTCATCCAACAATAAATTGCCCTTTCCAGTTTTGCGCTACTTTGCGCAAGAAAACCTGCTATAACTTCCCAAGCGTTCCCAAGTCTAATAATTTTTCATTACATTCATGTAAAACTTATGGTGATTGGTCAATTGGAATCAGCTTACCCCTATACCCTTCTTTCGGACTGTGCATAAATTCAAAAGATATCTAAAAAACCTACTTATTTCCGGAATTATATAAGACGTGCACCCATAATTCGCATTTGTCTATTAGTTACACTCCATCATAATTTAATGTTATATTGTAAATTAGTACATGTATATTTCAATTTCCTTCAGTTTTTCTACTATTATGCCAAGTAAAAAATTAATTAATTAATTTATTGACCACTGTTTTAAACTATAGCTATAATTGTTGTTTATTTCATAAGTTATTCACAAACGGGACCAGGCTCTGTATAAGCTTAGGCTTTTTTCCTGGTTCCTCCATCTGTCCCCATTTATGTTTAATTGATCAAAGTGTTGTACATGTATTATCATTCTATTAAGTTATTGTTGTAGTAAATAATCTGTTGCATTTGCATTATATTAATTTGTGACAAATGGAAATAAAACAATACAATACAATACAATTGTAACCCACTGCCCTAGTCAATAGTAGTGTATTTCCAGCAATAGACACTACGGTTTTATAACGCAAAGTCCCTGTCAGTGCTGTGTGCATGGACGTACGCGCACGTGCGTAATTGTATACAGTGCTCCCAAACACACACACAATGTAGGCATATACATGTACAGTGCGCGCATTATTTGAGCGAGTGCTATGTGCTATGTTCCGATATGTACAGGTTTTCTAAACCTATATTAAGCCAGAGCCTCCTAAAAAGGGGTGTACGGATATGCTTCGGATCAAGCCCCTTAGGTGAAGCCGAGGTTCAATAAAAAGAACCAAACAAACGACATCTTACGACATCTCTTTCTCCATCTTGTGCCGCCTCTCCTCGTCCCGTTTCTTCTTCTCTGCCTTGATGCGTTCGATATCCGAGGTCATCTGGCTCATCTTCTGCTCCCGGAACTTCTGAGCGTCCCTAGCTGCCTTCTCGGCTGCCTCTGTGTACTGGTGGACCAGAGCCTACAGAAAGAATTGAAAAAAGAAAGTGAAATGGCGTAGCAAATTACATCAAAATTTTGGGTTTTCAAGCCTTGGACAAGATCCAAGCAACAACCAAATTTCCCATCATTTCTCCTACCGACCATGTCACAGTACACTTGTTAAGAAAATTAGATGGTGCGGTCATTTGAAACTGTTTTTCAGCAAACTGTACTGCATGTATGGATTGTCCTACGGTCTACTGACCTCTTCAGGAGACAGGTCCCTCATGGCCTCAGCCAGCTCCTTGAGCTGCCTCTCTCTCATGGCCAGTCTGGCGTGGGCTTGTTTCACCTCTGTTGAAGGCAGGCAGTCCTTGGCGGCCTGCTCCGTCCGCTGGGCCGTCACCTTGTCATACTCCTCTAGTTGTTTCTAAAAAAAGAAGTAATTCAGAATTTATCTCTCTGCAGTGAAAAATGACCTTCAACATATTTTTCAAGGCAGAGTCTGTTGCCAGTGAAGAAACATTCTGGTTAACCACGAATCAGGTTAAGAAAAATAAGTGGATGAACAACAAGGAATGCCTTTTTCACAGTTCTATTGAACAATTTCACTAGACTAGAAATGACATCTTATATAACAACATATGCAAATATAATTGTTACGTGAAGTAGACGGGAGACATTTATACTTTAATATCAAAGCTTAGATAAAGAACCTCACAGATCCACTACTAACTGACCAACGTTCTGTATCAAACTGGCTATATTTGAACCTCCTTAAAAGTGATAAAGCCACAGCGCCCTCTATCGGTCAGTAACACATCCAATAGGCACCTCTAACCCACCTGGTGTTGCTGCTGTAGTTTCTCTTTCCTCTCAGCCAGGTTGGCGGCCGACAGCGAGCCAGAGTTGGCTACCAGCTCCAAGAACTCCTTCTGCTGAGCCTCCACCAGGGTGTCACGTTCCTTCTGACAGAGCTCGGCCATCCTGGATCGGGCGTCCGCGATGGCTGCCTCCTTCTCCCGATCCATTTGCTCCTCCTGGACGGAAAACCCCCCAAAAGAAAAAAAAACCTTAGAGAAGATTGTTTGATAGATTTGGACAGGGCAAGGACAAATTACTGGACTCTGCACCATTTAATGTGAACCCCTGTGCACAGTACGTCCGACTAACTTGAGCTATTGAGCGGGTCATACAACAAAATCTACTTATGTCCAAGAAGTTACAATTGCAATCAGAATAAGACTTTCTGACTTTTCAATGTTAGTGGGGTAAAACATCACCAAAGTAACCTAGTGAGGTAATGCCAGTCTGGTCCCCAAAACACTTTGAAATGAATGCTGCATTCAAATTACTTGGTTATGGGCAGCTACAACACATGCACTAATACAAGCAACGTAATTTGAATGCAGCCATAGCGTATACCAATGGGAGTAGGAACCAGGCTTTCCAACTTCGGTCTAATTGCTTGGCTAACCCCCGGATTCCCACATTATAAATCCACAAAGGGCTCACGGGGACAACTCCAAAGTAAGTGCCATCCGTTCATTTTGGTGGGAATGCTACACAGTGTCATCTTTATTTCACATGCACAGCATCTCTCAAAATACAAAACCTCTTTGCAACAACAATATGGCAAGCCATCTCTGTCAAAATGTTGCCGTCCACAAATTTGTAACTTTGCATACGGAAAATTATTATGCAATCAAAAGTTCTCTGAAATGGTCAGTCTAACTAATTTCCCAAGAGCCACAATTCAGAATCCTGTTACAGCATGGTACATGAGTAGAATATCTATCTGCTGCAGATGAACTGATAAAAGAAAACAACAGATAGACAGCCTGACTGACTGACAGACAGACAAACCAACCTGTTGGACTTGCTCCTTCATGTGGCGTTGTCGCAGCACCCGGTAGATGATGTTTTCAGCTTTCCCGTTCTCCTCATCTTCCAGTGATTCCACCAGCGCTTGATGCTCTGCTCCCTTCAGCTGTCGACAACGCAATGAGAAAATCATTGAAAAATATTTAAAATAAGGTAACGAGGCCTTGTTTCGCCCATTACACTTTGTAAGCCTACTCGTGAACTATTGTCCACTTGATTTCCCTTCTTTTGCTTTCCTTTGTTCCTATTGAAATCTCAAACTGAATAGCGTTTCACTCCTGGGGTACTGAGATTTCTGAAGACCAACTTGCGACGTACCATTGTCCCTATTGTTACCCTTTGTTCCCTGGACCTCATAAGACCATGTAAGAACACATACACACACACCCTTAGCGTTTTATAGCAGTGATTTAGGCAGTCTACATTTTGAAATATGAACAACAGAGGGCGCTGTCTTGAACCAGCTGGTCCCACCTGTTTGTTGTTGAGCTGGTCTCTCTCGGCTCTCTGTTGCAGTATTTCCTTGGACATCTCAGCTTGGTTCTTCTGCTGTAGTCGCTCTTTGTGCTGACGTCGTTTCTCTGCGATGCGGTCCGCTAGGGATGCCTTCTGCCGGTCTTTCTCCAGATCCATGCTTTGAGACAGCTTCTCCATCTGAAAAAATAATAATTGTATTCACGAATATTACATTTAACTCATTAGCAACTATACTACAATGTATTACATTGTGTTTATTCACTGAATCAAATGAATACTCACTGCATTACAATGTGTGTTTATTCACAAGAATCAATATAAACCATAGAGTGCTTGGATGGTTTCAGGCACTATAGGGAGTGGTAGGCAGGGCGGTTTTGGGCGGTACAGTACAGTACAGGTGAAGGGTAAAATTGATACTGATCACTGCAGTCAGGACATAGAGGTACAAGAAATCATTGCTATTGAAACATTCTACACACAAACACATGAAAAAATAAACTAAAAAAAATTGGATTGCTTCTAATCTGAGTTTCAATATACTATTGGTGGGAACTGGTTTTGAGGATTATTTACAGTTTGGTTCTGTTTTCCAAATCACGGTTAGTAAAAGAATAATAATTAGGGCGGCCTATCATGTCGACCTGCGGTTTGCTTGACCTGCAAAGGAAATGTCGGCATCAAGCAGAAAAGTAATGCTCGGGTCACAACACTGAGAAATTGTGTGATTATCGTAGAACAAGGGGCATCTTGACATCAATAATCGCAACCATGCTCACACCACCCACGATGCACCACGACGATTCCTCAGCATAGATGTGAACGATCATATGACCTCTTATAAAGAGGTCATATGACCTCTTATAAAACGGTGGTGAAACGGTATCTGAATTTTTGATGTTTTTCACAAATTTCCTAAATTTCGCTGACTCAAAAAAAAATTAAAAATTGAAACTCGTTTCTAAGGTTTCCCCTGATTTCCAGAGTGGTTGGGAAGCCTGATATCAAATCCACAGATCTTGAAAATGCACTCACATTTTTTGTGTGTTCCTCCACCAGTTCCTTAGAGGCGTCCTCTGTCAGCGTCTTGCGCTTGACCTGCATCTCCTTCTCAAACTCCCGCTCCTGGCGTGACAAAAGCGCCCTCTTCTGGTCCTCCAGCTGCTCGTCCACCGAGGCGGTCGTTGCGGCCAGCTCCTTGTCCAGATCTTTGTCCAGTCGGTTCAACTTGGCCTGCTGGGATAGGTGGAGTTGGGCCTGACGTGATTCTTGCTCTTCCTGTGGGGTAAAAAAAGCAAACAAGTTTTGTTCGTTCTTCCTAATAAACAAGCACGCACCATCAGTAGCATAGCAAGGACTTTTTCATGGGGAAGGGGGGGGGGAGGGGTGGGTTACCAAAAAGTTTCCCCCAAAATATGCTGGATGGTTATATTGGTGTTTCAACTACGTCCGCATACAGTGCGTCTCACTCAAGACGGCCGTATGCAGTGAGTACGTTCAGCACGTTGATCATTTTGCACGGCTAACCATCATATCAGCCTCCTCCTTTTTGTTGTTTTTGGTCAACAAAGATGTCATTTTTTTTTACCGTTTTGTGTTTTCAAAATAATTGATTAAGACGATGAAATAAAAATACCATTTCGTCTTTCCCTGTGGTCCTCGCTAGCTAGGGCAGTCTTACAACCTAAGATGCGCTGGCATAATTGAGTCCAAATCTTTACTATTTTGGCACTCATTATCAGCCAATCAGATTCTCTCAGTAGACTTTGTGACATCTTCCTACGCACTTCATATTTAGGTATGGAATTACAGTGTCAACTTAGTGCATTTTCAGGATGGCACAGCACGCTGCCATTTCATTTTGTAGGTGGTCAATTCTGGGTCAGCTTTTGTAAAGAGCGGCCTTGACATTTTGTCATTTTATATTTGAAAGGTTTCATGAATAATTAATAAGATAAGATAAGATAAGATAAGATTGAACTTTATTATCCCTCAGGAGGGAAATTAATATTAGGAGGTCAAAATAGGAGAGATTGGACTCGGTTTGCTAGGGTACCTGGTTAGCGAGCCTGCCTCTGGCCCTGCACCGCTAATCCCTGCTAGGGCCTTAATTTTCCCATGGAGCGCTGTGATCTATTGAGTAGAAAGTCTGACTTGTGAGCGATGGTACTTGGATTTAAACACTGGCAAGGAACATGGTGTTTGTGTTCTTGGGCAAGACACTTTACTCCAATTGCCTCTCTCCATACAGGAGTATAAATGAGTACCTGTGAAACTAGAGACCTGATTGTTTCTAGTTGTCCTAACAGATACATTTCTTTTAGCTCTGGATGATGGATGGCCAAAACAATTCAAGTTATACCAAATCTTAGGGAATCTTACCAGCAGTTTGTTTCTCTCCTCCAAAGACTCGTCGGCCATGACATTGCTGTTGACTGTATCAATGGCAACAGCGCCCTCATCTGTCCCCTTCAACACCTGCAATGTGTACAAAACACAATTATGTGAAGGAATTCCTGGACATCGGAAATTATGAAACTGTAGTCAAAAACTTGATTGAAATAGATGATATGATCCGTGTTTACAGATAACTTGGCATCTTGTATGATAAACATGATTATTCTATAATTATTTTTCGATTTCCACTGCATAATGCAGTGGTTCGCTGAAACATGACCACAATATCCCATTTTGCATACAAGCAGTATGGTAATATCAAAACACTGCTGAAGGGTTACATTTAAAAATATAAACCATACATCTCCTCAATGCTAAAATTTCATCACCTGTCATTTTTTTTTACAGTTTCTCCCGTCTTACCTGTTTCTTGGTGATGTGGTCCAGTTGCTTAGCAACCGCATCCTCGGCCATGACGTCCTCCTTGAGACGTTTCCTGGCAGCCAACTTGGCCAGTAGGTGTGCTCTCTGCCCCTCCCGGGCCGAGTCCATCTTGCCTTGGAGTTCCCCGACGTCGTCCAGGTACTTCTCCATGATGGCAGTGACCTCGGCGTCAGGCTTGTCTTCATCGCTCAGAACCTCCTGATGTTTAATAAAAATTGATCATGTGATGAAATTATTTTGCACAGATGAGATTTGAAGACAAGCCCGTATTTTGCACAGCCTATCTTGCCATTAGAATATGTGCCTGAAAAGGAGATTACACGACACTTTGTGTCTGTGTACAAGCTACATGTTCATATAGCAGCTTCAGTGCCAGGCTTACTGTGGTAACACCAAGGTTCAACCTTAGCGATAGCCTACTAGCCAAATTCGAGGGAAAAAGCAGTGGACAAGTCATAAGCATTCTCTAAGTAGTCCGCCTGGTGAGTCAAAATGATTGAAATAAGGCATGCAAATTTTCCACGTATTTGCGGATTTCAACGTTTTTGTTCAAAAAGCTGGTCTTGGAAGAAAAATAATCTGTTACTGACGCGCATTCGGCTTGTTTTATGCCACAGCACCGCTGAATCCTGCACCGAAAATGCTAGGGAATAAATTAAAGGATGAACGTTGCCTGGCACTGCATTTTGTACATAAAAACATAAAAATGTGTATGCACATTGTTGTTTACCTGGTGCCAAAAAAATTCTATTGCAGACTATTGAAAAGGCCTGCGGGCTAGATAAGATTCCGCTTCACTAGTCCAGCTGGCTAGTGATAAAAAGTTAAGGGCGAACCCTGAGTAAAGTATTGAACAGTGCTGCCTTATTCTCTTTTTGTGATCACTGAGGGAGTATTTTTTTACGCAGAGTCCATACCTTGATAGCTTTCTCGTGTTCGTCCTTCTGCTGTTCGTCGGCTAGGGTACGAGCAACTTCCATGGCTGCCTCTATGCTGCGCTGCTGGTCTGCTTCCATCTGAGACTCCACGACTATTAAACACGAGAGAAAAACGCACGAGATAAACCTGTGCTGATATATCAGGTCAAAATGGCACCCTTTAGAGAAAAAGGGTTGATACATTCCCTGAAATGGCATTAAAGGCACGTAGGGACATTTGCAATAAGCCAGTTCTGTATTTTGATGAAGTACGCGAGGTTCATTGGAATTCGGAAGTTTAGGACACTTCCATGTCAAAACACCCGTCAGGTTTTTGATTTAATTTTACCTATACACCTTCTATTGGACTCTTTCAGGAGGAGATGGGGTTCAATTTGTATGGCCCTTTACCTTGTACATACTGCTTCTCTTCATCGGTTCCAGGTTCGATTCCATCCGGTACCAGGTGCTTCTTGGAGTGCCGCCGCTTGTTCAGCCGTTCCTTCATCTTGTTCTTCAGGTTGCTGTTCCCACGGTTGGTATCGTTTGTTTTCTAGCAAAAAGATTTTAAGAGAAAGATGGAAATTATGAATAAATTATTATAGATTATAAAATTTCTGTTGTCCCACAAAATGCCACAACTTATGTAAGCTTTCAAGTTCAATAAATTAATGAGTTCGTAAATATTTTCCAAACTATTTTAAAGACAAACTGACACCTTATTGCCAACTACGTGTTGACAAACTATGGAAGGTCAATGTTGCAAATATGTAGAATACTTAATGCTTACAAACATATCATTGCAATATGCAATTGTTGGCAAAATCTTTTGCCAACCAACCACGGCCTAAACTATTCTGAGTTATATTTATTGCTCATCAGCTCCGCGAAACTAGCCCCAGTCCAAAGACATGTTGCTTTGACTTTCACGCGCTTAATTAACGTCAGAAGAGTAGGGTACATATGGTACCTATTAACATCAATAAATAAGACATGATTTTTTTTACGGAAACCAAGTTCAAATTCTCCCTAAGCATTACCTGTTGGATGGCATCAACGACATCTGCTACTTTCTGCCTGTTGGCCAGATTCAGCAGTCTCATTTTCTCCTCCATCTCTGCGTCCAGGCCATTCCTCTTCTTGTTCAAAAACTGAAAGATAAAAGAAACAATATATTAAGAGGTTGTTTTTGAGTGGTTTGTGGCATGACAATGCAACACCAGTAGAAAAGTTTGTAATACCACTTAAAGAGTTCAGTATAATAATAATAATAATAATAATAATAACTGGATTTGTGTAGCGCCAAATTGCCAAAGGATACAAGGCGCTAGAAAAGAAGAAAGAGGAATAGAAGACAAAAAACAACAAAAGAAGGACATGCAGCTACGTTTGGGGGAAAAGGTAGGTCTTGAGAGCCTTTTTGAAGGAAAATACACTGCCAGAGTCATTAAGTGTTTACGTGACTTAAATGTATAACGTCACTTTATCAAAGTCTACTCATTAAGTTCTCAATACCTATTCATCATTTCTGCTTTTTGTTGGGCCATAACTTACACAAGCCAAATTCTTCCCATCAAAAACAAACAAAATAATCTCTAAACCTATTATATTCAAATTTTATTTTTTTCCTTAAACACTCAATTTTTCCTTAAACACTCAATTCTTCCAACCACTGAGTAAACACGGAATTCTTCCCATATCCTCATCTTCCTCTGCGTATCGTCTGCAGCTACAGTTCCTTGTTGGTTTTTTCCTCATTCATGCCATCAACCCCAAATTCTACACTTAATTCTCCCAACCTCATCTAAATTCTCCCAATTGTTCAGTAAACACAGAATTCTCCCTACCTCCTCATCTTCCTCCGCATATCCCTTCTGCAGCTCGGCAATGAGTTGTTGCTGCATCAGCGCGAGCAGCTGCATTTCCTTGTTGGCGTCCTCTTCGTCCATGGCTGTCAAGTCAGGCACCACCTCCTCCCCGAGTCCTTCTTGCCTTGCCTCCTCAAGGTGCTTGCTGAAATAACAAGCCAAAAAAGAAATATATGGAATGTCTATTTCCCTAACCCAACAATATTCAACATCAATGATCGTCGACTCTTGGAACCAAACTATCAACCAAATGGTTCTCAGATCACTTTACTTTCCTTAAAACAAAATCTGCCAAAGCCATGGACCACTAAAACAAAACGAAATCTACTTCAATAAAAAGTAGGAGTTGATAATATAAAACATGCCATTTAAATTCTTGACTGATGATGGTATTTGCGTCGGGGAGATACTCATTTTTAATATGGGGTTTCGCCCATCACCGATGTAGTATAAATAAGCACCGTATGCTCGGTGCTGTCCGAGAGCTTGAGAGAGATAAAAATCACAGGCCTGCTCGAACCCACGACTTCCTGCTTTCCAGTTCTCCGTTTTTACTTAAATGTAAACAAAATGCCAGGATTTTATGTTAACGGTGATAAGATGACACTGGCACAGAATCCTTTCTGAACTGGATGGACATTCGCACATTGCTTCTGACTTACTTGTGCAAGTCCTTCTTGGCCTGTGCTCGGCGTGTGGCCAGTTTCTTCTGCATGTTCTTCAGCTGGTCTTGCTTGGAAGATTCAATTTTCTCGGCCACCTTGGAAGCCTGTGATAACATAGAAACAGATCCTTGATAGAAGCAAGTTTTTATGACGATTTTGAAAACAATGGACAGTATTAATAATACATAATAATTATTCTAAGTTGACTGTGAGCGAGGCATGGACTGACCGATTCCACAAAGGCCTGCATGATCTTAGCTTTCTCCTCCTCACTGGATGCGCTCCTCAGCTTCTCCTTCAAATCCTCCTGCATCTCCTTCAAGATAGCTTCCTTCTTTGCCTCCGATGCCTGAGCCAAAAAAAACAACCTAAAATTTAAGGACTATTAGGCCTTTAACTGGATAATTTCCAATCTTCAGTCATTTCTACTTTCCTACTTTGACACATCAATACCATTTCCCCCTGTGTATTTCATTAGGGTTTTAGGAAGGAACTATATGAGCTCATTCCAAATTACGATGATTTTCAAATAGAAAAACAAAGTGATTTTCGTTGTACATTTGTACATTGGAAAAATGGGGGAAAATGCCCCCTCCCCACTGCACCTTGATTTAATGGATTGAAGTGGATAAAATTCAAACCTGAATGATTTTGATTAAACCACGACACGTTTTTCATCCAAATTTCTCAAAGACCATCGCAAAATAGGCGATATGTATCTAAGCTTTCTGACTTGACGATTTTCAGATCTAAACAATTTTGATTGGACCATTTTAACCACAGCACAGCTCACATTGACTGGCCTGTGCTTGAGTGATTCTTCAACCCAATTACATGGACAAATGTCAAAGCTCTCTGATTGGAGGTTTTTCAAACCCACATGACGCTGATTGGTCAATTTGAACCAAATGATAGCTCTGATTTGCTAATGCTTCCCGAAACAAGCTCTTCATCCCAACTTCTAAATACAAAAGTCTCTCTGATTGGCTGATTTTCCAACCCACATGATTTTGATTGATCTATTTGAACCATAGGCCATCTTTGATTGGCTAATCTTTGCACAGCAGTTTTCAGTTCCAATTACACGGGAATGCTATCTGATTGGATGGTTCCAATACCCAATGGAATCTGATTGGTCCATTTGATCACAGGCAAGCCCTGACTGGCTAATCTGTGCCACAGCAATTCTTCATCCCAATTACAGGATAGAAAATATAAAAGCTTTATGATTGGATGACTGTCAGATCTAAATGATTCCAATTGGTCCATTTGAACTGTAGGCCAGCTCTGATTGGCTCTTTACCTGCACCACGGTGTTGATCTCCTTGATCTCATTCTCTCTGAGATGGCTCTCCAGCTTGATGGCTTCCAGGGTCTGTCTCTCAGACAGGGACTTGGCCATGGCGTGCTTGTCATCATCGGTCAGAGAGACTAGGTTGTTCCTGACCACCAGATTGCTGCGGATATCACGCGAACTTTGCACTGGATACAAATAAAAAAGAGCCCTATGTTTCAATTCGCTCAGATGTTTCTAAACTTTCCACATGTCGGCAGTTGGCAACGCTTTTGGAATTTTGATTTTTGACGACGTATGGTCAGAGAAATGATACGTACACTCCTCCCAGAAATGTAGCAAATGTGTTTATATAACTATTGCAAAGAAAATGAAAACTCATAAATGAAATTAATTCTCATGAAATTAAGAAAACAAAACTGTTTTGTAACCAGTTAACGCCAGAGGGCGTGTAAACATGACCTGGCAATGTATAGTCGCAGGTGCAGGTGACATGTTAAATCCCAAGCTTTTCCCCCTGAGCCTCCAGCCATGGACGTGTATACACGTCAGTGGCTCCCCGTGGTTTGTACACACCGTGTTTTGAACTTGTACTATGCTGCTGAACAAGGCCTGTCATAGCAAATATCGCTCCATGGCGGGGCCTTGGACTGTTGACTGTTTACGGTGAGAAGTATCGTACATATAACTCTCAAGAAGTCGGTTTTGTGGCATTTTCACCTAATTTAAAAATTTGGCCCATATGTCTTGCCTTTTTCAAATATGGCGTTTTTCGGACAAAAACAATCGTGGCGGCAAGTAGTTAAAGTGTCTGTGGACACTTGTGTATTTTTAACACTGACATTACTGTCACTGGTAAAATTTAAGAGCATCTAAGTAAACTGGCCCACACAGTACATGGAACAGAGAGAAAGGAGCAATTCTTAAACTTGTTAGCTATGGAAAAATAAGCCTTGTTTGTGGACCCAGGGGGTAAACCTTGAAGCACAGATTTTGGGACTTGAGTGAAACTGACACTCACTTGATACTTCCGAGCGGGCAGACACGCCAAGCGAGGCCGCAGCTCGGACTGGTACGTTCAACGACACGCCGCCAGGTTGCTGGGGTACTTGCAGATGGTCGGCTTGCACCACGTTGACGTTGTACTGATCGCCTTGGATGACGGTACGACTGCTGGAGGCTGCCACCTTGCCGTACTGAAACACATAAATGGACAGCAGACACTAGTTCAAGGGAAAATGTAACAATTGAATTTTCAAAGGTCCTTTAAAGGCATAAAGGTTCATTTGCTGTTCATGCATTTTGTTTGTTTCCAATAATAACACCACTCAAAATCCGAAGAGGAATGTTCAAAACCTAACCTGTTGAATTTTCAGCTCAGTGGATATTAAATATTTCGAGAAAATGGTAAAAAAACATGCACAACCTTTTGATCATGAAACACGATTTCGTCTTCAACACTCTTCATTCAAAAAATCAGTCAATTGACTAATCATTAAAAAAATCACCTACATTTCTTGTTTTAAAACAACAGCAAGCTAGATGAAATAACTTCACGAGGTGTTCAGTTCCAGTGCAATCTTTAATCCAAGTAAGTTTTTGATAATAATTTGGTATGTTACTTTAGGGATATAAAAATGCAAATGATCCTATTTTGCCTTCAACAAAAGTCAAATGATGTTTCAAATGGCTTGATATTTATGCCTCTACATGCAAACAGAATGGCAAACTCGTGTCCATGTCAGCACGTTCATGTAGTGCGCGAAGCATAGTGAGTGCACTCTCTAGCCTTTTTTAAAATATGACTCTATGGGAGAACCGTATCGCCCTTATGTAACACTTAGATAAAGAATTACTCCGGTTACTGAAACCTACATGCATCTTGGTGTCACCGTCGCCCCCGGCTATCCCCTGCAGCAGCTCAGCAGACAGTGTGAAGTGCGCCCCCTTCTCCAGCATAGCAATGATCTGTCGCAGTAATGGAATGATCTCGCGACTGGACTGCTCCGTCACATTGCTGTCGCCATAGACGCCCGTCATGGTGGCGTCGTAGTCACCGGCCAAGATGGCTGCGTTGGATAAAACGGCCTGTCCGAATGAAAAGAAAAGAATAATAAAAACGTAATCACTGGTGGATCTAAAGGGGGGTGAGGCGGAGGTTAGGGGTCTAAACCTCCCACCCTTCTTGGGCTGTAAAAATAAAAAAAATCATACAGAAAAATGTCGCACATGACCTTTATACACTAGAAACACTTTCAACTCACTACACCATAACCGGTGAATGAAATACAGTAACTGAACGTTTTGATGATTACACTCTTCCATGTCGATTTAGACACTCCATTCCTCTTTCCTGTAATCCTATGGGCTCGGTGCACAGGTGCCCCCTGAACGGTTACAAAGGGAGTGTTGGGTCAGACCACTGGGAGAGACATTTGAAGGCACTGCTGATGGCGCCTGACGCTAACGTGAAGATGCTACGGGTTTGCGAACATTCAGAATCAAATATGTTGTGTGTGCTTTCCACCCTACACGCGCAAACACCCAAGTGTGTATTTGCCTGCAATGGGGGACCCCCTATTGTCCCCCTTTTGTTAGCATGTGTTTTGTACACATCGCCAAATTGGGGACCCTTCGGGAATTGGGGACCCTATTGTCCTCTTTTGTTAAACGTCCCCTATTGAATGCAGAAACAAACTTCAGTACATGCACATGACGCGTCCATCCCTTTGGAGCTCTCGAAAATGGTCACAAAAGGCAATCCACTGAGCAAGAGATCCATATTGAATATTAACGAATACATGACTAACCTTGGCCTCCAGGCTGAGCAGTTCACTCCTCTCTCTGGTGTACTCCAGGGCCGAATGGTCCTCGTCCAGGTTCTCCATGCGTGTCAGGAGCTGGTCCTTCAGTTCAGCCTGGAGACGAGACTTGGCTTGCCGGTAGCGCATCACGACGGCTGACTCTGCATCGGGATTCAGAGCATCCTAAAAAAACAATAAACACCAAGAAAACAAAAATCAAAACAAGAGCAAGGGTGAGTTTTGTAAAGAAAATTAGTGTCAGGATGATGCAAATTTAAACATTTTGTAAGGTCTTGGATGAAAACTTAGTATATTTAGCATGTACACATTATGTTGATGTCACGCAAATCCATAAATTGAAGAACAAAGTTGTCAACAATCAGATTTAAAAGAGATGTTTCGATGAAAACAAATTGAGACTGTGTCAGACTTTAGACTAGATTTGACTTCGAAACTAGTTTGGAGGTTCAGGCTTAAAATATCTTTAAAACAGCAACATGAGTGTCCCAATCAGTTTTCAGAGAGCTTTTTAAAATAACTTTTTCATCAAAGTTTGGAGGCTGACTAGTTTGGGTAAGAGTTGTTTTACACGTCCACACATCTGGCCACTTTTTTGTGGGGATACCATAGTATGGTAATTCAATTCCGAGTTTTTCGGTATTTCGGTATTTTAACAACATCATACGGCATTGTTCGGTATAAAAAATTAATCATCACATAACAGTATTATCGGAAAATTGTCCAAGCCTACATGTAAGTCTTAGGAATATAAGCAGGGATACCAATGATGAAACACATTGAACAGCCATACTATCTTTTTCTTCAAAACTCTAGATCACTGCGACAAAGCTAGCCATCCACATTCGACTGTCCTCACCTCCAATTCTGCCAGTCGTTCCTTGTACTTGTCCTCCTCCGACTGCAGACGGTTGTAGATCTTGCGCACCGTGTCTACGAACTTCTGGTGGGAGGCGTGGTGGCGCTCTTCACACGACTTCTCAATGTCATCTCCTAGAAAAACATTCAAAAATCAACAGTGCAAAATTAGAGATTACTTACCAAGAAAAAATTGACTCTTAATGGTTACTCTTCAGAAGTTTTGAAATGCAAAAATTTAAATTAAAATACAATTTTTTAGTCTCCCAATTTGTCAATTCTTTGTGCAACTCATACATGCAGGTTTTCTTCAGTTGACTTTTTTGTTGTTGCTTACCACGCATGTAATGTAGAAATGGAGATTGTAAATGCAGAATTAGTAAGCGGTTGTTTGATATGTTTTCTGCTTACCTTGAGTGAGTATTCCCATGACGTGCAGGGGCAGGACGTTGTTCAGTTCTTCTGTGGCCTCTACGCGTCTCGTCCCCTCTCGCTTGTTGGAGTCCTCCAGAGATTTGGCCGCATCGCTAAATGAATCAAGAGCTTCCTCAACCTGAATGACAAACAAAAAAGCCAAATGAAAGACCATACTTAGAAAGTCATACAAAATAAACAATTATAAACACAGATAAGTCCTACAATGTGGGACTGCATACATGTAGGTTTCAGACCGGTAAATACGCCCAAACTGCCTACTTCAGTCAAATCACGATTTGTATACTGTCGATTTTTCTCTTAGCAGAGACTTTTGAGGGCTGGTAAAAATGAAGGGTCACAGCTCTGCACTGGTCCTTGTACTTGTATTTCTGAAAATGTGGCATGACACTGGACCTAAAAGTCAAGGTCACACGTTGAAGTAACATGTTTTTCACTTCACACTTTTTTTTGAGAATTTTTCTACAATACAAAGGACGGAAAAACCAACAGACTATAAACATACCTTGCTGACGTCAACATTCTCCATGTCCAGCAGCAGCTGATTGGCCAGTCGGGATTCCTGGGCCGTTAGCTCCTCCTCCCGTTGCCGCTGGCGACGCCAGAAGCCCCGCCTAGCAACAATTTCATCCTCCAGCATGGCAACCTGTTGCGGTAGAAACGGTCAATGATATCCGTATGAAAACTTGAAGAAAATTCCTGACTGGGCAATATACTGTCACAATTAAAAACAAAACATTCACAACAATAAAAAAATAAAAATAAAAATGAGACATACCGCTCCCAGCGGTGGTTTCTTCTTCTTGTCAGCGGAGACGGTTACCGGGACGACAGTCTCCGTCTCAGGGTTGATGCGCACCCCGGTGATGGGGCTCAGGTCACCGGTGACGGTATCTACAGCTTGCCGGCCAATCATGATGGGAACCAGTCCTGGTAGTGACAAGATCAGAAAATGAATTCAATTATCTAGATACACCACTGAATACTGACTGAAGATGGATTTTCAGAAAATATTGCGTACCGAGTGTATGGGAACAGCAATATGCATTTAAACAGTGAACAGCAATATGCATTTGAAGTCGAAACGAGTTGAACTGGTTTCGACTGGAATTTTCATTGGGGACCCTTTTACTTTGTACCGGCAGTGGTGGGTATGGTGGGTACCGTGGGTACCAGTTAATTCCTTACCGTCTCCATCAGGATCTTCCATGGTTCCACCCAGCGGGATCAGTGATCCCGTCTTGGCGTTCCTCTCCACTCCCAGGATGGCCACCTCTTGACCGGAGCCACCGGGATCCGTCATCTTGGTGCCCACGAGGATGGGTAGAATCTGGCCGGTCGCCGTGTGCTCATACATGCCTTCAAAGGAAAAGAAAATATTGATTAAATTATGGCTTTGCTGTGGCAATTTTCCTTTTATTATCCTACTGTGCTCATAAATGCCTACAAAGATATTTTAAAACATGTCAAGCTTAGCCTAGTATCGGTTTGTGCCCAGTGTGCACAAAACTCTATTCCATTGGTTCAGAATGGCCACTCACTGGAAGTCTTTTTATGCATCTGTGTACACGATGGGCCGGATTTAGCCCATTCATTGGCGTTATGGGGTAATCCTGCAGTACTGCATAGCTCACAAGTGACAGTGACAGAGTCGGGAAGTCAGTCAGTAAGTCAGTCAGTATTGAGGTGCAATGAAGACTATAGGCTGGCCCTCTCTGGGACAACCTAAAGTAATTATGTGTAAGGTTGCAGTGTGTTTTTGTGACACTTGGGTTTAATTATCCCTGTGTGCTCATACATGCCAACATAGATATTAACTAAAATGAATTAAACGTACCAGTAGGTACCTCTTCTTGTAAAATTCTGCTTTTGGTTTATCACTGTAATATTTTGCTTGTTTTCGTGTGATGCAAAATGATCTGCAAAACTCTTTCCATATTATTCATTATTTTGATTTTGAAACATAATGTCCCTTAATGGCAAAATGTAAAAATGTATTATATTGTAACAACAGATACACAAATCTTAACTTAATGAAAGAACGCAAATTAAACAGGCCATAACTCCAGGTTCACCCCTCGGATCTACAGGGCTTTATGAGGTGTTACCTTCGAGTTTAACCTTGAGTTACCATTTGTTTAATTTGGCGTTTTCTCCTAATGCAATCCTTTGTAAGCTTTGTTTTCTCAAAATCATGATTTATTGCAGCGATGGTTTATCACTGTGCTCTTAATTAAAAATAAAGGTTATTAAAATTAAAATGGGCTAAACACAGACCTGGAGAGCCGCCACTGACAGCTAGAATGGAAGCGCGCTCCAGACGGCGCTGGATGTTGTGGATGGCTCGGATGTGATTACTACGGCAACGCAGCCTCGTTTTCACCAGCTCCTTGAGGGCGGTCTCCAGTTGGCTCTGTTCATGGCGGCAGTTCATTCCCTCGGGGCCTGTGAAGATGAGAACCAGTTGTTTTTCCATTTTGTTTTCTATTTTTATAGCATGTCATATGTTGCTTTTTGATTTAAATGAATAATCTGTTGGTTTCAACAATGCTGAACCTTCATTTCTTCTCATGGTTTTAATTACTGTTTTTATACCTAATATAGTAGTAATTATGAATTTTGCCATGAAGAGCAATCAGTCTCGATTACTAATTTCATATCTAGCATCAGATTACTAATCTTTACTTTCGAAAAAAAATAATCACAATAAAAAAAAAAACAGCCTTGCAAACTATTTTATTTGTGCAACCTGTCCAAATGCCTTTCAAAAATCAATTGTTTCAACCTTTGAATCGTTGTTTTGCTTACTTATTTCTTGTGTTTTTTATTATACGTTCTGCAACTTTTCATGATAAGAAGCTTTGATGCATTGTTCGGGTTAACTCCAAATATTACAAAATGCGGACAGACAAACTGTCCCATGATTGAAGCTTTAAAAAAATTGTGATTAAGACAAATTTCCTCCAACGTACCGACAGCAGCATCCAGATAGGCTTTGACGCACTCAAGTATACGGATCTCGCACGCCATCAGGTTGGCATCCAGCAATGTCTGATAGCCGCCACTAGAGGGCAGCACCTCGTCGTCGTGCAGACCCGCGCTGCGGATCAGCACCTGCAGGTTGCTGAGGGGCTCCAGGAAGCGGTCGCCGGTCACCATGGTGACGTAGGCATTGTGGGTACTGTTGGGCGGCTGCCGAGTGCCGCCAATTGGAATGGCGTCACCTGGTGGAGGAACACATTTTGATAAAGAGAGATTCAGTGTCATATATTTTATGCACAATGTACTTCTTGGATCAGAGTGACAGATTATGCTGAAGACAAAACTTTGCCGTAGTTCAATTTCCTAAAACAGGAGTCCCATCGAGATCTAAAAAATGAAAATTCCATGACGTTTCCATGACTTTTCTGGGATAAAATTATGCAAGGCATTCTATAACCAATTCCTAGCCTATTTGCAATATACTGGTCAGTCATCACACCATGGTAAGGGACACCACTCCCCTTCAGCTTTCCAGTAGGACACGAGAACACAAAGCATCAAAATGGTTCACTGAACATGCAACAAGTACAGCACAGTGCATGCATGCATACAAAGGAAGAACAGTGAACTGCAATGCAAACTGAAAGACTGCCATGCCAAACATTATGCATCATCACGCATGGGATGTGCTGGATTCCACGATTTTTCCATGACTTTTTTCTGGGATTATCAATTTCCCAAGAGTTTTCCAGCCTTTCCAGGTCAATTCCAGGATTTTCCAGGACTGAGGGAACCATGCTATAAGGACTTCAATGATTAATATTCAGATGTTTATCAGAACTTCGAAAGTCAGAAAAAAAAGATTAAAAGAGGAACTATACCAATAAATGATTTACCTGTCTCGGGGTCGATTGCCACACTCAATACCGGAACCGGCTGCTCGCTGCTGGGGTCAATCATGATGGCACCGATCTCAATAGGTACCGGCAGGCCCGTCACAGGGTCTGTGTGGGTCCCCGCCACGGGGTACGCCACCCCAGACTGCGGGTGGATGGTGACGGCCACGATGGGGCACTTGAGGCCCGTGTCCGGGTCCGAGACGGGGGCATTGAGTTTGAGATCGCCGGTACGGTCGGTTGCAGTCAGCTTGCTGGCGACGGGCAGGCCCGTGTTGGGGTCAGTAGGGAAAGGAATGTAGGGGATCAGGGGCTCGTCTGAGCGGAGCGAGTCACCTAGAAATATGAATTGAAGGACAGTCAGTCTATATTTGAGATGCAAAATCCCAATCCCAATCCCAAAGAGAGAATGAGTGCAACCCAGTCTTAATTAAACATGATAAAAATATAAATTTGAAATTAGCCAATAGAAAATGCCTAAAAGGGAAATAAAGCTAACCACAGATTTTATACCGTGAATGCACCAATTTTGTCTAAAGCTAATAATTATGCATGTAGCTTTTAGGTTATTGCTTATCTTCAGGTTTGTTGGCTTCAAATAACAAAGAATATCTCTATTCCCAAAGATAGGATGACAGTTCATCCCAGAATTCTAATTCTAAACAAGTCAGGTGTGTTTACAAACACAAATGCCCCGCAACCGTGACTGTTCCCATGACATAACACCACTCTTTTAACATCAACTTACATGTACCTTGGTCACATGGAACATTCATTGACAGCATTAGTGTCTTCTCTAGGTTTTATATGAATTAATCCCTAATCCCTATAATCTCAGAATAAATACAAGATTTCTATTGTTTAAGCCACTGTGAACTTGACCCTTGACCTTTTGGCCCCAAATTCAATAGGCTTCTTAGGATTACCAAGAACAATCCACAAACCAAATTTGAAGTTCATATGTTAAGTATTTCTCAAGTTATCGCGCTGACAAGATTTCTATTGTTTTAGCCACTGTGAACTTGACACTTGACCTTTTGACCCCAAATGCAATAGGCTTCTTAGGATTGCCAAGAACAATCCACAAACCAAATTTGAAGTTCACATGTAAAGTATTTCTCAAGTTATTGCGCTGACAAGATTTCTATTGTTTTAGCCACTGTGAACTTGACCTTTGGCCTTTTGGCCCCAAATGCAAAAGGCTTCTTAGGATTGCCAAAAACAATCCACAAACCAAATTTGAAGTTCACATGTAAAGTATTTCTCAAGTTATCGCGCTGACAAGATTTCTATTGTTTTAGCCACTGTGAACTTGACCTTTGGCCTTTTGGCCCCAAATGCGAAAGGCTTCTTAGGATTACCAAGAACAATCCACAAACCAAATTTGAAGTTCATATGTTAAGTATTTCTCAAGTTATCGCGCTGACAAGATTTCTATTGTTTTAGCCACTGTGAACTTGACCTTTGGCCTTTTGGCCCCAAATGCGAAAGGCTTCTTAGGATTACCAAGAACAATCCACAAACCAAATTTGAAGTTCATATGTTAAGTATTTCTCAAGTTATCGCGCTGACAAGATTTGTCCGGACACACACACCCACACACACATACTTGTTTCACATGACTAGTGTGGACTTTCCATTGCTTTCGTGTAGTTAAGAAAAACCAGTGAAAAAAATCATTTTTCTCAAACTGTGAAAACTCTTTCAACCCAATTTTTTTTCTATGATTCCCTTTAGTGTTTCTCTTCATTCTGCTACAGATAAACCTAACCCAAAAATGCCTCTAAACCTGTTTTCCAGAAATGGGGAAACACTGTGTGGACGTGGGGTAAGTCCACACAACGTCGGTGCTACCTACATTATGTGGACGTCTTTTGTTCGGAAGTCCACACTGCGTATGTAAGACAAACTCACCCACCCACCCACACACACACCCACACACCCACCCACCCACCCACCCACCCACCCACGGAAGGACAAGGCGGAAACAGTATGCCCCTTCGGCTTCGCCGCGGGGCATAAAAACACAGGTACCTTTTTCTACTACTGTAGTCTTGCGGGAAAAAGGAGCTAGTAAAAAGGCTTGCTTAAAGACACAATGACAAAGCATATGACTAACCACAGGATTTAAACTCCTGATCCTTAGATGCATATGTAGCAAGATATGTGACAGAGGGCCCCCCCCCCCTCTTTTGTGTTTGCCATTGGTTACCAGAATCTTAGGAATTCTTTTGAGATATCTTGGGGGAGGGGGCATCACTTTGTCACAAATTGTGCTGGGTATACTCAGATGATACGTTTTGGAAAGACAACAATCTGAAATCTTACCGACTGAGGAGTCGACGGTGTAGACAAGTCTGGAGGTCACGGGGTCATACCCAACATTCCCCTGGATTGGCAGGGCGTTACCGGTCTGAGGATGGACGAAATAATCTGGAGGGATGTTCTTGACTTTACCGTTGGCCAATAGCATGCGAGCATCGCTGTTTGGTACGATAAGACCCGTCGTCGTGTTCTGGTGAACAAGGTCCGTGCGCTGTATACTCCCATCGGGACCTTTTAATGAGAAATTATTAGCAGAGAGATTGAAACAGAAGAAAAAAATGAAAAACATTTCCTGTGGTAGATATTTCATCTTTAAAATCCCAAATTTCCATATCCACAGGAAAATTGTATCCTTTAATGTTACAGTGTCAAGTGTTGTTCGGAAGACAATTTTTTAAATAATACTGATTTGCACAAATATTTGATTAGACCAAACCTGTCTGTTCAGCAAAAAAAAAATTAAATAAAATTAAAAAAAATAAAGGCCACCAACCGAAACAAACTCATTTATCTGGATTTTGGCAAATTGTTGCTTAGAGAAAATAACATTTGCTAGGCAAAGTTTCATGCTTAGTACCACTGTGAAATTGAAATGGTGGAGTAACCTCTGCTGCGTGAACATTCTCGTTTTCAGCCCCAAAAGTGTTAAAATTTACATTGAGAGCAATTTCAGCGTTATGAAAGGAAGTGTAATGCTTGTGACAGAATATATCATAAATGATTCAGAGAAATGATCCAAAACTCCAAGTCTGTAATCAATGAGTGTCTCTAGATGATGGATGAATAAGATTTGAAAAATAATTTCAGGTTTATTCACTGAGCTCTTAAAAGTTCTCACTCAGTCATGGACATATACCGTAACCCAAAAATGTCCCTCAATGAGAAATTAAAAAAATGTTTACAGACCGGGTTGGTCTAAAACATACAAATCACAAAAGTGAGAGGATGTTTATGTTGATCCAATGACGATTTTTTTTCAGAGGTAAAGAAAATTCATATTAGGATTAAAACATCAGGCCCTCAAACCTAAAATCAAAATTGCGTCCGCTTTTCGGTTTTTTTTTTAAGTTTGTTGAAACTGCATAAGCTTTAACAAATTACAAAAGTTCAGCGGCTTTTACCGAATAGCTCTTCCTTGGGTACAGGTGTATTAGTGTCAGGTGCAACAAGGGGAGCGCCGATGCCCTGGCCTAGCACACCCCAAGCACCGATACGCTGGGCCTCTGCCGATACCTCACTGGACATGCGGCCTAGCAGGGCTCCAACTCGACGGATCACACTGCAAAAAAAATAGAAAAGAAAAAGATTTTACTGCATTTATTATTACGGAACTTTGTCTTTGAACAGCACTTGAGAAACAATGGGTGTCACTTATTTTCTCATTTTGTAAGGGAATCTTTTTTAACCTGCAATTTGATATACTGGTACAATCAATTAAAACAAACTTCCCAATGATATCAGAATTTCAACTACACTTAACATATTTAAAACTAACATTCAAATGTACCTGTACAACTGCTCTTTGTAAAATACTTATCTGTATTACCTTACTGAGTTTGTTTAATCCTCATAAAATGTATGTATAGTGCCCTATTTAGGCTCACAAAAATTCAAGGGGTTTTTGTTTGATTTTTCATGATTCAGTTTTTTCTAGCTGTCCATTCGTCCGTTTTGTCTTGCATGGCATCCCCAGCTCAAGTAACCGCTTCCCGAGACATTAGTCTCATTTTGAAAGGGGAGGATATATCAGAGACATAGTCTGTGAAACCCTCACACGTGGAAAATGTTAGATTTGAGAAAGTGTAACATAGGTCCGTTTTTCTGTACTGGAGCCACTTCAATTGTGATGCGATCAAGCTTAATGAGTTGTTTGTGGGCAATTCTGATTTTAAGATGCAGCCCAAAATAGTTCAGTATGGGTGGAAATTTCAAAATTGACTTGTTTTTGTAAAATCGGAAGGCTACATATGTCCTCTTTCATGTTAACTATTTTTTTCTGAGAAAATCCACGATGAAGTACATGTAGTTAAACTGTGACATTTTTGATAAAGAGTTAATATTCAATAACCTAAAATAAAGCATGTTTATTGTTGCTTAATAAAAGCTTCAATTTTGAATAATTAATTTCTGTTTGATTTTTCTGGTTTCTTCTTTCTGATCTGGCTGTGTTCTTAGTTCCACAATTTCTGAACGGAAAGTGGTATTCACATGGGGTTTCCACCAAATAGAAGCCAACAGATAACTTCATTCAAATATGTAGATAACCAACATTTGATATGGGCCGACAAGAGACTCATTCAGCTAGATTGCATCACAATTTAAGACGTTTTGAAGGACTCACTGTTTCTGTGTGGTGTTGTCAAATTCTTGCTCCAAGCTCTTCTTTCCGCTGGTCGTGCTCTCTGAGTAATCATGCAGGGTGCGGACCGCTTCACGCAGAGCTGATAGGTATGACACCTAAAGAGGAAGACAACAAAAATATGGATAAAAACATCAAAACCCCTGATATTACTGTGTACTCAAAATAGCAAGAGGATGCAATTTTATTCACACTGATAAAACAAGTATTTTTTTTTTACTCTTGATATGAAAAAGAAGCAATGGACTGTTCTGGATTCGACACAAGCTCCGCCCCCCTTTGAGCTGTGATCTGATTAGTCAATGTGGGCTGTTTGATTGAAAGTCTTGAACAGCCCTGTGTTCTGTTCATTCGCAATATCTAGTTTTTTCCCAATCTTTTTTTCTTCTATCCCAAATCCAAAAGGTGATTAGTGTGGATACTAGCCTGGTGCTCTTCTCTATTCTTCTCATCTTCCTCTTTGATCTCCAGCTGTCGCTTCAAGATGGCTTCGAAGCGGAAACCTAGCTCCTTACGCCGCTCCAACTCCATCTCGAGCTGAAAAACCAGATGCAAACAAATAACATCATAAAAACTGTCTGCCTTTCTTCAGATTTAACACAGAAAATTGTCACTCTTGCCCCGCGACTGCCGGAGCTGTTGCAGTCAACATAATCTGGAAGTTTTTAAAGCGCCCACAAGAACCTGTGTCTGGCAGTTGCTGAGTAAAGTGCAGTGTTATGGCAAAAACAACAAAAACAACAGAGAACAATGACTGAAGAGTGATTTAAATATACATGTATGACCATTTGCAAAATGGCACTGGCACTTGACTATGCATCCCTCTAATGACAGTATCTCAAATTATCTATGTTTTCGAATCAAGGTAAAGTGCTGAAGCTTAGCAGTCTGAGTCAGTCTCTGTAGATCCATCACATACAATGTAATAAAAAGCAATACAATGTAATACAATGTCATACAATACAAAGTCATAAAAAATGTACTACATGTAATAAAATGTAATACATGTGTTAATACGTTCATATAAACTGTGAGCTGCATGTGTGGTACCCCACCTCTTCATTCTTGCGCTCATATGCTTCCAGGTCTCCTTCTGTTGCGAGGGCACTGCGTCCCTTCAGGTTCATCTTGGCTACCCACAATCCTTTGAGGTTCTCGGCCTGGTTGGACAGCTTCTGGTACAGAGCCTTGGCCTGTCAAAACGTAATACATAAAAACAACTTCCAGTTACGGTACAGTTTCAGAACAAAATCCAAGTAAAATTTGGTTCAGTTAGTTAGTCGATCGGTTGGGTCCAGCAAAAAATGACTCCAGTTTCTGAACCGTACCTCTTCTTTTTGTCGTCCGAGCTCTGAGGTCACATGACGAGACTGTTGAGCGAGATGCCCGTAGAAGTCGGCCGTGCTGAAGGCCTCAAAATCAACCTGCTTGTCATAGTCCCAATACTCATCACCTTTCAGTTCAATAGAATCTGAAATGGGGAAAAAGAAATTGATATTGAACCTGAAATCATAGGAATAGTGAGGTGGCATGAAGTTTACCTGCACACGGCCAGCAGCAACACCAGGATCTACAGGCCTTTATCATGCTGCCACCATTTCAGTCATGTTCCCTGTATCCAATAACAGTACTGAATGATAATATTATTTGTGCAAAAAGGAACCAGACTATTTCCCTTCCAGCCTCGCTTTGGTTACGTTGATTTGAATGCGAACAAAATCAAGATGGCCGTAGCATGATAAGGCCAAAAAAAAAGTCTCGGGTTTCTGGTATGGAGCTTGCCCCAAAAGTGGTGCAGCGATGCTGCTTTTTTTTTTTTTTTTTTTTTTTTTTGCTTCAAATGTCGGCTGATGACTGCAAATGGTGCCCGACTAAATTTAGTGCAAAATATATGGGAGTCCAGAGAGGCCACATAAAGCTTATACTCGATCGTAACCGCATCTAAAAACACGTTAAAATTGTGCAGCAGCAGGATTCCAGTCAAACCAGTGAGTTGGCAGTTTTTAGACATCATCTTACATTGAAAAAAAAAATTTCATTTTGCTGACGCGCATGGCTACAGCGACGCGCGCGCATACCAGAAACCGGAGACTTTTTTTTTGGCCTAATGGACTATAGGAAGTGACTTCTGCAGCTTCCATGAGCTCATGTGTTATACTGCTGAGCGATTCGCACGGAAACCCCGTAACTCAGAACATGGCCTATTTCTTCAGCCCTTTGCTGGGCTCAGACTGAAAGTCAAGCAAGCTTTTCTTGGCGGAAAACTGAGGCAACAAATGCACTATTTGGACAGTAAATGGAAGTCCTCAGAAAAAAAAAATAAAAGCTTTGGGTTGGCTGCAACCCGAGACGATGAGTTCAATGCTCCAGACCACAAGGCCACGGCACTCCAATGTTTGTTGACTGGACTGCTCATCTTTAACCAGTTCGCGCCGGATGAAGTGTATACACAAAAAGGTTTTGCAGTATTCGGAACAGATGACGAATAACCCCGCAGTGAGCGAGGCCGGAAATATCTGTAAGCGACCCGCTCGCAGCGAGTGAGGCCGGAAATATGAGTGTGCTGCCCAAGGGTGATGGCTTCAACCCGCCTGGCTTGAGGTTGAGTGAAAGAATATCACGCGCCACCTTCCGTTCTTGTCAAAATAATCCCAGCGCGTACTGGTTAATGAATCAGGCAAACTGTCCAACTCACCGTCAATGACGACCCCTCCCTCTGCCCCGTCCCCATGTTCAGCACGCCCCTCCAGCGCCCTGTGGTACTTCTTGACCGGATGCACTGCGGACCCCTTAGAAGCATAGTCATCAAAGTTGTGGTTCTGGATCAGGGCGCGGTACTTGGGCCGGATGTAGGAGACTTTGCCCCAGCCGTACTTGCGGAAGAGAATCTGTTCCAAGAGAGATTGTCAGAATATTGTTGTAAAATTAGACTGAATGAAGAAAATTAACACAGCCTCCCCCCAAAAAGGGGTTAGAAATAAAAAAGTATAAAAAAGGTACATGTATATAAGTATAAACACAGCTATTCATATGAGAATTTCAGGCTCTGGGCTGAATAATAAACTCAGTTTAAAGAGTATTTGTTAGGAATAACAGAGTATAAAATCCCAAATATCCATCTGACCAAAAGGTAAAAACAAAACACAAATAGAAAATCCACCTAAGGTCCCAAAATTGTCCACAATTTTCAAATTGTTTTTCTGAAAAATCGGGTCTGAAAATTAACAATGTCAAAAAAATATGTTAATCGCCCTTTGTATGGAAAGAAACCCCTCAATATCGGGAATGGGAAACGGCTCTCCTTGGTGTTAGCAAAATTTCCCGGGTACTGTAGCAGAAAGTTTGTGCTTACGATAAGTGTATTTCACCGGTTAGCATGGAATTTTGGCTGATGCACACATTCTTGTATCCCATAACGTAGGACGTTGTGCTTACAGAGATTAGAGCAGAATTGTGTCGCTAGTGCTGTTATTACAGGTTGATGATCATAAGAGCGAAATTGCGTATCAGCAGAGCCATCAAATTGAGCCCTGGCGTCGAAGGCCCATTGAAGGCCATCTTGCCTATTGTTCGTGCACAGAGCCCACTGAACTCACCAGGACCAGCACCAGCAGGATGGTGAGGATCAGGATGAGTCCGAGCACCAGACCGATGGTCAGCCAATCAGGAGCCAGCAGGATAGACTGGCCCACGGCGATGCCGTTCTGGACGATGTATCGTGGCGTGGCAGGGAAGAACGGTCCGTCCTCTGAACACTGTGCATTCTGGGCCATGACGCGCACATACTGAAAGGGAAAGTGGAGTAATTAAAAACAAATTGAAAAAGTCGTTAAAATTATCAGCATCTGTGGGAATTAAAAGCAAAAATAACAAAAGCTGATGGTTTACTTGATTTTTGTTTTAGACTACTTTGAAGTATTTACTTTGTCTACAATAGCCAATATTTTCTAACTATCATTTTACATCTCTGTTGCGTTGGTCAACAATTATCAGTATTTTTATGCGTCATAATGCTTTTTTTGAGAAATTATCTTTCAACTTATCAGATAAGCCATTTCACTTTATTCCTTAATTATATAATTGATTTTTTGAATCTCCAAAACAGGATTAGTCCTACCTGTTTCTCCCTATATTGCCCCTGCACTGAGTGGTTTATGAATTATCAGAGAATAAATACAATGTTATACAATGTATTACAATGTTATACAATGTAATAACGTTACACAATGTAATATACGTAATACAAGCGCTAATACAACAAATTATGAGCAAACAGCCATATGTATGCCTCAGCCACATATCTGACTTAGTGTTCTTTATACTCTTTCATGTGACACTTTGTTAAAAAAATAACAAAAACAACAAAAATCAAACAAACAAACAGGACAATTGCGTACCATCTTTCGCTCTGCGTTGCTGCTGAGAGAGAAGACGTACACGCCAGGATCCACAAAGCGATAGGTGAAGAGTGTGGTCGATGTTCCAATCTGAGTCTGCATCTCCTGCAACTCACGGAAACCACCATAGTCAAACTGCTCATTGGTGTTGTACAGGTTCTCTCTGAAACAACAAAGACCAACAACAAAAAATGTTGACATTCACAAGTCTAGCATTATCAGAGCAACATCGGGCAAGGACCATTACAGACCCAGTGGTTGCTTAGCGAAGCAACTCACGCCTACACACTAACAGCATCATCACATAAAGTTTTGATCCTGGCTCCCCGTTATGTATTATGATAGGAGCAGCTATTGATAACCAGCTATGGAACGGTGCCAAGGGCTCCTGTTCCAAATAGTCAACATGAGTAGTCCAACTATCCTGCGAGCGAGCAAAAGTAAATTATTTGACAGTGTTGTAGTACTGGTACTCAGTACTCGAGTATTACTCAAGTACTTGTCTTAGAGTACTCGTACTCGTACTTGAATGTCAAAGTACTCTCACTGGAAATTACGGTACTCGTACTCGGGCAGCAAAGTACTCGTACTCGACATGTCAAAATTGTACTCGATCATCAAAGTACTTGTACTCGAATAGCAGTACTTGAAAAAAAAAGTATAGCTTGACTTACTACTGCTTTATTTAATTGATACTTTCAGTTTGAAATGGTTGATTGGCTTGCGGAGAAATCAAAGTTTCCTGATTTTCCTCTGTACACGTCCGGACAAACACATTTAACGGTTAGCCGTGATTGGATCTGTATATTGGTCAGACTGGTTCTGGGCCAATTACACACAATGAACCATTTGCCACATGGCCATATTTGGAAAAATTGAACTCGTACTCCTATTACTCATACTCGTACTCGTACGTACAAACACTCGTACTTGGAGACCTGTACTTGTACTCAGAAGTACAAGTGCTCACACTTGTACTCGGTGTACTAAGTACTCATCAGTACTCGCTACGTGGAAAAAAATACTCGACTACAACACTGTTATTTGAGGTATGGTTAACCATAGTCCCTGCTGGAACTTGCACACATTTGATGTAAATTTTCACCTGTGCTCTCTATGAAATGAATGGGGTGAAATTCTTTTAAGAGTGCGTGTCCATGTGTTTGACATGTGAGGGCATTGTTGCTGTAATTTTTTTTTTTTTGAAAAATTTCTGTACTAAATGATGATTCTAAAATGTAGGTCATATTATAGTTTTGACCACTTTTCCACAGATTTTTAATATCAATAAAAAGGAGGAACACACACACAAAAACAACCTGACCTAAACGAAAACCAAAAAAACTCTCAGACTGAAGCTAAATTGCGTCAGGTGAGATCTCTGTTTTGCTCATAAATATGGAACAAATCATTAGCATACAATTATAAAGGCTCTGTAATACCAACAGAAACGGATTTTTTTACGATTGAGATTGAAGCATTGAAGCTAAATCAAACATACAATATGTACATTATTGGCTACTCAGAATTTGATAAATACATACATATCGTCGGGTGCACCACGAAATGACATATCATCTATGAACTTTGTGCACACGATATGCCACATCGTGGTGCGACCGACGATATGTATGTATACTAACTAAGTCAATCTTTATTCTCCCAAACTCACCTGTCGTAGACGGGATAGTTTTCGTTGTCCACGTAGAACATCATGGTCTCACCGTACTTCAAGCACACCGTCGGGTCAGAAATACCTGTAAAGGTGGACCCTGGAACCCCCGAGCTGGACAAGAGGCGACGGCTGCCACCTCGTGTCATCGTTGAGTTGTCAAAGACGGACAGTAGACGGCGACGCGAGACCGTGTACGTGGAGGAACCATTGACGGTGGTGGCGTTGTTCAGGCCCTTGGCGTTTTGTACGATCAGGCTCTCTACCTGCTCCGGGGCTGGGTCGTAAACGCCTAGCATCCCTTGACCTGTGATAAAGTTACATTAGTGTATGGATTAATAAATCATTCAATGGGCTCTATGCATTCTTTTGACGTTAAGAAAGGGAGAGTTGGGGGAGACCCCTAGCCGGTTTTAAACTTTATTGTTTAAAACCGGCCAAGCACGTTTTTATTCCATTATTATACGTGAGTTGCATCCAAAAACTTGGCTAGGGAAACCATCCGCTTCGTTCACAAGTACCCCCACAAGAACAGTTGGGGATGACTGACCGATGCCATCTTGCCTGACTGCAATTCATTTACCGCGAAGTGCGGCCACTGCGTGTACATAGTACAAATCCCCTAGTGTGCGTGCGTCACACACAAGGAAGGGTGCGCGTCAACCAGTGAAATGTCCCGCCCATGGGACGTCGTTGCTAGGTAATAGGGCGCCCTCTTTCTTCGGCGCACGGAGCTCATAATCCACTTTCTATATGTGTGTTATTGCCCGCAATATCAAGTAACTCTGACGCAGGCCGAGGTAAAAGAAAGAATTGACTGGAGCGGGTTTTGAACATGTAATATCTGGAACACTGCAATTCCATCCTAGTGCTCTACTGGTATCTACTGATACAACAACGGTTAAAAATGGCCTTCAACAAAAGTGTGGCATTTGACAAACACACAAAACCACACACGTTTTTCATCATCTCCCCAAGACCTCTAACATTTGTTGAATGTTTGAATAAACAATTTTAGAAAAATATTCGGAAATTCAGTTGATGATTGGATTTCAGTTGATGATCGACTATTCAAATATTCAACATACATGTATTTGGCCAAGGGCCTTATGATTAGAACGTATCGGAAAAGCATTCAAAATTTTTTAAAGGTCACCGAAGCGCCCAACCAAAAACTATAAACAAAAAGGGGGGCGGGGGAAAGCTAGATCCGTCCCTGTGAAGCTCTTCAATTACAAAACAAATGACATGAATTAAGCATGGCAGTAAAAAAAAACTGTGTAAAGAGCAAGTTACATACATCAGTTTTAAGAAGCTAGACTTACCGCTGGCCTCAGTGATGTGAATGACCTGCTTGCTACCATCCAAAGCCTCACACTGATCAGCTGAGATGGCATTGCGTGCGTTGATCACCTTGGTGAGACTGGTCAGAGGAATCTTGGTCTGGAGAACAAGACACATAGGCAAGAGATGTGAGGGTCTGATCGTTTGACGTCTAAGTACCACATGACCATCCGGTTTCCCAGTGATCTTCCACCATTGCAGTAGGCAAGCGTTTGGTTAGCAACCACGTTGTACATTGTTAATTAGAGAATAGGATTATTAACATGTAAAATAACCACAAATTCTTTATCAAATGACCTGTACCGTGAATGGTTGTCATAATCGTGTCTACCCAGCAATGGGTGTTGGCTCCGCGCCTTTTTTTATATACTTCTTTTTCTGGTTTGCTTAAAAATTCAGATTGCAGCCAAAGGCTGAACTACGTGAAATTTACAATACAAAAACAAGAAACAACAACTATATATAAATATATTATTTAAAAAAAGAAAGAAACTTGGTCATTAAAAGCATTGTTTTTGCCATCCATCACAGCTTTGAAGGCTTGCCTACTAACTACTGCATGGTGTTATATGATCTTTACCTACTACAATGGCGACTGTGTCTTTCCGCCCCCCGGATGTAGGCCGGGTCATGTGGGACACTGAGAGCTCTTTAACAAAAGTTTTATTAGGGTTCCCACAGAAATATTAAAATTCCCTGGACAAAATTAGGACTTTCCATGACTAATTGCTGCTCTTGTTTATTTTTCCATCTTTAAGAGCTTATTTACAAAACACTGGCCAGACATCACACTGAAAACAAAAGGTTTCTGCACTGGCATCGTCATCAACAATATGGCCTCCCCCTCCAATAACAGTACGTGCAATTATCGGAATGCGATTTGTGAATTCAATGTTGAATTTTAACCTGAATATGAACACAGTGAAATGACAGCACCACACCTGTTGAAGGTATGATTTGGTTAACATGAATTTGACTACTGAGAAACAGGAGCAATTCAAAAGTACAGAGCAGCATCACAGGATTGGCTCTGGAGAGGCCATACTTTTAAAAAGCATGATGGGGGAAAGTTGATAATAATGAAAATTGCCTTCGTTTTTAAAAAAAAATCAAAAATAACTCACCTGTTCTCCACTGGGGTACTCGATGCACACGATAGGTGGGTCGTCGCACACCAGGCTGATACGGTTGCGTTGGCTAAGGCGACACTCTAGGTCACAGATCTCCTGGAGGTCGTCAACCTTACAAACGCAGAGCGAGAGCGTCACGTCGTAACCAAGGTAGACTTCCGCAGATGGACAACCGCCCTGAGTAAGTAAAAAAGGACAAAATTAAGTTAAGGAGATTGTTCCACTTTGATTTATTCCATTTATAGTTTTTCAATCGTCCATATATTTCATTGTTGAAACTAAGTAAACTCTCTCAGGAATTACCATGGCCCATCGGACTCGTACTCATAGAAAGGTATTCGACTACAACAACTGACAGGTCACATCTCTCAAAATGCCAGCATTACCTTTGGACTCTTTGCACAAGGACAACTCAACAGTGAAAAAGACAGAACAATTCACATTTAGACACCATTGTCATCGTTTTTGTCTATGCTATTTCAGATGGAATTTCTTACAAAACAGCTACACATTCTTTTTGGGTACTTCAAATGAAAAGTACACACATTAATGCATGCATGTAACAATAACATGTAGAACAGGTCACATGAGATATTATTTGTCACCTTCAGTTCCAAACTGTGGTTCTACTGTTTTTGTGTGTGTTTATTTGGTGTTTTCTGTTACCCCTGTTTTGCAGTATTCTTCCCATCCAGCGGCGTCTAGGCACGTTCCATTCTGGTTGCGGGACGTTCCCTCTATGCAGATGTCGTACACCTCCTCCACGCAATCCTGCTCCCGTCCGACGAGAGTCTGGTAGCCCTGCTTGCACAGGCACTTACGGTCACTTGGCTGTTGACATAGGGGAGACAGGGTACCAGACATTAGGATTTCATTCAAATTAGGTTTTGCCCTTCACCGACGTTTAAACACTGTATACTCAGTGTTTAAACGTCGTCGGTGAAGGGCAAAACCTAATTAGGATTTCATTGTTAACCTTTTAGAGACTGTAGTGCACGAAAGCGAAATTCCCTATGTTTTTGACTGTGTGTTTTTAAGATACACATAAAATGTTGAAGGTTTCTAAGTTTTCATCATATAGTTCAAGTTTAGTACCCATTGGCACCTGTACTGCAATGTATTAAGTTTTATTACAGTGTATTCCATTACATTTCATTGTATTTATTGTCTGAAGAATTCTTAAATCCATTAAGTGTAAGGGGACTTTGGCACTACAGTGAGTAACAGGCAGGGAGGTTTGGGACGATACAGGGACTAAAGGCCGTTTCATACTTCATGCGAATGCAATGTGAATTTGACGTCACTAAGCGTTTGCTGCAAAATTCGCCAGAGTTGAAATGTGTTCAAATTCGCAGTGCCAAAAACTTGTCCTGACAAAATCTGCATTTGCATTCACTTTCGCACCGAGTATAAACTGGCCCAAGATCTTTCAAAACAGGTAAGCTTGATCACATCACATATTATTAACTCTCCCCAACACAAACCTACCTGGAATTGTTTGCCTGCGCCGGTGCATATGCACTGATCCTGTCCCATCTCAGGCTGGTAGGCTTCAGCACCGCAGTGGAAGCAGCCGTCTTGTCCTTCCAGATGATTGAAGTGATCCACTGGGCAGGCCAGACAGTCCGACAGGGACATGCCAAACTGTGCGTCGTTGTAGGTGCCGATGGGGCAGGCAATCTCGATGGCTGATCCTTCTGGGCAGTAGTAGCCTAGATGGACATAGAATAGCAATCCTATCAGTGCTAGAAAAATGTCTAAATTCTTTTCTTTTTTTTGCAAACCGACACTCTGAGCTCAGATTTTAAACTTGAAAAAAAAATAGTTCATTAAATCAACTTAATTACTCACTAAAATTTGTCTAGCAAATGACATTTGACAATTGCAACATGGTTTTATGAAAAGATCTTTTTTCAGTTATTAGCCAATAATGTTGAAATGAAGATTTGTAAATTTTATTATAATAGTGGTGTTCTCCAAATGTTTGTTTTGGGGGCTAAAATTTCAAGCTACCCCACTGGAAGTTTTACCCATGTTTAAATTTCTTTTTCACTTTTTATCTCTTACTGTTCAGTATCTTGGTCACATTTTCAAAATAATATTATAATATAATGATTAAGCTCACAAGTAATCACAGATAAACTATGACAACGAACAAACAGATGCCTTTGTCAAGAGATTTGTGACTGAATTGTGACTGACTTGTGCTTGACTTGCGACTGACTTGCGATTGACTTATAACTGACTTGTGACAGACTTGCAATTGACTTGTGACTGAGTTGAGACAGAATTGTGATTGACTTGTGATGGACTTGTGATGGACTTGTGATTGACTTGTGATGGACTTGTGACTGACTTGTGACTGTCTTGTGATTGACTTGTGATTGGATTGTGATTGGCTTTTGAAGACTGGCTGACAAACTATTAAGAAAACCCATGGTAAAAACAAAATGAACCAGAGTGTTTACCGTATGGGCAAGGATAGGAGTTGGTCACGTTGACCCCGTGGCTGGTGTCGTTGCCTTGCGGGGTGTCGGTCGTCGCCCCTTCCAGACAGACCACGCCCGCCTGGCAGATGCTGCAATTGGCACGGTCCGGCTCGTTGCCGTAGTAACCGGCCTGGCAGATCTCGCAGGTGTTGGCGAACGTGGAGCGGCGAGATCCGTCTTTCTCCCGGTAGCCCAGTGGGCATTTGACTGGAACTATACCTCCTGTGATTAGTTGAACAAAAAAAAATGTGAAAAAAAGTCTTTACTAAATTCTCAATGATTAACCATTGTTGCTTGTACCATATTGTATTACAATGTGTTTATCCCTTGATGAATGCATAAACCCAGTCAGTACTTGGGCAGTTTAGGGAAGTACAGGGAGCAACAGACAGGGCAGTATTGGGCACTACAAGGACTGATGTATTTAAGTAAAACGTAGGTCATTTTGACAGGCACTTCATTGCAACATTTGGCATCGCCCGTAATATTACGTACATGTATGTATATTAATTTCATACAACTGTCTACTTGGATAAGGTCACACAATGAATTCTACTAGACCCCTCCTTACCTGCACAGGGTTCAGTGTCGCAGTCCTCACCACAGTAGTGTCCCGCCGGGCAGGGCATGGGGTAGCTGGAGTTGACTGGGCAGTAGAAGCCAGCGGGGCACGGCACCTGGGTCAAGGAAGCGTTACAGTAGTATCCTAAATAGGGGGAAGAAAAGGAGGATCATGTCAGTGACATGAAACACAAGTTTAAATGCATGTAGGATTATTTGTATTTACCCTAAAAGTAACCCAACAAATTATTATGCAAATGCTTACTTGGATTATAGATACTAAATACTAAATGATACTAAACACCCTGTGAAATTATTCTGTCTGGCTTGCTGTCAGTCAGAAGAAATCATGAAATGTAGGTGATTTCCAACGATCAGTCAATTGACTGATTGTTGGAATAAAGAGTGCAATGGACCAAATTGTGTTTCGTGATCAATTGTGTTTCGTGTGCATGTTTTCTTTTTACTGTTTTCTCGAAAAGTGTAATATCCACAGGTTAGCTTTTGAACATTGTTCTTTGGAATTTGAGTGTTAATAATAATAATAATAACTGTATTTATATAGCGCTTTTGCCAGAGGATACAAAGCGCTGGGGGAGAATGCAACCAAAGACAGGTAAATGAAGTATATGAACATATGAGACCCATTATGAAGCACCTTTTTGCTAGGTGCTGCGGCGCATAATTGCTGCCACTGCCAGAAACACCGGGGCAAACCCCTCCTCTTAGCAACAAGTGTTACTGGGTTCTTTAACGTGCATTACACAACACACGGGACCTACGGCTTTACGTCCCATTCGAAGGACGAAGCAATAATGGTAAAGTGCCTTGCTCAAGAGTTCAAGCACCATGTTCCCAAGGTCAGGATTCGAACCCGTGTACCACGGCACACGAGTCGAACACCGTAACCATTGGACCACAGCGCCCCACAATTATTGTGTTATTATTGGAAATGAGCTACATGCATTAAAAGTACATAATTCTATATGTCTTTAAAGGTCCACTAGATGATACATACAGCTAGTGTGAATCACAATACAGTGTGCAGCAAGTGTTGGCCACTTGCCCATTCTGCGTTACAATTTTTACTGATTTCCAGTGAGTAATTTTTAGGGACTTACCCGGTTGGCAATCTCTCTGTTCCCATGATCCCTCGGGGCAGAACTGTCCTTCCAAGCACTCAATGCCATAGCTGCTGGCCGTGTCGTTGGGGCAGTAGAAGCCGGCCGGGCACACCCAGCATTCATCTTGACCTGAAGAACAATTGGAAAATGAAGTTGAGAAAATGAGTAAAGCTTTCCTCAAAAGTTACCTTTGGAGAAAATATATAGAAGAACTACATCAACGATTACTCTTTAAAATCTAGTTTATTTCATTTATATAAATGGGTGGTTTTATTGTTTATCAAATGCCACATTTTCGTGGACAATTTCTTTACACGATTTATTTTGAGAGCTTTCGTGAGGAATATTATCCATTTTTGCATGTTTAAAATCTGTAAAATATAAGCTAGTCAGTTACATGTACCTTGAAAAAATATATCATTACGTACACAATATTCCTAAAAGTGTAATGAGCTCAGTGTCAATGTTTGAATATTTGCAAATGCTAACATACTCAAAGTTCAAATAATTGAATGCTAAACTATTTGAACATGCACAGCATTAAAAAAGTCCATTCAGTTTAACTGCTAGTTAGCTACCTTTGAAAAATATATTGATACTTACACGATGTTCTTAATATTTCATTTTAGCTCAATGTCAATGTTCGAATGAACTCAAGTTTGAATAATTGATAAGTCCTGTCAGTAACATCTAGCAACTACCTTGGACAAATATATCGATACTTACACAATGTTCCTAATATTTCATATAGATCAATGTGGATGCTCAAATATTTAAATATTTGAACAAATACTGCAAAGTGGAATAATCATTAGAAAACAGCTGTTACTATACAGGTGAAAGGATTTCAAAAATACTATATTTCAAATATACCTCTTGCTGCCTGCGTGTCCCTGTAGGTTCCTGGAGGGCAGGGGATAGGCTCTGGGGTAGCTATAGGGCAGTAATAACCCAACGGACATGGACTGATTGTGAAGTCTGTCATGGCTGTTTACAAAACAGGAGAAATAAAGAATGATGTTGAAAAAAACTTTCAAATTGAAGTTGAAGAGATCTCAAAAACCAAAATATGAATCACAAATTGTATAACTACATGTATTCTGTGCGAAGGGGGCAGACCTAGTACAAGTTTTGGCTTCTTGACTGACCTCCCCATACTATTATTTCAAGTTCCGTAAAAGTTTTGCCCATGTAATTAACGTACCTTATAGTATGGAAATAAACCTGCAACCTGAAACAGGCAGTCCGACCATTACTGTCAGGGTTCCGGGGTCTTTATGAAAATAAAATTCCCTAGGTTTTCCCCGATAAGGAATTGCCAAAATTCCATGAGAAATATTTTCATTTAACAAGGTAGCTAGGAAGTCAAGAGGTGGTTGCAGCAAAGCAACTAAGATACTGATAATATTCACACCGCATGAACACTAGAAAGCCACCATAGCCAGTCAGTTACTGGACGCAACTGGGACACATGGCACAAGACGCACACACCAACGACTTTTTAATCAAAACATTTCACCCAATGAAAGGCCAAGCATGTACCTGGGTAGTTGCACCAATAGCCAGATGGGCATGGCATGCACGTGCTGGAATTGGTGGCCTGGGATTCGTCTGAGTAGGTCCGGTTCGGACAGGGCTTGGGATCCTCGTTAAACTCGCAGTAGTAACCTGGAAACAAGACAAAAAACAGAAAGCATTTTTTTTCATAAATGTTTTGCATTTAAAGAATAATATTACTTTGACGGTTAAGTGCTTTATATAAAAGAATGACATTATTCGTTGCATACATTCTTTGGCTGAATGTTGCGCTTCAAAAAAAAAAAAATGGGAAAAATTTCGAGATGAGACAATTTTCTCAAATGTTTGTGTTTCACTAGTAGATTAAATGCCAGTTTCTGAAATTTTTTTTGAATGTTCCATTAAGAACCTGAAGAAAAAAAAAAACGGCAAAAAAAACCCAAAATTAAAACAAGATGTGATTCAGCTTTTTATACCCATATTTAGCAAATTAAATCTGCTTGCATCAAAATTATTTCAGAGATTTATTGTCAGCCTGTTTTCAACATCTTTGATTACTTTATGAATCCTTAATCTCTTAACTTTAAATAATGTAAAGGTACCATTTTGAAAAGAAAATGAATTTCATAAAAATAAGTGTAACAGGGCCAGAATCATGCCACTCAAGATAAAGGCTTCAAAACAGAAAAACAATCCAAGACAGCTGACAGAATGAAGAAAACATGCTAAAAATAGCTAGGACGATGGCATTACACTTGACCTACTACATGTAAACAGTTGTCAAGAGATTAGTGAAACATTTTGATATGCGCATAAATGAATAAATCTGCATAAATGACAGCCCACCTGGAGTGCATGGCTCCGCCTTGATGCTGTCGAATGTGCAGATGTAGCCAGCCGGGCACTGGGTGCACTCCGCTGAGCTCTTGGCCCCTGGCTCCGTAATGACTTGGCCCGGTGAGCATGTGGACACATTCAGGGCACCTGGGAAAAGAGGAACAGCAAACCAATCAATTTAGCAGGTGTATAACATCAGGTTAAATATTGATGTGTTGTTAGACTGGAACCTGTTCTCATAAAATGAGAACAGGCAATGTCCTCTCAGGTTCTGAGACTCCATTGGTTGCTTGGCACCATGGTGATTCTATTCTCCCTCCTTTGTGGCCTGATTGGCCAAGTTATGAGATGGAGCTCACAATGAAAATATATTTTTGGAGCCGTGTTTGGACAATGTGCAGTGTTTAGCGTATTTCCAGCACATCCCTTCCCCTCAAATGCCACCTTTTAAACTTATTAAAAGGGAATATACAACATTTGCTTTTGCTGTAATTTTTCAGAAATGGATAGATTTGGGAGTTAATATTTTCTAGCAAATATTGTTACACTGACCTGTTTAAAGTGTTGTGTTCATAGATGCTGGAATAGCCAAGAACATTTTTTTTCTTTACCCAATTTTGGGATGCGTCAGACACAGAACTACTTTAAATCAAGACATTTTACCAAGTGTTCCCAAAAAATGTTTAAAAACTAAATTCTGTGAAAAGTTCTGAAACAGGTTCTCAAAAATATGTTTAATTAACAAACCAAAAAAACAGAAAAAAAACATGCAGCCAATCAAACATTTCAACGTACAATGTCAGCCAATCAAAATTAACAAACCTAGATTTTTGTTTTCAAATTGAGTTACCTTCTAAGCAATAGTAGCCAATAGGACATAGCTCTCCCATGACTGGATCCGATCCATCGGGGGTCGGGGTGTCAGCGCCAGCGTAGCAGATGAATCCTGCCGTGCAGGGTCCTGCAATCCTACCGCCTCGGCAGTAACTCCCTGAAGGAAGAAAGCACAAAAATCTTAACATCAAGTCAAAAAACCGATGGGGAACCGGTGTAGGAAGACAATGAAAGGAAAGTTGATCAGGGTGGGATTTGGACCCAGACACTGGTTAATGCTTCAGTGCTCTACAGAGGATTGTGTGATGCGATCTTCACAAGATAAAGAAAAATCTGCGTATTAACCCTTTCCTTACAATAGGCGACTTTAATCGATGAGGAAACCACACACAGAATTACCACAACCGGGCCTGGATTAGCCAACAGGCACAGTAGGTACTGTGCCTAGGGCCTACAAAAAAATGGGGGCCTACAACAAAATTGGGGGACTACGAATAATTTGAGGGCCTATGAAAATATCACATTTTGCCAACAGACTTTTTGAGCTACCATTTTGGACTTGCTTTCTTAGTACAGCTTAGCATCAACATGACATTGGTGCTGGTGCTAGTGCTGGTGCTGGTGCTGGTGTAGGGCCTAGGGCCTACAAGCACTTAATCCGGCTACGCCCGCAACGCAGATATATTCACCGCTTTTCAACAGGTTTGTTTTGCCTTACATACACAAACCAGATCCAGAAGCAGAGCTTATTATTAGAGTCCCCAGCCCCACACACCTGCAACCTGTACATCCCATAACGGGAGTTTGCTTGCAGTATTGATCCAGATCCAGATACATAAAACAGTGTGTTTTTTTTCATCATTCTTATGATGTAGATTACTCAGTGTTATCATTCCAAATGTATTTGGTCATGTTGTATAATAACTTGATAACTAGGACCCAATGAAAAAAACCAAAACAGGCACAACTTTCATATTTTTGCACACATGACCTTGATTTTTTACATCACATGAAAGACTGATATTCAAGGAACAAACTTTAAGGACAGCAATTGTGGTTTTCATCATTCCTTGACAGTGAACTGACCTGTGGAGCATTCGGTGCACTGCGTCCACTCCTTCAGCCCCCGGACGTCATCCATGGTGTAGGTGCCGTTAGGGCACGGCGTGGGTTCGACGGAGCCCTCAGGACAGTAGGAGTAAGCACTGCAGGGCTCGGGAGCGCTGGTGTTGACCATGCAGAAGAAACCTTCTGGGCAGACTTCACAGTTTGTCTCGGCCGTAGAGGGCTGGTACGTGCCTGGCAAGATTCGGAGAATTGAACATCTCAAATTAAATTACTAGAGTGCTAAAGCCTGCTTGGTGCATGTACGATGTTGTACAAATTTTAAAGAAAGGTCAAACACAGGGTTACTACTGATAAAAATAGCTGAAAACAGCTGAAAAAGGTGTAAAAAAGCTGGACTTGGAAATCTCCTATACTTTTGTACACAGCAAGTGAGGGAAAAAAGCTGAAATCAAAAACAAAAAAGCTGAAATCAGCTTTAAAGCTGAGATTTCACATCCCTGCAAACATTTAGTTCCTTATATTTTGTTGCATGTTTCTTTTACACGGTAAAAAGGAAAAGCAAAGGAAAGTAAGAAATGAAGCCAGCTGGAGCCCATTTATACACCTGGGTGGAGAGAGGCAATTGTAGTGCAGTGTCTTGCCCAAGGACACAAGCACAAGGAAGGAGAAGTTACTCTGCACCAGGGAACGAGAAGTTACCGCATACAACTCTGGTAGGATTCTTACCTGGGTCACAAGGCACTTGCAAGGACTTATGGACTTGAACTGACTACACCACTGATCGGATTCTTACCTGGGTCGCAGGCCACCGGCGTCGCCGTCTCATTCAGGCAGAATGACCCGGCCGGGCACTCGTAGCCAGCTGGTTCCGGTGAGTCAATCACAGCATCACTCGGGCAGTAGTAGCGCTCTGAGCAGATGCCCGTGGGCGCCGACAGGCCCGTGCCCTGGCAGAAATGACCCGCCTCGCACGGGACGCAGTCGTCAACGGATCTGCCACCCTCGTCAGGGTTCATGGTTCCGGGAGGACAGGGGCTGGCCGAGTGGGTGCCTGGAAGGGCACACAGAAAGCGGTAGTGGGTGAAATGAAAGGGATTTCTGAAATCTGGGCTGTGTTTTAGCTTTGGCTTTAGGCTTAAGCTCCATGATTTTAATCCTCCAACTTGACAGATTTTCAAAACTCTGTCAAATTTTGGCCGTCAGAAAAATATATTCATTGCAATTGCCCAGGCGTGCACACACGCACACATCCCATCGTGTATCAACCTCCAACCATGGACATCCTATTGTCCCTTTTTGTTTGTACTCAAACTTTTTAGAAAGACTCCCAAATGTTTTGTACACGATCTTAATAGCGGACGAATGCTGGGAATCGCGGACGACATTGTTCTCTTTTGTTCTCCGTCAGTTTTCATCCACGGTTTGAATGTCTGAACACACTCACAAGTTGACCTCCATATGCTAACGGTAAAATACTTTGGCTGCTATAGGCAGATAGTGAACTTAATACAAAAACTGTCGGGAAAAAAATTAATCTAGCGCAATCAACTTTGAGATGTCAGATGTGCTGAAATACAGGGGAAAATTTGCATTTTTACAAAATTTACATTTACAGGGGAAAATTTGACTGAGAATTTCCAATATGTACAGACAAAAATGGAAAATGCTCGGTAATGTCAGATCATAATTGCAATCTCTGTAATGACAGTGAATAAACACAAGAAACTTGTACTGACCATTCTCGCAGTAGTGACCGACTATGCAGGGCGCGTTGGTGCCGTCATCGGGGCTGGACGTGGCTGCACCGGACAGGCACAGGAATCCCGCGTCGCAGTCGCCCGTGGGCCAGGACAGAGCAGGCGTCTCGCAGAACATTCCCAGCAGGCATTGCTGGCACTCCGCTTCCTCTTTGAGCGAGAGCTGGTCACTGAAGGTACCTGGTGGGGTTCGAACCAACAGAACAAACTTTCAAAGTTTTGACCATGAATACTTCATATTAATGACAGAATGGATGTTGTGGTAACGTGATGTCAACTTTCAAACTGCTGAACTGCGTGTTTATCTCTTGAACAGGGTTCCAAGCTTTTTATTAAAAACAAATATTCTGTGAGTTTTCCCCGACATTTCCCTGAGAAATTTTTGAAAGTTCCATGAGAAATTTTTTCACGAGGTTGCTGTTAAGTCAAGAGGTGGTTGCAGCAAAGCAACTAAGATACTGATAATACACAGGCAACTTGTTGACAAGCGAGGGCCTCCCTTCTCCCATTACAGCCATCCATTCCTCAACAATATTGCAACTGAGTGGTAGCCTGTGCATAGAATGATTTCAATTCATTTCCATTTTCTGCAAAATGTATCAATCAAATGCACATGCACCAAAGTGACGAAATTTCCCCTTTTGGATCACTGTAATCTTCCTTGAGTTTTCCCGAGTTTTTGGTGTGTTTCCCATATTCCTGGAGTCTTCCCTGACTGGAAAGAATGGAAACTCATAATCAAATTTTCCCTGATTTCCAGAGTGGCTGGACACCTTGTTCTAAGATACCTTGTTGGTGACTGGATGCCTAAGGCCCGTCTCAATTCATATCCTGGACGAAATCCAGACAAGAAGTTGGTAGAATCATACACTTTGTCAAAAGTCCAGAAGAAGCTCTGCATTTGTCCCGGACATGTTCCAGTGAAATTTCCAGCAGCAACTACTTGACTCATAAATACTGATAACTTCATTGCAGGAAGACTGCATGAAAGTAATTCACACTCCTGCAACCTATACCAAATACAATGTCCGCAACTTGTCCGGAACCAGCCCCGGATATGAACTGAGGCGGGCCCTTACCTGGTTGACAAGACAGTCCGTTATCGTCCGTTCCTTCTGGACAGTAGTAGCCTACTGGGCACGGCAACGTAGTGTTCATTCCTTTCTCAGGACACGTAGATCCTAGGAAAAAAGAAGAAGTTACATATAAAAATATATTTGTAAAAGAATTTGCTTACACCCAGGATGGGTCTCTTCTGATCTTTCCCTAAAATGGCACTGTGTTTGAGAGGTTGTTCCATTTCAGTACACATAAATTGATTGTAACACGAAATCCGTTTCCTTCTTCCTTGTGAAATGGATTCTGCGTAGTGGTTTGTCACTGAAAAATGACTGAATAAACTCTTCTTTGAACAAGTTTGTTGCTGAATTTGAATTGACCTATTGCGGTAGAATCGTGTCAACGCAGCTTGTGAAATATTGTCCAATTACATGATAAATTATACAAATGGACGCGGAACGCACACAATCTGGGACAAAGGAACCTACTTTCTGGGCATGGCAGGCACGCCCCTAGACCGATATGTGGGGCGTATGTGCCCTTGTTGCAAGGTATCTCGCTGGGGGCTCCTGACTCGCAGTAGTGACCCACGGGGCAGATGTAACCCCTGATGCCGTCTGAGGGGTCAGGGATGTCCGAGCCCCCGGTGCAGATGTAGCCTGGGTCGCATGGAGGCGTCAAACCTGGGTCAAAAGAAAAATTGTCAAATTTTGATACGAATGGAAAGTTTGCATGGTGAGGATAACAGCAAGGTAAGTTTGCGGTGGCACCATGTAAAATCAATCTCTTTTGTTAGCTTTTGACGTTCTAAGAAAAACCAGTTTGGACTCAACATTTCTGACAGCATACTCTTACTGTCCATCTTCAGGAGACTGTTGTCAGCAGTGTCTTCTGACAACGGACAGAGTATGCTGTCAAAATGTTGAGTGCAAACCGGTTCTTCATCCCAAACTCACAAATGAGACTACTTTCACATGGTATCTCCGCAAAGTTACCTTCCTGTAATTTTTTTTTCTATTTCTTTGTCAATATGAAACATTTTGAGATAAGGCAGAAAACGCCAAAGGGAATTGAAGTCTCTCTCTTTTGAATTTATCTTGATTTTGAAGTTTCGTCCAGTCAACTTCACTAGAAACCAGATCACGTCAACAATTTGGGTTTTTTTTTAATGAAAAACATTTTGCAACATACATGTACAACCATTTTCATTAGCAACATTGGTCAGCCAATTTGTTCATTCCATTTCACTGCCTTTTTCTTCATATCAATCATAACTTAATTTCTCAAAAACAAAATCATTAAAACTACAAACTGTATTTGTATTGAAAATGGAAAATGCATCCTGTAACATGCAATTCCACCAGTCACATCAATTACATTCACTCAGATTCGTCGGGTGCACCATTAACGTGATACACAGTGTATCACGTAAGCAGGCGGGCTTGCCACAAAGTGACAAATCTCCTCATATGCAAGTACATCACCAGCAGACCTATACAGGACAGACCTATTCTTGCTGAGCAAAATACAAACTAATCTGTATGACATGTGTGTACCTGATGGTTTGTACGGTAAAAAACTCTTACCATTTTGAGAGCTGTTGACGTTGCAGTAGTGCCCGATTTCGCAGGGTGCGCAGTCTGTAACGTTCTTGTTGCCTAACCCAGATGATATGGTCCCTGCCGGGCATGGGGTAGGCTGGTAGCTACCATCCACACAGTAGCTACCCTCAGGACATTTATTGGGGTTGGGAACTGCGTCTCCCCCTTCACAGTAGTATCTGAAATCAAAAAAAAAGAAGTACACCTCAATTTTATAATACTTGGGTGCATGGGTGGAAAAGTGTTCGGGACAGTACAGGGAGTAACAGGCAGGGCAGTTTGAAAATATAGGGAGTAACATGCAGGTGGTTTGGGGTGATATTGGAATGTAACAGGCAGGGTGGTTTTGGGTGGTACAGGGAGTAACAGGCAGGGTGGTTTTGGGCGGTACAGGGAGTAACAGGCAGGGTGGTTTGGGGCAGTACAGGGAGTAACAGGCAGGGTGGTTTGGGGCGGTACTGTGGTACAGGGAGTAAAAGGCAGGGTGGTTTGGAGTGGTACAGGGAGTAACAGGCAGGGTGGTTTTGGGCAGTACAGGGAGTAACAGGCAGGGTGGTTTGGGGCAGTACTGGAAGTAACAGGCAGGGTGGTTTGGGGCAGTACTGGGAGTAACAGGCAGGTGGTTTGGGGTGGTACTGGGAGTAACGCAATGGGCAGTTTTTCGCAATACACGGACTAATGAGTTACACAGCTAAATGAAATTTACAAAACAACACTTTCGATGAATTTTTCAGCCTGACTAGTTCTAAACTTTCTAAAAATGAGATGTTTTAAAATCAGAGCTGCAGTCAATCCCTCACAAGTCAATCACAGGCCAAATCACAAGGGATGATTAACAACAAACAAATTCCTCTACAAATGTTCATTAGAATAGTTTGTAAGTTGACTTGAGACTTAAATATTTGTGAGGCGTTGGCTGCAAATCTGGGTTACTTGTTGCCGCTTGTATCCTTCTCTTACCCTGCATAGCACGGCAACTCTGATGCGCTGGATCCCGCCAGACAGTAGAAGCCAGCTAGGCAGGGCTCGCACCAACTCTCGTTGATGGCGTTGGTCAGGTTACTGAAGGTACCCGCGGGGCATGGGTATTCATTGGCCCGCTGGGTGCCTGGCGGGCAGTAGTAGCCGGTCGGGCAGTCCGAGGCATTGAGGTGGACCACAGCAGCCTCAGTGTTATCGCAGAAGTAACCTTTAGTGTAAAGGACATGAATGTCTCATTTAACAAGGGAATAATAATGTGATGGACATTATACATATGGTTTAAAACCAGTTAGGGGCCTGGCCACTGAAAATGACCCAAGCCAAAGGCAAGGGTTTTCATTGTTTGCCAGGCCCTTAACAGATCAAAAACCATAAACAAAAGCAAAAAAATTGACAAACTCCCATGGTTTCTTCTACCATTTCACTCCATATTCTTCTGGGCTTTTCCTCCCACCTCTAAAACTGTAACTTCTTCTCATTGTCTTCTCTCCACAGGTTTCTTCAGGCTTGCGAGCTACAGTGCCTAGGGCGCTTTTGAGGAATCCTTGGTTTCATTACCAGAAATGATTAATAATAATAATAAAAATAATAATATTGAGGCCATTTTTATGCTGCACATGGAACACTGTACGTTGAACGTGCAGTGTGATCAACATCACCTTATATAGAGATAACATCAGCGGTTCTCAAGCAGTATGTACTGCATGCAAGCGGCACGGAGTGCGGAGTCTTGTGACCACTTTTAAGCACCCCCATTTAAACACTGAGTGGTGTCTAAATGGCGTCCGGTTCAGACATCGTTAGGTTTCACTCTCAATTCAAAACGACACATGAAACAAAATTTTGGTAATTAAAAATCATGCCGTTAGAGCGCTAGTAGTCAATCCAGTCACGTTTCTTTATGAAACTTACGACGCCCAACACCACAGATTCCGATACTAAACAAAGAAAGAAATACACAGACAAAGAGCCAATCTTATTACCTTCTTCACACAGCAGGCAGTCAGACTTCCCTTCTTCATCTTGATACGTGCCGTTGTTACACCGTTCAGGGTTGGTGAAGTTGTCCTTGCAGAAGTGACCCGCCGTGCACAGGTAGTCTGCCGGGGTAGGGGTGTTCTGACCAGGGGGGCAGTAGTAGCCTATCCAGAAGAAAAAAGAAAGCTTTGTTCGTAATCATCTTGGTTAAGGCTGGCAATTTCACACACATGCGCCTATGGAAGTTTAAATATATGTGAGACTGACGGCTGTAACAAAGTATTTCAGTTGTGGCCATATTCGGTTCAGCGATTTAAATGAATTGTTATTATTGGATATTGGGAAATGAATATTGTAGCTGAAGAAAAGAAATGGTGAAGGCCAACTTGTTCATTCATATGATTTATTCTTTTGTTTTCATTTCCTGAATTTTTATTAAATCATTTCTTGCAAGAAGTGGAAGTTGCACAAATTGCAAACTACAGTTGTTATAGTTTGTCTTAAACCCCATGTCTACTAATATCCACAGAAATATTCCATGAAATTTCATGAAATTTAAGTATTCAAAAATTGAATTACTTGAAGTGATAGAACCTACCAGCCGAGCATACGCCGCTCGTGGTTGAAGCACCGATCTCGTTACAGTAGAACCCAGCCTGGCAAGGCAGGCAATCCTCCGGACCATCCTGCCCCGTGGCCGGGTTATAAGTGCCATTGGAGCAGGGTACGGGGACGCTGGTCTCCAAATGGCAGTACCGGCCAACCGGACACTCCCGCTCCTCGGGACTGGAGGAGCCCTCGGGGCAGTAGAAGCCAGGGCTGCACTGGCCCGAGGGTGTGGACAGGCCCGTGGTGTTGCAGTGCCAGCCCGGGTCGCAGGGCTGGGGCTGGGCTGAGCCGCCAGGGCAGTAGTCGCCTGGTTGGCACTCGCCACCATTCATAATTGGCTGAAAATAAAAAAAAAAATCAGAATTTTTAACCCATTAGTCCCTGCACATATTCATGAAAGCATATGATAGCTTTCCTTTCTGTTTTTACAAATCGTAATTAACAGCTCTAAAATACTGAAATAAGATTAGATTTTCAAATAAAATATGCGACCAAATGCCACAAAATTTGTCTTTCAGTAGTACCCAAACTGACCTTCCTGTTACTCCCTGTTCAGCCCCAAACTGCCCGAGAACTGTAGAGTTTTATGGAATTCTGAGGGAATACAGTGTAATACAATGTAGTAAAGGTGCTAATGGGCTAGACCTTTTAGAGTCATTAATCCTTCTATAGTCCATAATTTTGTACTCTACCTTGAATATTGGGTGATTTGTTTAAAGTAAAAGAAAGGATTAACCCCTCCCCCCCAAATAAATCTTCACGGTCATATTTACTGTTAGTTTCTCACATGAATTGAACACTTTTTTCATTTAATTTCATTCAGCCTATGATTCAGTTTGATCTACTGTTGCACGTCAGCATTAAGCCTCGCCTCAATTAATATCCGGGAATGATTTTTCCAGACAACTTGTGGACATTGCATCAGATATAAGTTGCCGGGTTCTGAACAACTTCCCACAATCTTTGCTGCAATGAAGGTACCAGTATTGGAGACTCAAGCAGTTGTTGATGACAATTTCCTCTGAACACGGCATTGACAAATGCAGAGCTTCTTCCAGACAAAGTGAATGATTCTACCCGCACCTTGTCCGGAACTCGACCCAGATATGAACTGAGACGGACCCTTTAACTTATGACAATTCTTCCTGATCACACGTCACAAGTAACTCCTTTTGTTACGTTGGATCAGTATGGATCCTCCAACTTACCATAGTTTCGTTGGCACCTCCCGAACAGTAGAAGCCAGGGCTGCACTGCGCCGTCGGGTAGCTGTTCCCGTACCCCTCGCAGAACCATCCCCCGGTGCAAGCCACACAGGCCTCGGGGCCCTTCTGCAGGGTCAGATTGTTGAAGGTTCCTGGCAGGCAGGGGTAGGCGTACGGGTCCGGGGTGTTGAGAGGGCAGTAGTAGCCCGTGGGACAGTCGTTGGGGGTGTAGTCGGTGGTGTTGAGGTAGCAGTAGTAGCTCTCTGGGCAGGGCAGGCAGGAGGACTGCTGGACTTGGTCTTGGTAGGTGCCGGCCTCGCAACCTGGGGAGAAGGAAAAGCTTGAATTCTTTTTCTGATCTGAAGACAGGCTAGAGGATTTTACACTATTGCCTCGCCTAGCCTGGTTGAAATCAACACGGGTCCACCTTGAGAAGAACCAGTCCTAAAGTAAACAGGAAGGCAAGGCATAAAGTTCAAACTTACATCAGTCTGTACATGAGTCAGCTGGTGATTTGGGATTTTTTTACCAGGGAAATGCCTCTCAACCTTGGTCCTGACCAGAGCTGAATTTTACCCATGTAGAGTGCCAACATGGTACAAGCCGAGCTGGATTCTTGCTAGTGTGAAAGGGGTTCTCTCCGTATTAGACCCAGGTGGAACATGGACATTTTGGATAGTGTGAACATTTAGTGTTAACCCTAAAGAGAGAAGTTATTTACTGTGGAATTACTGCAAAGATTCCAGAGTTTAAATATGTTTGAATCCCAAGACATAAATGCAAACGACATTTTTTTCACTAGGTTTGGTTTCAATGCACAGTACAAGAAGCATTGAAAGCTGAATTAAAAACAACTATATTCCTAATCAAAGCCTCTTTTCACTCATTGAAAAAAAAACAAAAAATAGAATAATAACCAAAAAAGTAAGTGGTTGTCCCTTACCAGTAGGGTATTCAGACCCCTGTTCACAGAAGTGGCCTTTCGGGCACACGTCACCGATGATCGGATGCACGGTACCCGTCGGGCACTGGTCTCCACCCAACATGACAGGATCGGGCTTGTCTACCCCAGACACGCAGTAGAAGCCCGCATCGCACTCTGCCGAAGGCGCCGTCAGGTTCACGTTTTGGCAGTACATGCCGGCATCGCAGGGTGTGCACTCCACAGCCGCGGCTAGGCCATCTGATTGGCCGTAGGTGCCAGCCGGGCAGGGCTGGTGGTCATGCCCAGTGCCGTTGGGACAGTAGAATCCCCGTGGGCAGCGGTGGTAGCTTGTTGAGCCATCGCCCTCCACGACCAATTCAGGGATGCAGTAATATCCTGGGGAAGAGATAGTCGTAACATAAGGCAATCTCTGAATTATTTGGCCATGGCTTACAATTACACAGGCATTTATGAAACTCTGGCCTCATCTTCAGCTGTGTCTTTGTCTCCAGCCAAAGTTTGTTAAGAATCCTACCACATTAAAACCCAATAAAAGCGCAGCAACCTTTGCCCATGAGTGACAAAATTTAGTGTCTCTACCATTGTCCACAGTAGAAAACTGACCACTAATTGTACCGGCATCTGTCAATTCAAGGAATTTAAATCATGAATCTGAAGTCTGGCGCTGATGCTAGAGAAGAAACCAAGCATTCGTACTTACCTTCTGGGCAGATGGAGCACTCAGCAGCGCCCTCGTAGTCCACATAGGTACCAGCTGGGCAGTCCTGGGGCTCAGCGCTCTGTTGAGGGCAGTGTTTCCCCTCTGGGCATATCACCTGGGTGGGTGCGTCGGACCTAGGGGGGCAATAGTAGCCAGGGTCACAGGGACCCGTCACCTCCATATTGGCTGCAAAGAGGGTAGAAATATGGATTTGTTATTTTGGTTGGTTTATTTTTTTGTGGTATTTGTGTTTTGCACACAATATGTGAAACGTACATGTATCTTTAGTAACTTTCATGACCTCTATAAGTGCACAGAAGTACTATAAGATATTTGACAGAAATGGAAAGGTTTTCCGAATTTCTTTTCAGAGAGAAATGGAAAGTTGTTATTGTTCTAGTAACATCAAACCAAAATCATTCTGTATTTTGACTCCATTAAATGCGAAAGTATTTCTGACAAAGGCTTGGTATATGTTTTAACTCAACAACAAATGATACATTGAAACAGGGTCTGATGTGTAAAATATTTTGCAACATCTTTCTCAACGCTGGTAAATCCAGACCTAAAACATCGAAAATTGTATATTTCAGGTCATTATTTGTTTGGACAAATTTACCAGTTCCTTCACAGTAGAAGCCAGCCGTGCAATCTAAGCATTCGGACGCTACGGCCAGACCGGTTACATTGGAGAATGTTCCACTGGGGCATGGGTCAGGGTTGAATGTGGTCCCCTCACAGTAGTACCCCTCTGGACAAATGGTCTGGTCCGGGCGGGTCGAGGACTCGTTGCAGTAAAAGCGGGGCAAGCAGGGTCCGCTGACTTCAGTTTGAGCTGCGGTCCGAAAAAGAGGAGTAATATCAGTTCACAATTTCAATGCACAGTTTCAAAATCCCAAGATGACTGCAGCAAACTTCAAAATACTTTATACTTATTCCCCCTGTTCATCGGGCCATCACGAGACCACGCGGTAGCCAAATTTTATCAGCGAACATTTTGGTCCTCTATCCTCACGTGTACCCATTCATACTCCTGGGTGGAGAGAGGCAATTGTAGTTAAGTGTTTTGCCCAAGGGCACAAACACCATGTTCCTGGCAGGGTTCGAACCTACACACCATGGTACATGAGTCAAACACCATAACCACTGGACCATGGCATTCTACGGACCATGGCATTCTAAGTTATAGCATAGCGACTCAAAATGGAACAATTTACTGACTTATCGTGATTGTTGTGGGCCCATTAGTGTCCAACTTATCAGGATTGATACAGCTTTTGTTTCGAAGGATTATCTTTTTTATCCATGAAACTTTTGGGAGCTGCTGCACAATTCAAAAGAAAGTCAAACAAACTGATTTTCAAATAGCAGAGGAAGGTGATTCAACGACTGTTTCATCATCGAACAGAAATGCTACACAAACAGACATCCAAAAAGCTGTTATTACCATTGTCCAGGATGTTTGAATTATTTACTGTAAACTGTTGCACAGCTACACCAAATTTTGTGGAATCGATAGCAAGTTTATTGCTCAACTGTGTGACAACTTTGTTGCGTTAAACCTACGCATGACGTAAGCCACGCACTGATTCGAGAAATTAGATGCAGGAACGTCCAGTCCTCTGATAGAGGCTAAAGTAGAAAATATCTGTTTGGTTTCTAATGCCAGAGGTGAAGCCAAAGTGGATAACAAAACCTGAGTTTGATAAAAACATGTGTGTGGTTTCATACCAGTGGAATTGCAGAAGTAGCCAGCCGTGCAATTGAGGCATTCCTCTACCATCTTCAGCTTGGTGGCCGGGCTGAACATCCCCTCTGGGCAGGCGTCTGGTTCCACGGTACCCTCCATGCAGTAATAACCAGCAGGGCATTCATCGTTCAGGGGGCCTGGTGAATGAATGAATGAATAACTTATGAATAATGATAATGAATGATGAATAATTCATGAGTTTGTGTGGTTCATTAGTACCCTCAATAACCAGCAGAATATTCATTGACAAATACCCTTTATGAATTAATGAATATTACAGACATGTAACTGGGACGTAACAAAACAAAAGCGGACATTCTAAGCTTTACGAGACTCTACACATTGTTTTTCAATATTTTTAATGGCATAACTGTGAAGTGAGAAACGAGAAAATAAGCTGATCTGAGGAAACGCTGCATGCCTGTTTTAATAAATGACTTGACAAATTTTTAAAAAATCATGATGAACAAGTTAAGACACTTCATGCTACAAAATTCCTGGACAAGATTTTTCATTAAAATGGTACAAATTTCTTTGAGGATTTGATTTGATGGAACTTTTGAATAAATTCCCCCGTTATCTGATTGGTGGGTGGTTGATCACGTGTCATTGAATTATTTGTCCAAACCCGCGGCCTGGCCACACGGCAAAAGAAGAAGTAGAGGGCATTGTATAAAACAAATAATGAATTTTCACATTCATGCAACGGAAATATGATACCATTCGGTCTACTCATCAAACTATTCTGGCCATTGCACTCATAAACATTCGGGGTTTTTTGTATACTATTACAGGCAGCAACAATGGGACAAAAGCTTGCAATAGTCCCCAAAAACATTTGGGGAAAAGTGGCATTGTTGATTTTTCAAAAGCCTGTTATGCACCACAACCACAACCTAACCATTTCTAAAAATAAACATCAGATTAAAGGCTTACAATTAGTCCTTGTTGATTAGCAGGGGCTATAGTAAGAAAGTGCCTTGAGTATAGAACTGGAGGCCACATGTTCATTGGAAGGATGGCATAATATTGTCATTGTTCAGGATGAATTATTCATGAGCATGCATATTCATACCATCGGTGGGCGTGGTGATGTTGGCACCCTTTCTGCAGTAGTACCCAGCCTCGCAGGGCCTGTTGGGATAGACCAGGCCTGGCTCATCGCAAGCCATCCCTGGCAGGCACGGTGTGCAGTCAGGTTCACTCATTAATCCTAAGGAAAGAAATGGCCCAATTTCACATGATTTATTGATCAATCTATCTATCTAGTAACTTCTTGAAACCGGAGGTTGGCTGCTCTGGATCACCATTATGCTCCATCTCTGGCCAAATGGAATAAATCTTTCACCGACACTTTGGTCCATTCTTTGATAAACATTCAATTAAATCAATTTCAAATATTTATCTGAGGTGTTTGATTGGTGTGTCAAATCTGAAAAAAGGCAGGTGAATCACTGCCTTGATTAAATGCAAATCTAAGCTGTGTTATCACATGTTTATTTCAATTTGGAACATTTATTTCCTCTTTTATGGTAAAAATCAAATATACAAGTCGAGGCTTTCACAAGTCCTCGCAAGTTCACCACAAGTCATCCAGTCCCAAGTCAAGTCACAAGCTACTCAAATAAATTGTGATAAAAATCATGTCTTTGTTAATGTTCATCCACAGTTACTAATGACTGGACTTGTGATTTCATTGTGACTGGACTTGTGATGGACTTGACTACAACACTCTCCAAATGGCATAGCTTGTAAAAGGTGATCCATCGCAAGGACAGATAGACAATTTAATACTAACAAAGATAGATAACAGATATTACACTTAAGTATTTCAGGATACAACCAAGAGGCTTACAGAAATGTTTGAGTGAGATAAACGGTATATCCTACCTGTCAGATTGTTGAATGTGCCGTAAGGGCAGGCGAACTCCTCCGCGTATGTCGTCCCATTCGGGCAGTAATAACCACTTGGGCAGACGTAGGAACCGTACCACACCACAGGCCCAATGGTGGCGTTACAGTAATGCCCCGCCGGGCAGGTCTTGCAATCCCACCGTCCCAATGTGTCCTGGTAGGTTCCAGACGGGCAGGGTTCAGGATCGCCATACCCCTCCCCGCAGAAGTAACCCTGGGGACAGGTGTAGTCAGCAGGGGTGGCTGTGACCTGACCCTCAGGGCAGTAGAAGCCTCTCTGGCAGGTAGCCGTTGGGGTGGGGAGACCCTCCCGATGGCAGTACATCCCCTTGGTGCAGATCTTGCAGCTGGTGTTGGCGCTTTGCTCCGTGGCGTCGAGGTAGTAACCGATCAGGCAGGGCGTGGGCTCCCAGGAACCCACGGGGCAGTAGTGGCCCTGGGGGCAGACGTTGCCTGTGACGTTGTCGGTGGGGTTGCTGATGGAGGCCCTCAGGGTGCAGTAGTAACCTAAATTAAGATAATCAATCAAGAGTAAATATTATTTGCATTGTTAGGAAAATAATAATTTAACATTTCTTTCTTTCTATATTCTCTTCTCACTCTGTGTTAAGGGGGAGTGTGGCCTAATGGCTAGGGTTCATGACTCATGATCAGAGGGTCAGGGGTTCCAATCTTGCTGCTGGCCGCATGTTGTGTCCTTGGGCAAGCCACTCTACCCCCACTTGCCTCTCTCCACCCTGGAGTACAAATGAGTACCGGCATTAGCTGGGGAGTAACCAGAAATAGACTTGCATTCCATCCAGGGGGAATAGAAATATTCTCAGTCCTGTCACGCCAATGATACGGGGGATAAACACCAGCTTGACGGCACGTGACAGACTTGTTCTCACTTACCCTGTGAGCATTCCAGATGAGGCGCGGATAGCCCCGCCCTCTCACAGTAGTACCCAGGGTCACAGGGGATGGGGTTCTCAATGCCCCCTGGGCAGTACTCCCCTGGGTCACACCGACCCCCGATGGATGGGTCTGTTGGGGTTGAACTAGAGGCGCCTTGGATGCAATACCATCCATCACTGTGGGAAGAAGAGAGACATTATTACATCTCATGCATATTTATGAGCCAATACTTATTTATGAGCCAATACACTCTTTCATTGGTCAATGTTGCAATGCACCCACTGAAGCCCAGCCCATTGGTTGTGCTTTCCAGTTGTTCCATATTAAAGATCGTTCCAACTATGCATCCAAAGCAAACTGTAAGTTTGTAAGTGGTACATTACTCAAACTTTACAACAGACAAAACACACAATGTGTAAATTATTATCTGTTAGTGTAAATTTCTAAAACATTTAACAACAGACAAAATTCACTCTGTGTGTTATACATGTTCACTTTTGCTGGACAAGTGAACATATTCTGTTTTTAATGAAGAACTGTCATTAATTCAAACTTTCTATCAGAATTATTAAATGACTTTTAAACAACTTACTCAATGAAAGCCATATCACAGAATTATTTTGTTCTTATCAGATGACATGTCATGTAACACTCAGTCAATGCCAGTATGCAGCCTATTAAAGGATCATTTTCAACTTTTCGATCAAATGTTTGGTTTGCATAAGAAATATGAAGAGCATGCTTGTTCCTACTCATGTTGTGTTCAAAAGATTTGAAATTGAAATATATGTATAATATATTTCCATTTCCAATCTTTTTAGAACGTGTTCATAAAAGATTCATATCTTTCATATTGCAGATTCTGTAGGCCTACCTGCAGTTGGATGTGGGTGCGTCATTGCCTGTACCCATGCAGTAGGATCCGGCCGTACATGCTACGCAGGCCCCGTCATCAATCTGTTGGGGTTTGTCATTGAACGTCCCTGGTGGGCAGGGGAACTCATTGGACATGGTGGTGCCATTGGGACAGTAGTGGCCGGTCGGGCAGATGTTGTCAACGTAGTCGGTGGAATTGGCCAGGCAGAAGAAGCCTGGGAAAAAAATTTGAAAGAATTTTGAAAAGAAAGATTTGGTTTTTGTTATTGAACGATTTTTAAGGGAAAACACGATTTTAAAGGAAATTGTCTCATGCCATTATGTAAAGACTCGAGTCCCAACGGGTAACTAACTCGACTCGACTCAAGTCACTGCAAGCAAATATTTAAATATTGCCAGCCTAGGGAGTTAACCAAATCTTGCGAGCTTAGCAAAGCTTGTAAATAAATTGGCAAAAGAAAGTGAATTCCTGCTTACCTTCGGGGCACACTTTGCAACTCCCTTGTCCCTCCTGGTCCTGGTATTCTCCAGCCTCACAGCCAATCGGCAGCACGGTCCCCATGGGGCACCGGTAGCCCCTCGGGCACACCCCACCGACCCCTGTGTGACCCCCAAGGATCGGGCAGGTCGCCGGGTAGGTCTCGTTCTCCGAGGGGTTGTTTGGGTTGGCGCGGTCCACACCCGAGTCGCACCAGTAACCCTCGTCGCAGAGGTGGCTGTAGGAAGTGGCCGCGTTGTCGGGACAGTTGTAGCCGCCCGGGCAGTCTGTGCACTGCTGCACCTGTTAGTCGCAAGGTGAAATCGGTTTGTGAGGTGTGAAATCTGCTTTAAGTTTCTCCAGCGTTGCATGACTTATACTTCACTATGAGCAACAAGATTAGTTGAGCTGCATTTGAAAGTTTTCATTCAGGACATGTTTCCTTGGCTCAATGGCTTAGTCAGTCAGTGAAAAATAGCCTGTCCCAACTGGTTCAGCAATACTCGATCCCACATCCCATTGAGCTTACAAATGTGTTTATTATTTTGTTAAATTTTTTGTTAAATTTTTTTTCTAAGGCATATACATGAAGGATCATTTCGTTCGTTTCCAATTACAACACCACTCAAAACCCAATTATTATAGTAAGCCAGACAGAATAATTTCACAGGGTGTTTGGTACCAGTATGATCTTAATCCAAGTAAGGTTTTTGATAATATTTTGGTAGGTTGCTTTTCTGATGAATGCAAATGATCCTAGAGCAGGATGGCATAAAATGCTGTATCTGTAGAAAATGGCATCCAACTTTTGAAGCTGATTTTTTAGATGAATGCAATAACATTGAACATTGACAGTTAACTGCCAAACCAACTACAAATTTTTTTTTCCATTCTTTGAACGAAGATTCAATTCATTTATTTATAAATTTATTTATATTTTATCTTTTTGCATTTGTATTTCTCTTTAATTTCAACATTTTGACCCCAAACCCTCTACCTATCTCTCTTTCCGAAAACATATATCCTTCACAAAAGATCAACAAAGGAAGGAATGGGCAAATACCACAGGATATTAAGAAGACCAAGAGTTCAGACTAATTTGTACTGTGTTACCTTGTACAAGTTGGTCTGGTTGCTGTATGTACCAGCCGGGCAGGCACTCCAGTCCAGACCGGTGCCATTGGTGCAGAAGTAACCAGCAGGGCAGTCCGCGATGCCTGGCTGCAGGTCTGGGTTCCCGATTGTCTCATTCTCTGGCAGGCAGTAGAAGCTGTCATAAGATAATATAAGAAATTTGAACTCAAAATTTATGATTGGGAAGGGAAAAAAAGTAAATATATAAAGGAACAGTTCAACAAGGACAGACACACAGATAGGAAACAACAGATTCCTTGTTGTCCTCGGGAGTTCATCTTTTGTTGGAAACGGTCCTCAAACTCAAATCTGTATGCTTACTCAATGGGAGAGTGTTATACAGGGTGGATAAAAAAAAACGAAACCGAGATATTATTGCTAATTGGAACAGAAGTAGGGCACATGTGAATCAAAGGGAGATATCCTCTGTTAGGGTTGAATCTCCTCTTTAAAATGACACCCTGATCATGTCCTTACATTCACGGTTGAAAGAACAGTGACCAATTGTATGCAACGGTCCATTTAGAGGCTTGCACCACTTTTCATCGTGAAATCACTTTTTTCCCACCTGCCTTGATTGGCAACCATAGCCTTTCACTCTGTGACAAATGACACCACAAAAACCACAATTGAAAAGTGGCGCAAGTTTCTAAATAGACCCTTTCACAAAATTGGTCACTGCTCAGTCAACTGTGAAAGTAATAACATGATCAGGGTGTCATTTAAAAAAAGGGACATTCGACCTTAAGAGAGGATATCTCAATTTGACTCACAAGTGTCCTACTTCTGTTCCAATTAGCAATAATATCTCGGTTTCATTTTTTTTTAATCCACCCTGTATTATAGGTACAAAGGGGAACACATAGCCTTGTCCTTGAGAGTAATGATAAAATGTGCCTGGATGTGCTGCTTCTTCATACTGAAGACTGTGATGCAGTACCAAATGGTTAGAGCAGACACTAGCACATGGACTGTCTGCACAAGTATCCCCTCAACAGTTACTGAACTACATTGTGTTTATTCACTGATGAATCCAAAAACGTGTCACTGATTTTGGCGGATGCTGTGAGTCAAGGTCTTAGGCCAGACCTTGTGTTGTTTATGCTCAGCCACGCATACATTTAGGCCTGGATTATACTTGAAATCCTCCGCACTGCTCCAGGAGGTCCCTGGTTCTGCCTCAAAATATTGACAGTGATTGCTGGAGGATTTTGCAGGATTGAGGCAGTGTCACTCCTCCAAAGACCACATTCAAGAAATAACGGATGATTTTGGAGGCTTGAGGCTGTATGTAATTTTTACACAGAGGCAGTTGGAGGATTTTGCAGGATTGAGGTTGTATCCTAGCAAAAATGCCTACGGAGTTAGGGTTAATCAGCAATTTAGGATGACAAAAGGAATATTTTACACAACAACAGGGGGACAAACAAACAGATGAAGCTTACCCTCTGGGGCAGATCTTGCATTCATACTGCGTGGTTCTATCCGTGTAGTAACCAGCAGGGCAGGCCTTGGGATCTGGGGAGCCCTCAGGGCAGTGCAGTCCTATGGGACACTCGATGGGGTTGGGCCTGTTAGAACCTAAACAAATATAAACACAATTGTAGAAATTCCAGCATTAACGTTTCAAAATAATTAGTGCTGCCTTGAAGGTACATGTAATGGATCACAAGTCCTTATCACAAGTCCTTAAAAGCCATCCAGCATGTCCAGTCTCAAGTCAACAAACAAGCTATTCGAAAAAAAAAAAAACTGAAAAAAAGAGAACTATTTGGATTTGAGTCACGAGGCTTCCGCTCACACACATGGTTTTTGTTTTTGAAATCTTGCTTACCTTCGGGGCAGTAGTAGCCTTCCATGCACAGTCCTTCCACTGAAGTAAGTCCAACCTGCTGGCAGTACCATCCAGCCGTGCAGTTCTGGCACTCTGACACCTCACTCAGCCCGGTGTCGTTGGAGTAGGTTCCGCTGGGGCACTTCTCGGGTATCGACGTGCCGTTGCCGCAGTATCGGCCGGCAGGGCAGACGTATTGCTGACGGTCGTCCGAGCTGCGCTCACAGTAGAAGCCCGGCAGACAGTAGCCAGCCGGGGCGAGGAGGGCATCTTCATCACAGTATTGGCCTGTTTGGTGAATGTCAAAGAAAAAAAATGTGTGTGTGAATATAATGTGGGGCTCATATTGCGCTTTTTCAAAATGTCACAAAGTCCTAATAACAATTTACTTCACTGAAAAAATCTCTGCATGGTGAAAATATATGCACACGTTGAGCTTTCTCCCAAACCATTTTATATTCCCAGGATGTCACTAACTGGAATTATGTCCTCAGAAACTTCTAAGACCAAGGAATGCTCAAACCCAAGGCGGGATTCAAACCCACAACATGCAGAATTACCAAATCAATGCTCCAGACCATGATGCGCCATTGCTGTGGAATGTCTGGACTAAGCTTCTCCTTTCGATTCACTGTCGAATCAATCCCATCAGCACCGTAACGCTAGGCCCTGTGACTCTTACAATTTATACGGGCTCCCTGCACAAGCGCCCTCTCAACGGTTACAAAGGAAGACCATTGGCAGGGGCATTCAAACGCATTGCTGATGACACCTGACGCTCACACCAATACGCTTCACATTTGTGTACATTCAGAGAAGAAAATTAGTTGTGCGTACTTCACGCCATGGGCGCAGGAACCAGTACATGCACGCGATGTATCTCTCCCACTGGGGCTCTTGAAAGTGTCACAAACCGCCATGTACTGTTCCTTCACGGAGTTCATTTTTTTTTCATTTCAAACCTGTTGATAAGCAATTTGGAGCAGCCTTTTATTTCTGCAGTCGACAATTAATGCACACTATTACTTGAGATTTTCTTGATTCAAATTTTTAGATTTCTGGGGGGTTTTGGTTTTCTTTTTTTTCCGTAGTTTGTACTTTGGGTTTTATTTTAGTTTCTTCCTTTTATTTCTGCAGTCGACAATTAATGCACACTATTTGGAAACTCATCTCCTGTTACCTGTGACCTTACTGGAGATATGACTTTGATTAACTTGATTCAAATGTTTACATTTCTGGTTTTGGGGTGGGTTTTTTTTGGTCGTAGTTTGTATTTTTGGGGTTATTTGAGGGTTTTTTGTTTGGTGGGGGAGGGTTGTTTTATTTCTTTTAATTAATTAATTTTTTTAAGCCTACCTGCCAGGCATGGTTCACACTCTGTCACATTCATCAGCCCTTCCTCGTTACTGAACGTCCCTCTCGGGCACGCCATGGGTTCCGTTGTGCCCTCGGGGCAGTAGTACCCCGCCGTGCACACCGCGGCATCAGCCCCTTGGTCTGGCGCGGCCTTCTCTGCCCCGATCCGGCAGAAGTAGCCCGCCGAGCAAGGGGTGTAGGGGTAGGTCAGTCCAGGCTGGCCACAGTAGTAGCCGCCGAGGCATGGGGCGCACTGGTCTGAGCTGGCCAAGCCTGTGGCATTGTTGAAGGTGCCGATGGGGCAGGTGTATTCGGTGGCAGCGCGGGTTCCATTGGGGCAGTAGTGACCTGTTTTAAAAAGGTAGAGAAAAAATGCCGTAATATGTCCTCAAAGTACAGTTTTGTCAAACTGGGATAAACTAAGGGGTACGGGCTGAAGTATCCCGCTCAGAATGTGGAGAAAGAAAAACTAAAGCTTAGTATTGTTTTATACTATGACAAAAGCAAATGTAAAACACTTGCCATAAAACAAACATGCAACTAGGAAGTCACAAAAAGGAGAAATTGCTAGCTGCATGAGAGCATAACACGGCCTTTTAAAATGTTTCCATCACAAATGGGAAGCTAAAAACAAGGAAATCAGTAGATAGAAGGGCAACTTGCTTGTCTGAGAACATGATATTTCAACTCAGAGCCAAGTTGACAATGAAGTGAACATGCAGTTAATCCCAAGTAAACATTCCACTTAAACCAGTTCAACTGGAAACTGGTGACTAGATTTGAACTGGTTTAATGGGTTCAAAACAAGTTCAAAACCAGTTCAAAATCAGTTCAAAACCAGTCTCCAGTTGAACTTGTACCAGGTGACACCAGGTCGACCAGTTGAAGCTGTTTTCAACTTCATTTTTCACTTGGAAATAGAGAAGCATACACATAATGCGCACACAAATCACACATACTTTTCCACAAGACAACACACATATTTTTCTTACAGGTTGAGCTAAGTTTGTTTTGTTTCCTACATACCTTCAGGGCATATGTAGGCCGTGTAGTTCACTATGGTTCCATTTGTGTCATCACAGTAGAACCCTTCTGGGCAAGTCTTGCATGTCCACTGTTCGGGCTCATCCTGGTACGTCCCGGCTGGGCAGGGCACTTTGTCATCTACGCCTTCCTCACAGTAGTAGCCCGGTGGACAGGGGTAGTCTAGGGGCTCGGGCACAATCTGACTGCCGGGGCAGTAGAATCCTGGTGGGTTTGAAACAGGGAACATTATTCTTTCAAAGGCACACATAGGATCATTCACTTGGCATGTCTTTTTTTGGTTTTCAACAATAACACCATTCAAAATCCAAAGAAGAATGTTCAAAACCTAGCCTGTTGAAGTTCCAGTTCAGTGGATATTACACTTTTTCGAGAAAACAGTAGAAAACAAAGCGCAATCTTTCGATAACGAATCACGATTTCGTCAACAGCAATTTTTATTCCAAAAATCAATATTAAAATTAACTGATTGTTAGAAGTTGCGTACATGTGTACATTTCTTGATTTCTTTTAAATGACAGCACTCCAGATGGCATAATTTCAAGGGGTCTTTGGTAACAGTACAATATTTAACCCAAGGAAGATTTTTGATAATAATTTGGTAGGTTACTTTGGGATAAATGCAAATGATTCTATGTGCATTTAATATAGGTTTTCCCCGAACATCGCCAAGCTCACTTCTCAATTTGAATTTCAGAAAGCCACCACTAGATTTCATTTAAGGTTCAGTATAATTCAAATTGTTAGCATTCCGATTCGTCCAAAATCTTTGAAATTCGTCTCGTGAAGCAATCGGCGTTGAATTGAAAAAGCAAATTCGTTTTTTGTCAATGGTTTTCATGTTGTTGTCATTACATTCGTCCCTGGTGACTTAAATCGTATACGATGCGCTCAATATTTAGACTTATTTGAAGAATTATGCGAATTAAAACAATGACAAATCAACATATATTTCCTTATATGTATAAATAAAAGGAGTTAGCTGTTAGGTATGAATTTTTATTTCTGTGTTTCACAATTAACATTCAAGTCAAAAATTGACATTTCACAATATGCACTTAAATGTCATGGACACTAAGCATTAAGTTAAAAGACCTTCTTAATGTTTTTCTTTGATAGACATACCTTATTTCTGTTGTTTTATTCATATACATATATAAAAGAGCAACATTACGAAGGAGTTTGACCTTAATGCTTAATTTCCATATGCTAAGCAAAGAGCATATTGTGAAAGTTCAATTTCTGATTTTAATGTTAATTGTCAAAGAAAACTCAAAACTTACAGCTATACTTTCATTTGGGCCTATAAGGAAATATTTGTTAAAAATTAAAATTTAATTAATGCGCAAACAAGTCCAAAGATTGGGCACATTTTTAATCGTAACGTTTTAAGTCACCAGAGATGAAATGTAATGACAAGAACATTAAAACGAATGACAAAAAACAGATTTGCTTTGTCAATTCAACGCCGATGGCTTCAAGAGACGAATTTTAAAGATTTTGGACGAATCGGAATGCGAACAATTTGAATTATACTGAACCTTAAATGAAATCTAGTGGTGACTTTCTGAAATTCAAATTAAGAAGTGAGCTTGGTGATGATCGGGGACGAAATTAGAGTATCCATATAGGGAATTCGTGTGATACAAGTGTTAAAATAGCCGGGAAAACCTAGACATTTCTTATTTTTTTAGCATACACCAAGCCTTATGTCTTGAAATTGTCACTGAAGTACGTGTAATGACTCAATTGAGCAGTGAAACATGACCGAATCTGCCTGCTTGCCCTGAGCTTATAACCACACAGAAGAACTGTGTAGGGACTAAAGATTACCAAAAGGGAATTTGAAGTGTGGGTGCTAACTCTACGGGCAAAAGTGGTTTTGCAAAACTTGAAGGGTTTTGAAGTGCAGCAGACTAGGAGGGTTAATTGATTGTTTCATTAAAACTTGCTCTATCATCGACCCACCTCGTGTACAGTTTCCGTCAGGATAGGCCAGTCCGCTGGCCCCGCAGTACTGTCCCCCTATGCATTCCAGGCAGTAAGTGATGTTCTTAGCCCTCCGGGAAGGCAGGTAGGTGCCCGGGGGACAATCCTCTTCAGAGCTGCTTCCAGCGATGCAGTAATGGCCGGTGCTGCACTCATTACCTGCATGGAAACCACATCGAGGGATAAGTTGCTGAAAACTTCACATGCTCAGAGGGAGGTATTAGGGAAGTCAGGTTGGTGCAGTGGTACTTTCCTCAGGATCTACCCCATCGGTCTGTGTTAGATTGTCACCCAGTCCGACATTGGCCTTATTATACCTGCTTTGTTACAAGACCACTGAACGCAACAAAGTATCAAAATGGTGCATCGAACTTGCAACAAGTATAGAGCATGCATGCATAAAGAGGAAGTGTACAATAAAACTGGAATGCAAACTGCAAGACTGCCACAGCCAAACATTACGCATCGCCACGCATAGATTGTATAGGATTCTATAACTTTTCCTGATTTTTTCCTGGAATTTCAACTTTCCATGACTCCTTGCAAAATAACAAATGTCCGTGACTTTTCCGTGACTTTTCATGATAGTGCTGAATTCCAGATTTTCCAGGATTTTTTCCTGACTGTGGGAATCCAGCTAAGAGAATCTCAGAGTTAAGTCTTCTTCCTATCTACTTACCTCCAGTCCCTGTTGGCTTATTCGTAGTGGAACCGTGAGTGCAGTAGTACCCAGCGGCGCACTCGCCCCTGGGCATGTCCAAGCCGTTGGTGTCACAGTACATACCCAGATCACAGGTGGTCTGTGAGGAGGAGCCTTCAGGGCAGTAGTTACCTGCAGAGAGTTTGAAGCCAAATACGTTTATGAAGTCTACACTAATAAACGAAGGAGTTGAAAGTAAAAGGACTGTTTTATACAATCATGGGATTATTCATTTAATTGTACTTGGAATTGGTTCAGTTGCAACTGTTTGACAATATGGTCTCTGTGCACAAACCACTGGCAGGGACATTTGAATGCATTGCCGATGATGCCTGACGCTCACGCGAAGACGCAACTGGTTTGTGCACTCAGAATACAAAATAGTGCAACTATGATCGACGTCAAATTAGGTTTTGCCCTTCACCGACGTTTTTTAAACACTGTATACTCAGTGTGTTACCTCCCGAGTGAAAGTTGGAAAAAATCACTCAGGTGGGACTCGAACCCACGACCTCCTGCTTTCTAGTGCAGATGTCTTACCACTCGACCATCGAGCTAACGGGATCAGTTGGCCGGTTTAAATCTGATGTACATAGCAGCGGGTACCGCATAAACTATTATAAGATGGAATTTGCGTCGGGGTGATATAAATCAAATTAGGTTTTGCCCTTCACCGACGTATGATCGACGTGTCAAGATATTTGAATGACTCGCATTTGACTTGTGATTGAGTTGCGGCCGACTGGTGATTGACATGTGATTGACTTGCGATTCACATGAGATTGACATGCTATGGACTTGTGACCGACTCGTGATTAACTTGTGATTGACTTGTGATTGACATATGACTGACTTGCAATGGACTTGTGCTTGACTTGTGATTCACTTGTGACTGACTCATGATTGACTTGTTATGAACTTGTGATTGACTTGTGATGGACATGTGACTGACTTCAGATTGACTTGTGACGGACTGGTGATGGACTGTGACCCAGAGGTTTTGTAGTGTCCAAAGATCACTTCAGTTATTCTTTATTCTCCTTACCTGCTTGGCATTCGCCTCCGAGGCTCGAATCAGAAGGCTCTGCTTCATAGGAGCCAGCGTAGCAGTACCAGCCAGGGTAACACAGGGCTGTGGGTTGACTGTTGCCTTCCCCAGCACAGTAAGACCCTGCCGTGCAAGGCACGCAGGCAGACTCATTCTGGCCTCCTGTGGATGGACAGGAACAATGGATGAGAACTAGTGTGGCCTAGACATTAGGGTTTGTGACTCATGATCAGAGTGTCCAGGATTCAAATCCTGCTGCTGGTTATATGTTGTGTCCTTGGGCAAGCCACTTCACTCCAATTTTTACCTCCCTCCACCCAGGGGTATAAATGGGTACCGGCATTAGCTGGGGAGTAACCTGCGATGGACTAGCATCCCATCCAGGGGGAGTAGAAACATTCTCAGTCGTTTCATGCTACTGAAACCAGAGATAAATGCTAGCCTGATGAGCTATTTTAGTTTGGAACAGATTTTATTTGCATGATTACTGTTCAAACCCTAAGTCCCTAGGCGTTGCTTTGCATCATCAACAATGTATATAATATCACTGATCTTTATTGATGGCATCAACTTCACCAAGCAATTTGGTACCTCAAGATACTACCGTAATTTTCGGAATATAAGCCGCGGCTTATACGTTGAATTTGCCCATGAAAACGTTAACTGCGGCTTATACACAGGGCGGCTTATACGCCGAGACTTGAAGAATAAAAATGACATTTTCATGTGTATTTAATGTACTGGTACAAGAAGAGATGTGTTGCTGAAATAATTATCAATTAAGAAAGTCATTAACAAACCGAAAGCACGTCCCACAAAAAGATACCGAGCGGTAAAAAGTACGGCTAGTGAAAGCTGTCCCTTGGACATCGACAACCGGCCGTGATGCTGCCCATGCTGCATGCATGCTGCAGGGATTCCCCATGGACCACACCATTTGTGGTAATAAAGGGGTGCACTTTCTTGGGAACAATAATTACCAATATTTCCCCAGTTTGAAAAAAGATAAAAAGACAACTAATACTTTTTATGGAGTTTGAAACATATCGTTATTTGATAATCAGTTGTTCAACGTCACAATATAATTTTTTTCTTGAAATGTATTCAAGAAACGATGTAAAACTCAAAACAGGGGTGAAACCACCCCTACGAAATTAATGGATTCGTCCATAAAAATCTCGGCATCGTGTTGACTGTTTTCGAAGAAAGTTACGATCCAAACTTGAAGTTTTGACGTTACTACTCGTTAGTAATCACAACAATTTGATAAGTTTTGCTGTAAAAACGGACTTGTTTATCCTTTAGGACAAAACTACTCAGCGTATGTTGCCACAAAGCAGGATTTGTAGCGCTCCAGTCAGTCAACACATGGTGGGTTGCATACTCTCTCAAGTGCTGGGGGAAAATAATGTCATTCGCCGGCGCGGCACAGGCTCACTGACGAGCCAGCCGGCAGCAATTCCCGTTTTTTATTTCTCATCATCAATTTCCATATTTGTTTGTAAGAGTAATCGACTGTAAATGATTTGACATAACATTTGTGGCCCTTTTATAGCTTTCGTAGTGCAAATGGAACTGGTTCAGAGCATTTTGACTAGAATTTAGAGGCCTTACAAAATTGAACCGCTGCGGTTGGTGCGGCTTATACGCCGGTGCGGCTTATACGCCGACTTCAAATCTTAATTTGCAGATTTTTGCGTGCTGCGGCTTATACGCCGCGCGGCTTATATTCCGAAAATTACGGTATATGTGGTGGTGTTCTACTGAATACAACTTCAATATAGTTTGAACAAAAGACAATTACCTGTCAAATTGTTGAATGTGCCATGCGGGCAGGGGAACTCAATGTCATATGTGGTACCATCAGGACAGTAGTGACCCTCGGGGCATAACGTATCTCTGTAAACAAATAAACAAATAAGCAAATAAACAAATACACAAATAAATAAATAAACAAATAAACAAATACAACATTTTACCATGGGAGTAGCTACGCAATATACTATTAAATATATTATTTGTTAGTTAACAAATACTTGTGTAATCTGCAAAATAAAATGTTTCTTCTTGTGGACCAATGCACAGTGCCTTGTGTCCTTAAGCTAGGCAATTTACTGTAATATTCTATATTCCTGACAAAGCAAGGGTAGTGTTTTCCGATGCTAACTTATGCAGTAATTGTCAGCCATACGTAGCGCTCGAAGAGGTGGCAATCGAGTGACTTTTACACTAAACAATCGTGTAAAAAAGTGAACTTGGTCAGGAAAATACATTTTGTGCAAAAATTCCATGAAATTAAATTCTATTGAAGTGCATGTTTGCATGATTCACCATATCTATGCTACGTCAAAACAATATAGAGTGCTGTTGATGTGATGTCACATCAGGACCTCATGTTACAGACATAAATACATAAACACTTAGGCTGTTAAATTCTTATCATCATTATACAGCCAACGAAAGACAACTACTCACACAAACGTGGTTGCATTGACCAGGCAATAGTAGCCAGCGGGGCATATTTTGCAGGAGTCCTGCCCCTCCTCATCTTGGTACGTCCCTGCATTGCACCCATCTGGGTACATGGAACCTTCCACGCAGAAGTGGCCCAGGGGGCAGATGTCGCCATAACCGGTGTGTTCCCCTGAACAAAAAAAACGAAAAGAGAGAAAAAAACAATTAAAACTCTGAAGAACAAAAATATTCTTGCAAGAAAAGATGAGTATTGACTTTCACTTGGTAAATGCAATGCGATGAAGTCTGAACACAGACTCCAAATGGGAGATTATTGTGGCGAGCCATTTGAAGTCTGATACTGACCAGCAGGTGAATATTTTTTTCCCCAAACATTTCGGATCGGTCCATTACACACATGTCTAATGCCTTGTTCTGAGAAACGTTCCTTCCTCATTTCAGTTTAATATTTAAAAGACAAAATGTGAGGCATGAGGTAAAATGAGACAGAACTAGGCACAAGCTGTGGCTATGGAGAAAACTTTACACATATGCTAAAAATCTAGTACAAAGCTCAAACTTTCATGGCCTTTTCTCAGTATGTTACTTTTCTCAGTATGTCGATAAATGCAAACTTTAAACAGCCATGCCTTGTCAATGGAATGACTGATTGAAGTGAAACAAACAGTATTGAAAGGAGAATTTTATTCCCTTTCTTAAAACCTACAAACCCTCATTTCGACCTCTGCCCGGTTCTGTCTCATTTTGCTTGAATGCCTCACAAACGAGAAGAAGCGAAAAACACTCACCGGGATTTGAACTCAGATGACCTGATTAGGAGTCAGGACTACTTGGAATCAGTCCACGAATCCACAAACATAGGTTTTGAAATGTTTTTCAAATGCCAAAATATATGAATTTTGTAGGTTTTTAGGGAGCAAAACCATGCAATGTTTCAGCAAGCTAGCAGGCCTGCAATAGTTAATGATGGCTTTTAAATGGACCAAGCAAACATACCTTCATAAGTGCAGGAATCATTGACGAATGCCGTTGGGTTGGGCCGGTCGACCCGGGAGGTACAGAAGAAGCCAGGACTGCAGGAATTGGTTGGAGCGACTAGGGTGATGCCGTCACAGTACTGGCCACCTGTGGTGGAGAAAATCAAATAATCAATTACAACTGGGCATCATCTTAATATGAAATCAACAAATCATGAAATCAAAAAACATATGTATAGAAGTATATGAATTTGGAATTAGAGACTTTTCACGACACGCATTCTCCAATGTTCCTGGAATCCGTGTGGTAAAAAAAGAAAAGAAACTACAGAAAACAGGATTCAGTATTTTGCATGCTTTTCAACTGTTGAAAAAAAGACATCTTCAAAAAGATTGGAAGAGAAACACACACACAAAAAGAACACAGCATATCTTTCAAAACAAATTGAACAACATCTCAACATCTCGAAACGGAAAATACCGTTGCAAAAACTCCAGATAAGATATTGAAATCGAAGTGGAAAAGTGTTTTCAACAAGACATATCAATAACTATATAACATTTCTTCCACAAATAAATAAAGTATGTACAACATAATTCTAACACTGCAACAGAGAATAACATGGATTATGTGCTTTTTTGAGTCGGATATACTTGTTTTGGGGTTAGAATATGGAGTTTTCTGCCTACCTGGGCAGCTAGTGCATTCAGTTTCGTCCTTCAGACCGAGGCGTCCCCCGTAGGTCCCCGGCGGGCAGGCTGTCCAGTTCATACCAGTGCCAGCCGGACAGTAGAAGCCCTGGTGGCACAGGTTGAAACCAGATGAGGAATTCCCTGCAAGACAATATAATAAAATTAAAATTAAAATATAATAAAAACAACAAACTTGTCTGCCGCTTGATGTCAATATATGTGATCCAACTCAACAAAAACAAAATCAATTTTCAAAATAGAAACACATTCATCAGGATGTCAAACTTAGTGATATGAAAATAATACGAAGGAAAATAGTAATTAATGCTTAGGTCATGTTTGATGTAAGCAGCTAAAAATCAACTGAAAATGTTTCAGCAATGGCTTACTTTTGTACCTGTTTCCTCTTCCTTTTTCTAGTTCTGAAACATTTTTATCATTCCGACTTCTGCTAAGTCAAACAGCTTTTAAAAGTTTAAATTGGTTTTATTTAGTATGATCTATTGAAGAATGAAGGAAGATTCTTAAAAGGTTTCCTTTTTAAAAGCAACTTATTATGTTCACACATGTTTCGAAGTTCGGTTCATACACAAGACAATATTAACCCATTTGTCACTGCCTGTTACTCCCTGTTTCGTCAAAATTGCCCCAGCACTGTGTGGTTTTATGACTTGATCAGAGAATGAATACAATGTAATACAATGTAACACAATGTAACACAATGTAGTACGTGCCAATGTTTTAACATACCTTCAACGACCTCTTCGGGAACGCAGTAGTAACCCTCGGGGCACACCAGGCACTCTGCCTGCTGGGTGAGGTTGGTGAACGTTCCCGGCTGACAGGGGACGGGCAGTGGGCTACCCTGGGGGCAGTGGAGCCCAATTGGGCATGGGTACTCCGTGGGGTTGGGTACACTCTGGCCCTCTGGGCAGTAAAAGCCAGGGTCACATTCAGCAACTGGGGCAATTAGACCTGTGGGGGAATAAACAGTAATGAAATTGATAAAATTGTGCCACTAAACGAAATGCTCACTCTACATCTTGCTAATGTAAAACAGTCTATCATGCTAATCTTCCTGGACATTAATACTTTTAAATGTATTGATAAGTGTTACTATAAATGCAATTCAGTTTACCATTAAAAAATGTTTAAATGGTGCCAAAGGACTGTTAAATCTCCTCAATAAATCAATTATTTTCAAGGCGATAAAAAACGAAATGCTGTATAATGCTAATTTAGAAGCACTTATGCAAGGGAGAGTTTTCTAATACTCAATAACATAGTAATTGATAATATTCTAATTATTTAATAATAATTTATTAACAAAAGTCCACACAAGATTAACTTTGTTGCATTAAGTACCTGTCTGGTTGCAAAACCATCCTTCGTCGCACGGTCCGCACTGTGACACGTTCCAGCGGTTCTCCGCATCGCTGTAGGTGCCCAGGGGGCAGGGTTCGGGGAGGCCGGAACCAGTCTCGCAGTAGCTCCCTGCCGGGCAGGTGGTGTTGCGTGGGTCCCAGGAGCCGAGCAGACAGTAGTAACTGCAGATAACAGGAAAACAATTGCATACTAGGTATGTATTCATTGTAGTGTTGGAAGAAGAGGTGTTGAAATCAACACATACAGAGACCAAACACATTAAGCAACAGACTGATACCACTGATCCAATTTCAGTTTAAAATCTGGACCTTAAATCTTTTGAAGTATCTCTTCAAACTTACTCGGGAATTCTAGACTGAACTGAGTCAACCCTTTCACTTTACATGCTATACAAGATATATTACTTTTGGCAAAAGAAGTCACTCTTTTTTCTCTACCCAAGGAATGTCGACATTGCCTGCTCAAAATGGAGAGCAAATGAGCTAAATTGGTACGTATTTTAATATCCTACTTAGATACTGCAGATGAACAGATGTGTGACATAGCAGAGTTTAAACAGTAAAAGACAAAGTTATCAAATTTGTCCAAGTACAGAAAGTAATTCGAGTTTTTTGGGGAAAAATTAAGAGTAAAAAAGCCTCCTTAATTAAAGTACTTTTAATTCATAAATGCCTTACCCCTGTTCGCAAGGCCCGCTTGTCACGTTCTTGCCCACCTCAGCGCAGTACTCCCCAGCCGGGCATAGCTCACAGTCAGCTTCCTTCTCTAGCTGGTACTCATCACTGAAGGTTCCCTTGGGGCAGGGGGTGGGGTTAGCTGTTCCCTCCTCGCAGTAGTGACCCTGGGGGCACTCGTTGGCTTGCTCCCCTAGTGAAAACATGGAATTAGAAATTAAAATTGCAACCCCTTGCTTTTCAACAAATTCTAATTTTATTTTTTCAAAGACATTTTTCAACTGTTATGTTTTATTCTGACAAAATAAACTCCTCTTTTTTTCTAACTTCTTTTTGGGGCATTTGCAACCCTCTGAAAAAAAAAGTTTTCATTTAAGGCACAAATCCGCCTCGTGAGCAGAATATGGATGGGGACCAGCCTACCCTAGGAGAACAGAATTATTGTCGAGCCGCCGATTATTCAAAATTTGTAGAGTAATACTTCAATAACCAACATGAGCCAATTTTTTGGGCTCACGTAGCAAAAAGTTCCGTTTGTACCTTTAGCATATTTCAAGTGTTAGCGAGGAATTTGGGCTTATGCGCATGCTTTAGCATCCCATAACTAAGCATTCTGTGCTGAGGTCAACACAGATTTTGTTTCATGCTTGTGCTGTTAGCATAGAACGGTGATCGCAAGCGTGGAAGTCTGTGGTTAGCAGAGCCATGAAACGGAGTCCTGGTTTGTCACACTATATCTTCACTAACCTTGTTCGGGAGTTGATGTTTCCGCATACTCCCTGCAGTAGTAGCCTGCCGCACACTGGTCAACGGGGTATGACATGCCCGTCAGAGGGCAGTAGAACCCACCCAGGCAGCCGATGCACTGGTTCACATCCTGACGACCTGTGCATTAAATGGCAAAGTACCAATTGATCAGAAACGACTGACAACCATGCAACTTACATAAATAGCAATACATAATGCTAAAATACGATCAAAGAAAAGAAAACAGTTGTGAACACATTTCTTAATAAGGACACTTTGACCAGAGTTTAGTTTTCATATGCAGTAAAAAGAGCAGACTTTGTTTTTAACTCTACAAATTTAGAGTCCAAATTGTGACACTTTTCCCTGTCCCTGTTACCTCCGAACTTTGCAATTTACCATTCAAGTATCATTAAAAAAGACTTCAAACGATGTTTTATTAGTTTGCTATTCATAATCACTCTTGGAGGATAACTGCATTTAATAAGGAGTCAGAATTATAAAATCAAATACAAGCAGGCAGATTCGTTCATACTTTACTGCAATCCGCAGTGATGTTTTATTTGTGCAGTAACTCTCTGTGTGACCAAATGACTTGAACACTTCATATCCCTTCACCTGAAACTGACCTGTAGGGTTTTAAGGGTATTGCTCTGAATATTGACTTCCCGCTTGGAGGGTTAATGTTGGATTTCCCAGAACTAACCTGTGAAGTTATTGAAGGTCCCAATCGGGCATGGATACTCAGTGGCGTAGCGTGTCCCTTCTGGGCAGTAGTATCCCATGGGGCACACGTTGGTCTCATTGTACTGCACCACGGGTTCCTCCGTGCTGTCGCAGAAGTACCCCGCCGGGCACTGCAGGCACGACCCTTGACCTGTCTCGTTGTTGTAGGTGCCGTTTCGGCAGCGAGTTGGTTCGGCCGAGCCAACCTCACAGTAGTAGCCTGCTGGGCATCTGTGATCACATCAAACACAGGTACAGAGAATTTTGTTTACATTATCCTAACCCATTTTTTTTCTTCTTCTATTTCGACACATCTCTATCTCTACAGTGATGTTTGCCATTTTCATTTTTCACCTTGCTTTTGACAAAGATTAAGCTAGGAATCAAAACTTTCATGTTACATTGAAAATGGACGTCACTAGCAAGAACAATCGTTGTAGTCATTTTACAAGAAGGACAAGGATTAGGACTAGGATTGTGAAGAATATTTGTAAACTGCAAGGGGTCTTGGCATTATTTTTCCATTTCATTCAGCATTCCAGGGTTCACACTGGATTCTCACGAAAAAAATTTCCAAGCCTTTCACAATAACACCTCCAAAACAAAAATTTCATTCCAGATAAGAAGCGAGGTAAAAATACACCACGTTTTTATTTTTACGAGACACATTTCAATTTTTCATGACTTTTAAGTCTAGAAAGGAATATCTAACAAGCATATTCCCTAGAAATTAAACTCAGACTTTTGCAGGTTTCCAAGATTGTGTCTAGTTTGTGAGCAGTCTCATACCTGTAGTCCGGTGGGGCCGAGACGTTCTGCCCGCTGGGGCAGTAGTAGCCCACGTCGCAGGGACCCTCGGGCAGGTCCAGCCCATTACCGGGACAGAACATCCCCTCCGTGCAGGCCTGGCAGTCCTCAGACGCGTCGTTCTGGGTGCTGTTCAGGAATGTCCCTGTTGGGCAGGGCTGGGGCTCGGCCGACCCTATAGGACAGTAGTTACCCTTCGGGCAGATGTCGCCGGTCACACCGTCCGTCGGGGAGGAGTCGTTGGCACTCAGTGTACAGTAGAACCCTTAAAAAGACCAAGTGTAGATTAAGCCCATTAGTATTGAGCAGGGCGCAATTAAGAAAAGTTTGTTTTTCATCCAATGCCAAAAGAGCCAGGGCTTTAACAAGAACTTACCATAGAGCAATAAAAGAAGACCACAAGCACACGTCCATCAGAAACTATATTTAACCACAGCTCCACTACCTCTGATGGAACGCTTGTTATTCAACGATAGTAGGGACTAGTTTAGTTGACTTTTCAGGACCAGCCTGTCCATGCCGGTTGCAAATTCGCAGTGCTGTTACAATCATAATGCACAGCACTGAGCCAAGACAAAGACATTTCATGACTGCTTTTTGACCATCGGTTGATTGATTTTGCTCCCCAGATATCTACTCACCGGCAGTGCAGTTGCCCGTGGGTGCATCCAGGCCCGGTGTCTGACAGTACATTCCTGGGTCACACTCCAGCATGCGGTAGGATCCCTCCGGGCAGTAGAAGCCAGGCTGGCACATGCCGCCGTGGGTCGCGTCCATGGCAATCGTGGCATTTACAGAGCAGTACCAACCTGTAAACGATGGTATAAAAAGATGGTTTTGTCAAACGAGCCACAAATGAAAACTGAACAGACAAACCAAATATGACAGAGAGAATTGACTTGAATCGGATTCTCTGAACAACTGAAGGGTATCGACAGAAACAAAGACGTCTACTATGTCTACACTTTAAAAGAAATCAGAAATAGAAACACTATTAAATGCTGACAACCGATGATGACAGAAATTCTAGAGTGTACAGAAATTAGAAAATCTATTGAACATCAGCAGATGATCTCAAAATCTACAGACATGTTTAATAGCCAATAAAAACAGGAGACGAAAATTATTTCAGAAACAATTTACTGATTGACAATTACTGATAATGGAAAATATATTTGAAGTTTAGAATACTGGCAGTCTACAGCTTCTTCAGATTATCTGGAGAGTATCAGTCAAATATCTTGGTGTCAGAACAGGCAGCAGTCTACAGTATCCATTGAATATCCAAAGAATATCATCAAAATATCAGTGGAATATCCTAGTAACAACACAGGCAGCAACCTACAGTATCCATTGAATATCTACAGAATATCATCAAAATATCAGAAGAATATCCTAGTGACAACACAGGCAGCAACCTAAAGTATCCATGGAATATCTACAGAATATCAGTGAAATTTCCTTCGAATATCTGCTTCAGCCTACCTGGACTGCATCTAGCCGTGAGGTTCTCAATCCCTTCCAATTATGAATTTGAATAGTCTCATAATAAAACAGGCAATATTAACCAAATATCTGTAAAATATCATCATGGCATTATTGGAATATCCTTCAAACACCAGCAGCAGCCTACCTGGACTGCATCTAGCCGTCGGGTCATCTAGCCCTTCCAGTTGACAGTACCAGCCACCAGGGCAGCCTAAGCAGTCACTCTGCGCCGTGGCGTGTGTGGAGTTCAAGTACGTTCCTGTCGGGCAAGGGAACTGGTACATGGACTCGGTCCGCAGCGGGCAGTAGTGACCCATTGGGCAGGGCTTGTCGTCATAGGAAATGGATTCTGTTGGGTATAAAATGTGCAAATGTTGACTGCAAAAACTGTTGCGTAAATTTAAGATTGAGTGACAAATCGTCATCGGCACCACGAACTGACACTCACGCGCAAGTGGGTGTCAGTTCGTGAAAACCACGTTATCAACAATTTCAGTTTCAGGAACTGACACCCAGTAGTGCACGTACATCAGACACTGATGCAGAATAGGAAGATTTTCATTTTCACGAACTGACACCCAAGCATGATGTGGCAATACAGAACAGAGAAAAACGGTTTGAAAGATTTTACACGAATATAATCCATCTGTATATGTTGTGTGCCTACACAAAAATGTAATTAAAAACCGTTTTAATTGGTGAAATTAAGGTCGGTGTCAGTTTGTGAAACCGAAAAATGTACGGGTTGAGCCCAAATAACCGGGTCTGCTAAATACGCGTGCGTGCAACACACTCACGTACAACTGAGTGTCAGTTCGTGGTGCCGAGGACGAAATGGTAAGCTGTTGGAGTTTATACAAGCATAATTCAGTTTAAATAGTATATGGCACAGTTCGACTATAGAATACAATGGCTTTGATCTTGGAAACCCAGTGGGATGATGCTGAATAGGATTTTCAATACATAACAGAGTTTAGATATAAACCATTGGTACCTGGACTACACGGTATTCACTGATATATCCCTAAAACCATGTACAAAGAATGCTGTTCTGGGATTGTTTTTTTACCACCCTGCATATTAATGATTTTTTTTTTTAAATCATGCTTACCTTCGGGATAATAGCATCCATGGTCACAACTATTCATTATTTAACAGTAACTTTTTGAAATCACACTTACCTTCAAGACAGTAGTAACCCTCGGGGCAATCCAAGCATGCAGCCAGGCCCGTGATATTGGCGTAACTGCCGGCTTCACAAGCAATAGGCATCGGGGATCCCTGGGGGCAGTAGTGACCCACGGGACACACCCCTCCCACCCCGGTGTACCCGCCAGGGAGTTGGCAGGTCCCGTTGATCAGGGCCGGGGAGAGGTCGTCGGGCTGGGCGCGGTCCACGCCGTAGGTACAGTAGTAGCCTTGGGGAAAAGGAAAAATGAAAATTGATCAATTTATGTCCAAATTTTTATAATTTATTTCCAAACCCAAACTTCATAAATCTGTTTAGAAATCCATCAGATGGTTTTGGAGGATTTGTAGGATTGAGGATGGCAGCACTTTGCCTGCAGTTACTTGAAAAGAAAAGTACAAAAATGTGCCATAGGTTTTCTGACTCACTGCAGATTGCAGCGAATTCAAGAAGGCTTCTAGTTAAAATGCCATGGGAGTAGCACTTAATATGAACCAGTGTTTTAGGACTTGATTCTAGGACTCAGACTCGAGTTAATAGGACTCGAGTCTAGGACTTGGACTCGAGTCTAGGACTGTAGTCTAGGACTCAGACTTGTGTCTAGGGCTCGGACTCAAGTCCGTCTTGAGTCACGATTTCAGTGACTCTGACTCAACTCGAGTAACATTGAAAAAGGTTACACACTTGGACTAGGACTCGACCATCATGACTCGGACTTGACGTTAGTGACACACAACAAAAATTCAAGCACACAGACCGTACCGCACCATTCTTCAGATGTTGACCAGAATCAAATGACTTGCTCCTCAGACTCGGACTTGAACCAACTGACTCGAGGCTCAGACTTGGATTGAATCAAATGATTCAAGTTAGACTTTGACTTGACCCGAGTGACTCGAGACTTAGACTTGACTCGAGTAACTCGACTAAAACACTGATGAACAATGGCTAACATACTTCCATGGAACATCAAACACTCTTAATCTGTTCCAAGCAGAAACACTGAAGTGTTCCAATTGTCAACCTTTCCTCCTCCCTCAAAACTTCATGACCACACCCGACAATTGCCCCTTCCCCTACCTGGGTCACAGCTATCAGTGACGCTGGTGGCTCCCAACTGGTCGCAGTAGAACCCTCCCAGGCACTGCTCGCACTGATCCACGGACGACAGGCCTGTCTCATTGCCGAAGGTGCCATGCGGGCAGGGTTGCCAGTCAAAACCGGTACCCTCTGGGCACCAGTATCCCATGGGGCACACGTCGACAAGGTTGCCCAGGACACAGTACCTGGAAAACAAGACAAAACCAGGAGATACTCCACTTTGAAAATTGTGTTTTGTCCTATGTGGCCTAGAGATTAGGGTTCGTGAGTCATGATCTGACGGTCAGGGGTTCGAATCCAACTGCTGGCCATATGTGTGTCCTTGGGCATGCCACCTTACCCCCACTTGCCTTTCTCCACCCAAGAGTACATATGGCATCCAATCAAGGGGAATAAAATAAAACACTGGTCTGATGTGCCATATTGGCTTGTGACTGACGTTGCATTTTACTTACTGCACAATGGCTTTGCAGTTTTTACCTTTTCTGTTTTGTGGAATTAAAGTAAACAAAAATTGAAACAAACTGAGTACACTTATCAGTGTTTCCCTCGTGGTTTATGTTATGATCATGAATTGGATTCCTACCATCCTTCTGGGCAGACAAAGCACTCCTCGGCATGAGTCTGGTTCATGTAGGTTCCATTGGCACAGGGGATGGGCTCTGATGAGTTGAGGGGGCAGTAGTGACCGATGGTGCAGTTGTAGTCATAGGGCCTGGGTGAACTCTGACCTGGCGGGCAATAGTAGCGTGGCTCGCAGGGACCAGTTGGGTATTCAAGACCTGAAGAAATTTAAATTGCAGGTAATATACATATTGACTGATACAACTGGTCAGTAAAACCCTTCCACAGTGCAGTAAACTAAACGAGTGCTACAGTAGCATTCCTCCACTATCCAGGTAATAGACAACTATCCACTGCTATGAGCGCTTCAGTAAGACACTTTCAGTGAGCAGGTGATATGGAAATATTGGCAGTAAGGCTATTCCACTTTGCTGGTTATAAACAATTACCAACTGCTACAAATAATAGCGCAAATTTTTCTACTGTGCGGGCAATACAAAAATATTGACTGCTTTTGAAGGAAATAGTAAAACTGGTCTCCTTTGGTGATCTGGGGACTATTGCATATTTCTGACTTGGGAAAGAAGAACTCAACTCGGTTCACTAAGCGAGGCTAGTTTTACTTTGTCACAAGTAACAGTAGTAAAAAAAATTTAAATAAAAATTCATAATTGTTTGGATAGGACATGAACCCTTGCCCTCCTGCTTACTAGTACAGATGTCTTATAAACCACTCAACCATCAAACTTGCCAGGATCAGCTGGGAAAAGTACGGTGAGAAATGTACACAAACTACAGGAGGGCAAAGCTTATAGCCAAATTCAGAACATTCCACTGTGATGGTGAAGGGGCAAACCAAACATAAAAAAAAGAAAGCAAACACTCACCTCTAGTTTGACAGTAGCTTCCCTCAGTACAGGGAGTGCACTGGCTCTCGTTCATCAGGCCCTCATAGGGATTGAAGGTACCCTCGGGACACTCGGTGGGCGTGTCTGACTCGGTCGGGCAGTAGTTACCCACGGTGCAGATGAGCTGGGTACGGGAGCTGGAGCCGATTGGGCAGTAGTAACCTTCCTGGCAGGAACCTAAAAACGAGTCAAGGAAAGCAAAGAACATTCATGTGTTCACCATTCATTGCTCATTTATTTCTGTAGTAAGGGCCCGTCTCAATTCATATACGCGACGCGTTCTAGACATTGTACAGTGGAACGTCGCTATAATGAACATCGTGGGATCCACAGAAATTGTTCATAATAGCGATCGTTCGGTATAGTGATTTTTAAGCCGATACTTACCAGCTTGTGGTTTTTCACACATTAGTAACCATTGTTATAGTGCAGTGGTATTTACAAACCATGCGCAGTCGCGCCAAACTTGTCCATTCATCTTTTCAATTCCGTAAGCAGAACTTCACCCTGTGCGTGAGACTATTGAATCATGTAATGACACAGTTCTTGAGCTTACATGGGTGGCTTTTCCCTTCTATTCCTTGGGGGAGTAATAGCCATTTGTCGCTTTTCTGTTGACACTTTTCAATAACAATGTTCGGTACATTTTGCACACAAAAATTGGGAGCCAAGGATGATGTTCCGTATAGTGGTTTTCGGTATAGCGGCGTTCCACTGTATCAGGTATATGAAAATTGGATGGAAGGTCTCAAAGATGCATTTCTTTCGTTACTGATATGTCTTTCTCTCATATTCAAAAGTTTGATTTCAGACAAAAGTCTGAAATTCTCATGGCTTACAATGACACATGCGCTTATGGAAGCGGCTGGCAAAGCAACCATAGAGGCACATCAGCCTTACCTTCTACAGCGAGCAGTCCTTCACTCTCACAGTAAAACCCAGCCAGACACTGCGTGCAGCTCGACACGTTCCTTAGACCCTCTGATGCACCATAGGTCCCTGGTGGGCAGGGGTACGGCTCTTCGGTACCCTCAGTACAGTAGGAACCTACACAGGCGAAACAAAAACAATTAAGAGAAAATACATACTCAATTTAAGTAAAATTACAAAGATGAGGAACCAAGATGTAGACAGGAATGTGAAAAGGGGAAAGGAAAGGAACAAGAGAAGAAAATAAAACAGATTAAAACTATTGTTACTCAAAGGACAAAAGGGCAAAGTTGTAAACTGCACGGTCCCAAAAACGATAAACTCCTAACCCACAAAGCATTGTGGGCAAAACTCAGCAACAGCAGTTCTTTTTGTGTGTTGTGCATCATTCAAGTTGAGATCTGCAAGGAGCTGTGGTACAATGGTCAACGTGTTCAATTCATGTGCCACGGGGATAATTGGCACTTGTGTTCTTAGGCAAGACACTTTACTACAATTGTCTCTCTCCATCCAGGAGTATAAATGGATCATTCAAGTTGAGATCAGCAAGGAGCTGTTATAGTGTTCAATTCATGTACCACGGGGATAATTGGCACTTGTGTTCTTAGGCAAGACACTTTACTACAACTGCCTCTCTCCATCCAGGAGTGTAAATGGATACCTGTGACAAAAGAGACCAGATTGTGATGATCTCGACCTGCAGCCGTATGGCCTGATGAATGGGGCTAATAATTGTGAAGCACTTTTAGACTGTTGGTAAAAAAAGCTATATATGCCCCACATTCGTATATTTAAATTATATTATTATATTAAGTTCTAATCACCTTGTGGGCAGACGTCGGCCTGGCTGGCTCCCTGTGACGGGGTACCAGTCTCAGCATACTGTTTGCAGAAGAAGCCAGCCTCGCATGGGGCTGTCGGTATGGTTTTCCCTGCCTCCTCGCAATAGTAGCCACCTGGGCAGAGTAAAGCAATTGAGTTGAGCAAATGAGCTTCTACTGGGGAGAAAAGGCACTGATGGACTTCAGATCATCTTGAATTAACAACTGTCAGCCTTATACACAGTTTTGGGGGCTGGGGCCTGATTCCAGTGGTGTGGCGGAGTCAATCACAAATCCTTACAAGTCCTCACGAGTCCCCGCAAATCCCTACAAATCCACACAAGTCTTTACCGGTCATCATGCCTCCTTAACAATTCTCACAAGTCCTCCCAAGTCCAAACAAGGCCTGACAAGTCCGCACACGTCCTTTCAAGTCCTTACAGGTCTTAACCAGTCCCAACAATCCCTACAAGTTCTTACAACTCCCGTAAGTCCTTACAAGTCAATCACAAGTTGTTGAGTCCCAAGTCAAGTCAAAAGCTATTGAAATAAACTGTGACAAAGGCATTCCTCTGTTAGTTTTCATCCCCTGTTACTTGTAACTGGACTTGTGATCTACTTTGATTACTTGTGACTTCAGTTGTGACTGACTTGACTGATAGTGGGATCTGAACTCACCAGAGCATGGTATACAGTCGCTGACATCGTCAAACCCAGTGTCATTGCCGAAGGTCCCCCGTGGGCAGCCAGTCTGATCGGCCCGTTGGGTGCCTGCCTCACAGTAGAACCCTCTGGGGCAGGTGATGGTCTCGTTGATGACCACCACGCCATTGGAACTAGTACAGGAAAAGGGTAACGAAATCATTGCAAGGATGCAGCAAGAGATGAAGAGATAAACAGGAAGACAAGTGTACAAACGTACATGCCAAACAGGATATTGATGCTGCACAAAGTCTTGCGAAAACAAAAGTGATAAACTGAAAAGTGCCCAAGCCCTCTTTATATCATGCTCATACCAAAGCAAGAAAAAGTGGTAGTTATCTTGCTAGAAATGTTTTTCACAGAAACGAGGGGACGGGGATGGGGGATATTTGTTTAAAACAAAGTGGCATTTGTTGGAATTCAATGTGCCACAGTTTAACGGTAGCTTCGTTGCGTTTCGGCACAGCAGAGCGAGTTTTTCAGTCGGTAATTTTAATCAACAAGTAATGAACTCAAAACACGCTATTAATCAGACCTCAACTGCTAGTATACTATGGCGTCATTTTGTTTATACAGTGCAAGATAAAAACACTAGACAGCCGGACTAGTGCAGTCACACACAGCACTAAACCGACGCTAAAATTACTAGACACGGTCCACGGTCCAGTGGATATTTCGAGCCTTGTACTAAAATAGTACCATGCTCACATGCAACTCTTAACATGCTAAATGCTCCGCCAACTGAAATGTCTGCCAGAATGTGCATGTGCCTCAACTTTCGTAATGTGCGCAGAGTGATCTAAGAAATGGTTTCTAGATGTGACTACAGAAACCAAAGACCTACTTGTCGCAGAAGTAGCTTGCAGGACACTCCTTGCAGAACCATCGTCCCGGCTCATCTTGGTAGGTGCCGCTGGGACAAAGGATGGGGTCCTGTATGCCGCTGGGGCAGTAGTGACCGATGGGACACTCATAGGCCTGAGGGTCTGACTGACCGCGGGGGCAGTAGTAGCCCTGAGTGCAGTTCCCTGGGGAGGTAGATTGGTTGAGATTTAGTTTTAAATTATATTATACATATTTATGGACTGATTCATATTTCACTGGTAAATATTTTGATGCATCGGTGGAGTATAAGTAGGTAATTAAGAATTTATATTCAACTTTTAAAAACATTACTATTATGAATAAAAAATGTAATGCTGTGTTCTCTCTGAGAGATCCCTGTTTGCTATCTCCCGAGTTTGCAGCATTGCTAATGTTGCTAGCATCGTGACTTTGGGCGTGATCCCTGATTACATGGTACATGTGGGTTTATGGCTCCTGACTAGTGCCTCATGAACAAAGTATTGGCAAAATGGGGAACCACCAAGATGGGGCTAGATAGCTCAGGTGGTGGAGTACTGGAACTGCAATCTGGTTCAAACCCTGCTCCAGTAAATTTCTTTGTTCAACTTAAAACAAAAATTATTAAAATGTACATAGGCAATTTCTCTTGGAGGTTAATTTGGAAAATAAAAATGAATTAAAAAAAACTTGAAGCCACTCACCATTAGGCTCTGTCAGATTATACTCGCCACAGTACTCGCCATCCAAGCACGACACGCAGTCCGTGATGTTCTCATTCTTGGAGTAAGGAGTGAACGTCCCTGGAGGGCAGGGCTCCGGCCAGGGGGAACCGACCTCGCAGTAGAACCCTGGCGGGCACTCGTCGCCTTGGACGCCGTCATCCGGGGTACCGGTAGTGGATTGGCCAGTGCAGTAGTAGCCGGCGTCGCAGTCGGCAGTGGGCAGTGCCAGGCCTGATGTCTGGCAGTACTTGCCGCCGGGGCACGGTATCGGCGAACCTGAACCTTTTTGGCAAAAAAAGTTTCGGAATTCAAAATTAAGCTTATTGAATTTGGCATCATAGATCTAGCTCTATGTGGCCTTGATATCTGGATGGTTAGACTCACAATAAGGATAATACTACATAAACATGTGGTTCTTGTCACAGGAGCTGGGGTTTGGCTAGAATTTTCAGGGTCAATAGTTCAACCAATACTAAATTAGGGGCACTCACAATGTTATTAAGCAAACCAGACATGGAGTTTTTAATTTAAGTTAACCACAATTGACCTATTGCCGCTTGCGAGTTAGCAAAGCCCCTTAGAAAACCCTACGGAATTTCGTACATTAAGTTTTGTTTGTCTCAGATTTTGCGCGTTCCGCATCCATGTTGTATATCATGTAACTGGACAATATTTCACAAGCTGCTTTGACGCGATTCTACCGCGATAGGTTAATTACCTCTAGGGCAGTAGTATCCGGGTTGGCACTCCCCACCATGTGACGTGGTCGTGCGGTTCCTGGCCCCACCTGAGCAGTACCATCCCTCGTCGCATTCGTCCGTGTAGTTGGCGTTACCCGATCCCTCGCAATACTTGCCCATCGGACAGTCCAGGCAGGCCCCCATGTCCTTGGAGTTGGGGTGGGGGTTGTAGGTGCCCGGCGGGCAGGGATTCTCAACTGGGTCTTGGGTGCCTTCGGGGCAGAAGTGACCTGAGATGGACAAGAGAATAATGACCAAGATTATAGTGTGTTTCTAAACATTGAAGTAGTAGCTGCTGATCCTACATGATCAAAAACTTTAAGTTTAGCGTTAGGTTTCATTCACAAAGCTTGGACACAGCTTGTGGTAAGTTTTAAAGGCCCCGCACAAGAGGTTGTCAATTTTGTGGGTTTTTTAAGGGGGGGGGACAATTTTTTTTCTTTTTAGTACCAAGATTTGACCGTGGTGATATATGTATACTATTTTTGAGTAGTATAATAGGGGTGTAAATGTGCCACCAACGTCAAAATAGTCCATCCCCCCCTTTCTAAAATAATGTGGGGAAAAAAATCGTGTACCCCCCCCCCCAAAGCCAAATCCTGGGTGCTCATATGAATAGCTTGTGAGTTGAATTGGGATCGGAGGACTTGTGATGGACTTGCAGGGAATTACAACGGACTTGATTTCATCCCTGCTGCATTGAATCCCAATAGTAAAGAGATTTAACTTGCTCCTAGTGTCAACTTACCCTCGGGGCAATCAAAGTTGATGTAATGGGTGGTTTGGGCCAGGCAGTAGTAGCCCTCCGGACAGGCAAAGCAAGCTGACTGACCGGTCAGGTTGTTATAGGTGCCAGGGTCGCAGGCCAGAGGGAGGGTGGAGTTGGCCGGACAGTAGTGGGCCACTGGACAGATGCCACCCTCACCTGGAAAAAAAAGAACAGTTGGAGGAATTGGAGGTTAGTCAATTCATCTGAAGAAAAAAAAATCCCCAAAACTTCCAGCAGATGATGAAGAATTTTAGTGGATCAGGTTTCAAAGTTGCTCTTCCGGTGCTAGGTTTGACTTCAGCCCAAAAAAATAGATTTTGTCTTGATTTTGCTATTTTCCAAGCAGTCCAAAATTGAACACATTTGAATGAGACATCAAACACAAAAATCTGACCACACATTTAGGTATAGAGTATCTACTGTGCAAACGTTCAAATAATTGGCAGTCCAACAGTAGTCAGGCGTATCTGTGCGTGTTACGGGCACAAGAGCAACCAAAATAAAAGTGTATTATCAGAGAGTTGGTAAAAACCAAAATAGAAAAATAGGAAACTTTGTGCATTTATGTAAAATATACAAATTGAAAATTTGTTACGAGAAAACATACCAGTGAAGACAGTTTGTTCCGGGCAGGAGCAGTTGACGGCCTCCGAGCTGGCCCCTGGATCTTCACGGTCCACTCCTGATGTACAGTAGTAACCTGAAATGCGACCATGGAAATGATGTAAAGCAGCACACTGATTGGCTCATAGAGTTTATGGCTTTATCAGGAAATGAATACAACGTAATACAATGTAATGTACAATGTAATACAGTGTATTAACCCTCCTAGTCTTCTGCACTTCACAACCCTTCCAAGTTTTGCAAAAAACCACTTCTGCTCTTACGAATTAGCATCCACATTTCAAATTCCTTTGAGTTAATCTTCTGTGGCTTATGGAGAACACTTGACATCCCTGCATAATTCTTTTGTGTGGTTAAGCTCAGGGTAAGCAGGCAGATTTGATCATGCTTCACTGCTCTCCACAGTGCTGTTTTTGTTGTGCAATGACTCTCTTTGTGACACAGTTGTTTAAATAATAATGACATTGGTTTCTTGTCACAAAGTGATGCTCATGGTGCTCTTATTATTACCCTGGCTTTAGCACGGCTGCCATTACGGCGCTCAGGCATTGAAGGAATTTCTTCCCACCAGGTACCCATTTACTACACCTGGGTGGAGAGAGGCAAACGTAGTAAAGTGCCTTGCCACAAGCACCATGTCCCCTGTCAGGATTCGAACCCATGTACCACGGCACACCAGTCGAACATCATAACCATTGGACCACAGCACCCCAACATTTAACATTTTATATCCCTCACCTGACACTGACCTGGAGAGTTTTACAGGGTTTTACATATTGCTCTGAATATTGACTTCCCACAGGAGGGTTAAAATGAAATACCATGTAGTACGGGTACTAAATCCATGCACACAACATTCCCATACCTGGCAGACAGCCACCAGATGTTGACGTCTCGTGAGGTCCTGTACAGTACTGACCGCCGTCGCAGGCCCGGCACTCCGTCACGTTGGTGAGGCCTTCCACAGGGCTGTAGGTACCAGCTGGGCACGGCTGCCAGTCAGCTCCAGTTCCTAGAGAAAAACAAATCACAGATTAAGAGGAACATCAGTCCCATTCATTGTGCACATAAATACACAACCGACTAAGATAAGATGTTATAACCAGAATGTTGTATTAACAGAGTTTGTATTAACGAGATTCAACTGTAGTATTTACCTCTGCTGTACCATTCAGATGTGTTTGGGGGTACAGGAAAAAGCAGCCATTGTGCCCATCTTTTTGGAATTTTTCTCGCTGTGTGGCCTTTAGCTTTGTAATTGGCAACTTCCATTTAAAAAAAAACTTTCATCTTATGCCGAACCAACAAACATACTCCAAAACTTGGGTCAAGTATTCGGATTTTATGTTACAAATGCTTGTTACGGTAAAAACCTTGTAAATTAATAAATACCTAAAGTTAAGTCCTTTGACCAAGAAGCCAAAGCCATATACAAAGCCTAAGTTTGAGAATTGGCGCCAATAAGAACAATATCGCTAGTATCATAATTAATGAGGCAGGAACGGGGAACCCTATTGAAGAAACAAACCAAGTATCCGGTACCTGTACAAGAAACCTAACCCCAAAATGTAAATCTCTGAAGCTGTCTGAATGGCTTCATAGCTTGACGTTGTTGATGAAACTTTCCCAATCATCATCTGTTGCGTGTTAAAATGCACAATATAAACATAACATCTGTTTTGGTTGTCCATGTAGCCTAGTTTTCGTTTTGAAAAATTCCCACCCATGGCATTAAAAACATTTCTTTTTCATTGTCTGAGAAGTTACTAAAATAATTACAATAGTTGGTTTCAGGTACGCGATCCCATAATCTGGAACCGGTTCCTGACATCAGCGGTAGGTGAATAGGGTACCCAGTTCAGATGCACATCCCTAGTACAATGTACATAAATTTACCAATTATCAAGTTCATTCTATATAAATTTTGGTTTGGCACAACTGTAAACACCGGTCAGAAAAAGGTAGAGTTAGTTTTTACACAATGACTTATCTTACCATAGGGACAGAAGTAGCCGGCCGGGCAGGGCTGGTAAGCCAACGACGCGTTGTCAGGCGTGACAGGCAGGCAGTAGTACCCCTCAGGGCAGATGTCGCACTCTGATGCCCCCTCGTAGTCCGTGAAGGTCCCTGGGGCACACTGCTTGTAGATCTCGCTACCGTTGGGGCAGTGGACACCAGCAGGGCAGAGGTAGAGGGTAGGGTTGGGTACGCTGTCACCGCCTGGGCAGTAGTAGCCACCCCAGCACTCCTCTGTCACGACAGTCATGCCGCTGGTGGGGCAATAGAAGCCGGCTACAAAGAAAAAATGAAATAATATTTAAAAGAATATAACCTTTTGTATGTCCATGGGCAAGATGCTTGATGTGAATATGGTTCCAAATTTTGCCAAGTGGGCTAATTACTTTTCATGCATTTTGGTTATTTCCATTTAATTACACCACTCAAAATATGAATGTTCGAAAAGACGAATGTTCAAAACGTAACCTAACCAAGTTTCAGCTCGACACTTTTTTGAGAAAATAGTGAGAGATCATGCACAATCTTTTGATCACGAAACTCGATTCTGTTAATTATTTTTTCCAAGATCAGTCAACAAACTAATCGTTGGAAATCACCTACTTTCTTGATTTCTTCTAAACGACAGCAAGCCAGACGGAATAATTTCACAGGATTTTAGTACCAGTACGATCTTCAATCCAAGTAAGCTTTCCGATAATAATTTGTTAGTTACTTTTGAGATAAATGCAAATGATCCTATAAGCCATTAAAAAATGCCTTCAACAAAAGTCTGCAGGAACTTACAACAAACAACACATCACTTATTGGCTATTCACAAGCTTCCGCTAAGAACATTTATTTTGCTTTCATGAACCCATGAGTTATGCAACTTGTACCCCGAGGACACAAGGCAACACATGAATGCTTACCAGTGCAGTTGTAGCAATCGGTCACCACGGTCAGCGTCTGCACGTCGGACCAGGTGCCTGGCGGGCAGGGTTCTGGCACGTCGGTACCCTGCTCGCAGTAATGACCCTCTGGGCACGGCTGAAACTGCGAGTTGTCGGCGCCCAGGGCGCAGTAGTAACCTAATAGAAAACAGAATTTTAACAATTAAACCAGGTTATTGGGTCTTAGTAATGCTACAAATCTGGGAAATGGCTATCACTGGTCACTCAGAGAGGATCCAGCTTTATTAATAACAAAGGTCCAAATATACCACAATTTGAAATTCCCAAACCTGGGCTGAAGCTACAGTTTCGGCCTCATCTCTGGTTTAGGATATTTACCAATCCTTAACCCTCCGAGCCTCCTATTACCAAAACATACACGCACGCACGAAGGTACTGCAGCCGATGTTGTTTTGTAGTACGTGTAAATAACAGTGTTTGCGGGGACACAAGCTGTTCTCTAATGATCTGAATAGATGAATAGAGGTGCCCTGGACACACATGCCAAAGATTGAAGCATTCTGGCAATGATGGTTCACGACTTGTTTGCCAAGATGGGTACATATTGAAAACTGCCCTCCCCCCTCCAACTGCTATCACCAAACCACTAAGCTTTAAACTTTTGGAAAGTTTTGCCATTACATAATTGATCCGTGCTAGTATAACTGACCTGGATCACAGAGATCTCCCACACTTGTCATGTTGTAGTCCGGGCAGTAGCGTTTAGCATCACAGCTCACGCACTGGTCCATGGAGACGCGCCTCTTGAACGGGTTGTAGGTCCCCGGTGGGCAAGCCTCGGGCGTGGCGGTCCCGTTGCCGCAGTAGTAACCGGCGGGGCATTCGTCGGCATTGCTGCCGATGGTGGGCGTTGGGGTGTTGGAGCCACTTGTACAGTAATAACCTGAGAGGGAAAAGATGTTAGCAAACTTCAATGCTCATCGCTTGCACAGCAAGACCCAGAGAGAGGATGTAACATTTCATTCATGTGTAATGATTTCAATGTTTGGCAAAATTAGAGGCAACTGCTTTAGGGTATAACTCTCTCACACACCGGCAATATAACAGCCTGTTTTAATTCAGATCTGGGACGAGTTCTGGAAAAGTTGTGGGCGGAATTATTCACACTGTCCGGAGGAAGCTTTGCATTTGTCCCAGACATGTTCCACGGGAATTTTCATTGGCAACTGCTTGACTCACCAATAGGGATAACTTTATTGCGAGAAGACTGCAGGAAAGTTGTTCAAAATCCTGCAACTTGTACCTGATACAATGTTCGCAACTTTTCCAGAATTCGTCCCGGATATGAATTGAGGCGGACCCTAATCCAGGTCTGTATTTCAACTGCGCCTATAAAAAAATTAACCATCTCCCTAACAAAATGAAAACAAAACAAAATCTGATGAAAAATCTGAAAGTTACATTTCTTTCTATACTGAAAATGTCTTGCTCTCAGATTCAAAATGTCTGTTGTCAAGAAAAAGGTCTGAAAAATCTTGTGCCTGCTATACAGAATAAGCAACTTGCTGTATGCCTGAAAATCGTATCAGGTACATCTAAAATTAAAAAGAAAAAGTGCTCATGGTTTGAAATAAGATTTTTCTAGCCTACCAGCGTAGCAGTCCCCGGTGGGTTCAGACAGTCCTTCCGTCTCACAGTACTTGCCGGCGCGGCATGCCTGGCAGTCAGCAACCTCCACGCGGTGGGTCAGATTGTTGAAGGTGCCGTTAGGGCAGGCATACTGGGTGGTATACTTGGTGTTGGCAGGGCAGTAAAAACCTGTGGGAGAAAAGAACAATTTGCAGGTCGACAGATGAGATAACAAGTTTTGTTTTAATAGTTTTCTGTAAAAGGCAAACATGCATATCAGAGGTCATCGCTTGTTGTGTACATATGTCCAAAACAAGTCTTAAATAGATTGATTTATCATATACCAAAATTCCCCCCCCCCCCCCCCCCATTTCAAAACTACCAACCTTTGAGAAAAATTGATCGTCTTTCATTACAATCCAAAGAAAATGGCACAAATATTGTTGTCCTGATTTATGGTCATATTTTTCACTGGCTGGTTTAAACACTTCTCAGCATTATTTAAATGGTGTACACGACCAATGAGAATTGGAAAACTATTAAAGGTATTTATTAATTTGAATTAAAGGGCCATCAAAGCCAATCGGTTTGTGCCAACAGCTGATTGGAAAAAAAATTCTGTTTCATTCCAAATAAAAAACATGAATTAGAAATTGGGAAGATTGGTTCAAACTTAAAAGTGTGTACAGTATTCTAGCATCGATGTCTGTAGGTCAATTCTTTAACCATGCATCAGTCTATGAATCTGTCTTAAATCTACATAGATTTAAAGCCTTTTTTTACCTGTCGGGCAGTAGGAGTTGTTATAGAGCACCACCGGCTCCATGGTGTTGTCGCAGTAGTATCCCTCGGGACAGTCTTTGCAGCTTGATTGGCCAATCTCATCCTGGTACGTCCCTGACTCGCAACGGACGGGCTCGATAGAGCCAGCCAGACAGAAGTGACCTGTTAAGAATACAAGTACAAGAAGTAGCATCAACGGAACCAATGATTCAATCGTAAAAACAACGATAATCACCCGTGGTGGATTGAGGATTTTAGGCAAGATTTTTTTAGGACATGGCCAAGGTGTTGAAGGCAACAGACTGTATTCAAATACTGGGTTCTTTTTGCAGTTCACCCATGTATACTATGATAAACACTGAACATGCAGTGTTGTCAGAAGGCAAATGAGACAAAAATCACAAACAAGTCGGGTGGGACTCGAACCCATGACCTCTGGCTTACTAGTGCTGCAGATGTCTTACCATTGTATGGTGTTGTTTCAAAACGCTTAAGAAACATATGGGATTTGTTTTCCAGTAATGTAAAAAAAAATGTTATAGTTGGTAGGGGAAAAGAGGGAAGGGGAGGGTAGGTGCCAGCCACGTCCTGCACCCTTATAATACATCATTGATGGCAGAAGCATTTTTGGAAAACTTAAAGCAGACAGTTAGGCAGCAGTTTCTGAGGTACTTCCCTCATCGTTTCATATTGTGAAACTTCATAAATCAAGTCTTCACCACAGGAAATATCTACATACTAATACCCAACTATATCAATCACATAAGACTTTTCTTATAAGATTTTATCAGGCTCTTATATTCATAAATATGATAGGCTCTTCAGTTTCACAGAATTGTCAACCAAATTTTGTCTAGGGAAAACCACTTGCTGAATTTCCTACTTTTCATTTGTAAAATTACAAGTACAGCTACAAATTCTGTGAAAATCCAATCTGCCTCACCTTGTGTGCAGTTGTAGGCGTCCGGTGTTGGCTCTTCCTGTCCCGGGGGGCAGTAGTACCCAGCCAAGCACTGGTCCGTCGGTACAGGATTCCCCTCACCGGCGCAGTAAGAGCCAGCGTCGCAGGGCAGGCAGGCGCTGCTGTCATTGTTGTGGGTGCTGTTCAGGTACGTGCCTGGGTCGCATAGCTGGGGCGAGGTGCTCTGTGGAGGGCAGTAGGCTCCCTTGGGGCAGATATCTCCTGCAAACGGAAACAATAATCATGTGAGGTGTTCTCAGAAAATGAGACTGAACTGGGCTTACATCAAAATGAGGAACTGCTGGTGTTAGGAAAGGGAAGTATATGTCATTACATTATTGTATGTTGCACTTCAACTGAACATTCTGTTGACAAGTTATGGCTGTTTACAGTTTGTATAAACAACATGTCAAAAAGTAAAATACTGAGAAAAAGTTCTTCAAATTTTCAGTTTTGTATTCGTGAAAGTCCTTGAAAAACACTTTTTTAATAGTGTTTCTTTAAAATATGTTTTTGTTTTTCCCACATGGCCAGTGTGCCCATTTGGTGCCCAGTTGCGTCTCATTTTGCTGGAACACTTAACACAATTAACAGGTGATTTACAAATGTGAATTAAACACTTATGCTTTTCGATAGGAATTTAACACAAACTCCAGCTTTCCTCCACTGAAAATTATCATCTTATTTTTATATTATCTTAAACATGGGGACCTAAGCTTGCGTGCCTCATAAAAATCATGTCCCATTGATAATAAACATGTCTATCCAACTGTTTTTTCATCCAGACAATTCATCATCCACCTTGAAGTTATGGGGGGGGGAATGCTTACCAGTTACACCATCTTCAGGGTTAGGCACAACTGCCATGAGCGTGCAGTAATACCCAGGATCGCAGATTCCTGATGTCTGGTTCAATCCATCCCTTGCGCAATACTCTCCCCCTGGACAGGGAATGGCGTAGGACGTCCCCGCTGGGCAGTAGTACCCGGCCGTGCACATGTTGCCTCCGTCTCCAGAGGGAGTTGCAGTGGAAGAGCTACCGCTGCAGTAGAATCCCCCCTGGCAGATGTCGGTGGGATTGGGTAGGCCCGGGCTTGCGCAGTACGAACCGCCTGCAATAACAAGACAAGCCAAATGTGGTGAGCCCTCACAAAACTCAACCCTCGCAAAAAGTCCACATGTCCTCACAAGTCCTCTCAGGCCCCTTCAAGTCCACATATACTCACATCCTAACAAGTCCTCACATGTCTCAAGTCTCCAGAAGTCCACTTATGATATCACAAATCCCTACAAGTCTATATATCCTCACAAGTCCTCGCAAGTCCTCACAAGTCCTGACATGTCTCAAGTCCCCAAAAGTCCACTTATGATCTCACAAGTCCATACAAGTCTATATATCCTCACAAGTCCTCGCAAGTCCTCACAAGTCCTGACATGTCTCAAGTCCCCAAAAGTCCACTTATGATATCACAAGTCCCTACAAGTCTATATATCCTCACAAGTCCTCGCAAGTCCTCACAAGTCCTGACATGTCTCAAGTCCCCAAAAGTCCACTTATGATATCACAAGTCCCTACATGTCTATATATCCTCACAAGTCCTCACAAGTCCTGACATGTCTCAAGTCCCAAAAAGTCCACTTATGATCTCACAAGCCCTACAAGTCTATATATCATGTATATCCTCACAAGTCCTCACAAATCCTCACCGTCTTAAATATGTCCCCAAGTGAAGTAAGTGATCTAAATACCAGACGGGTTACTTTCAAGAGAGTACTCTTTCAAAAACACAGACGGCCATTTTTGAGACATGAAATTCACGTTCATGCATTTGCAATAACTGCATACTAGTAAGTTTGTCAGGTGTACTTGTCCTTTCAAGCCCTTAACTTGTTTCATCCTTGATGTGAAAGTTTACAAAACTTGCATATAAATTTCAGTTTTATGAAAATAATCACTTAATACTTAAGAGTATTTAAATAAAAACTTGCCACCAGAATATACTTTGTGTGTACAAACTTAAAACTTTGCACAATCAAAGACCATCCTACATGTATAAACTGAATGAGTGTTTTATTTACCTGTGCACGGCGTGCAGGCACTAGCATTGGTACTCATGGTCAAGTTGTTGAAAGTGCCAATGGGGCAGGGGAACTGGGTATCAGATTCCGTCCCCGCTGGACAATAGTGACCAGCTGGACACGGCTTGTCGTTGTAAGCAGATGACCCTTCCAGGCAATAGTAGCCTGTGGAAAATCAAATTACTGTTAAACAAAACTGATAAATTGCTTCGTGGGCACAGGTTCAGAGGTCTTAAAAGAGTTGTTTTGAATTTTGACAAGATTAAAACTTAAAGTAAGCGTTGGGTTTGTTTTTTCAAAATTAAATGTGAACTTTCTGCAAACATTTGCAAAGGCTTCTGTACAAAACATGCAAAACAAACAGACATTGTCCACAATCTGATGGAAATTTATATGCTACTTAGCTGCCAAACTAGCACTTAGACCCTCGGAGGACCCTGTTGTGGGGAAGATTTTTACCGGTAGGAGAGTTCTGATAGAGTTTTCAGAACTTTTGTACGTCCATACGACTTTGTATTCCAAGTGTTCTGCCTACTGTATAAACCTATTACGAAAACATGATCCGATGCATTCACCCGACGTATCTTTCACTGTTTATCGTGAGTAAACCCCACACAGCGAGATCTACAGTTCTAGCAGAAAGTCAAATCTTTACCAGGTTCGCAGGACAGGCAAGCATCCATGCCCTCCGACGGCGCGTATGTCCCTGCAGCGCATGGCTCGGGATAGATAAAGCCTTCCTCGCAGTAATGCCCCACGGGGCACTGCCCGCCGTAACCGGTCTGCCGGCCGTCGTAGTACGCACACGACGTGGCGTTGTCGCCATCTGGCTCGGGTCGGTCCACTCCGAAGACGCAGTAGTAACCCGCCGAGCAAGGGTTGGTTTCTGTGGTCAAGTGCTCGCTGTCGCAGTAGTAGCCTGCCCTGCAGGGCTTGCACTGGTTGAGGTTGTACAGACCGGACTGGTCGCTGTAGGTGCCCCGTGGGCAGGCTTGCCAGTTAACGCCTGGACAGGGAGAACATTAAAGGAATTGTAATCATCTGAATATTATGATGAACAAAGAAGTTAAACCAAATTATAAACTTTTTTTTAACACGACGATCCCGCAGCTAAGCTCCTGCTATGGTCACCCGAGGCGAAGCGCTGAGTCGGCCGACCACACATCACTCTAAAGATGCTCCTGGAGAAGGACACTGGGCTCGAGGGAAACGAGCTACTGTTGGCAATGAGGGACTGAGTACGCTGGCGTACGGACTTCGTGAATACTCCACCAACCCCTGAAGGCATTGGACGACTCAAGAGAGAGATAAGACTTGCAATGCCACTGAGTAGTTCCAGAGGTGTCAGGTTGAATTCCCATTTCATTCAATTCTCTTTGTTTAATCGCTCAGTTTCTTTGTTTAATGTCAGATTTATTACAAGTGATCCTAGTCAGTTTAATTTAATTAACCATGCACATGCATTGCGCTTGTTGTTCCCACACGATACAGAGTTCGTACAAAAATGTCACAGAGGGCTAGTTAAAAAAATGTGGGAGTCAATGTTCAACTTATTTCAAATAGAAATAAAAGTAAATTGTCACTGAATTTTGGTAAAATTTTAAAGCAGAATCTTAAAAAAAAGTAGCATCTGCTGGTGGGACATCGTAAAACAAAAATTTACTGTGTTAACTTGTGATACAGTAAAACTAGCCTTCTTCAATGTGCCACAGAGTATTCTACTTTGACTCAGAACGCTCCACAGATCACCTCAGGAGGCTAGTTTGACTACACCACTCAGAGTAGTCAATATTTATATATACCATAAGAACAAGGATTCAAATAATAAATATCCTACCGGTTCCAGTGGGACAGTAGTAGCCCTCCGGACACAGCATCCTGACCCCAGGTTCCGGGCAGTAGTAACCCTGGGGGCAGAGGTTACAGGAGGAGGATTTGGTCTGATTGGCCTCTGTGTAGTTGGGGCAGGGGATCGGGTCGGCCACGCCACCGGGGCAGTAGTGGTCGATGAAGCACTCGTTGCCCGAGGGCTCTCGGTCAATGGTGCCTGGCGGACAGAAGTATCCTGAAAAAAAAGATGCAAATAAAATCAAGTCAGTCACAAATATGGGCTTTTATCATTAAATTAGACGTTACGTTTCCAGGTAATTCCAAATGACCACATAATTGCAACACACCTTTAAACAGTGAGAGACTGAAAAAGACCGAAAACCACAAAATGTCGGGTCTTGAGACCGACTTAGTCTCGAGTGCTCCTATACTGATTTAGACCCTTTCCTTACCCTCTGCGCAGTCCCCAGTCGGTTCTGTCAGTCCATCTGTCTCACAGTATTTGCCACCAGAGCAAGGGTAGCACTCGTCCTCTGATGCCTTCATCGTCTCATTGTTGAACGTTCCTGGAATCAAAAGAGGATCTCAAATGTCAGCCAGCTGGGTGTTATCACACAAGTGAAAGGTATGTCAAGAAATAACCACTGATATCAACATTATGATAGCTTAACCGTAAAAGGGCCAGGAGAAGGGGGGGGTAGTGGAATCCGCCCCCCCCCCCCCTTCATCTTTTTCCGCGATAGCCTTGAAATGTTTTTTTTTATGACCCGAGCTGTTATGATTTTCTTCTAGCCAAAAACATTTCAATCAGACCACGGGTTGCCGTGCAGTGAAAAAGTTTCCGGCGTTAAGTGCCGTGAAAACTGAATTTTCCCATATACGTTGTGTACACAGAGCAGAATTGCCATTTGTACATATGAATAATTAATTTGCCATAACCCCAAAACCTGTTGACGTATAGTCATGAAATTTCTTGGGTATGTTCATGAAGAGTTGCTCTATGCATGTAGCAAGTTTCAAAATTTGTTTTCACTCAATGTCCGAGTTCTTAGGGGGGGGGGGCCGAATTCTGCCAAGCTGAGAGTGAGGGATATTATCGACGAGTGGGCCCCTGAGCCGGTTTTAAACATACTTGTTTAAGCACATATTTATTCCCATTTAAAAATACCTTCGAGTCGAAAAGTCAAAACAAGTCAAAAAGTATAAATTTCCAATGGTTTGGTTCAACAATTTAGCTACACCTTTTTGTGTGACACTTCTCTTGCTATGTTTATGGTATGTGTCTCTGTAAGTATTAATAAAAAGTTACTTATATGAAATTCCCACATACCTCTAGGGCAGTTAGTTGGGTCAAACGTCCCATTAGTGCAGTATTTCCCTACTGGACACTCAATCTGGTCTTGACGGCTGGATCCTTCTGGGCAGTAGTAGCCGGCCAGACATGGCCCTTCCGTGGCGGTCATTCCATAATCTGGACAATACTCTCCTGAAAAAAAAACAAAGAAGAACTTCTTGTTTTTTTTCTTATAATTAAAATATTTTTTAGATGAACTGCAATTTCTGTTTCAAATAAAGAGAAAGTACTTATTACTCTACATACGAGTACTAAAATTGCAACGTAAACTATTCGTAAGTTCAACAAGTATTTCAAGATCAAAATGTATATCAACCTCCACCCCCATGTGCCCCAACCCTCTTTAACTCTTTCAGTGCCAAACTCGTACATGTACGAGCTATTTTTGTTAGTCCAATAGCGCCAACCTCGTACATGTACGAGGTAATGTTCGTGCTTAAAATCGCCAAACTTCGTACATGTACGAGGTAGAGTAACATGTTATCAAAAGGGGGCGCTCTCGCTCTTTCTAATGGTACCAATTATATGCATGTACGACCTGTATTTATTTTTATATTCGAGTTCTTGTGAGAGGGCATCACACTGAGTTTCAATTTGTTGACAAAATGGCGGCGCCCATGAACCGAGCTCGCGTGTTATCTCCAGAGAAAATCAGTGTATTTTTCCGCCGATTTGGACAGGGTAAGGGATTACTTTTCTGATTCAGAATAATCCATGGATATTTCAGAACTGGATGGTGAGTCAGAAGACGAACATTGGGATACCGATACAAATGATAATTATGGTGCTAAAAGTGACAATCATGGCAATATTTATGATAATGAACAGAGTTTGTATGAGGAGGGGTATCAGACGCGACACACGTATATTCTGCAAAAGTGCGGAATTCCCCTGTGTTCAGGAGAGTGTTTCAGGGTTTATTACTAGGTGCATGACTAATATTGACTTTTGAAGGTAACAAGAATATACCAGAGAGCAAGATACAACAAGTTTGGTGATTACAACTTATGTACTTTTTTTTTATAGAATTTTGAATAATTAACAAAAAAGCTCGAAGTTGGGCGCTTTAGGGTTAAACTTTTGAAATGTCGCGGGCACTGAAAGAGTTAATATTAATCATTTTTTCTTGATTTGGGAAGAAGCTAGCTGCCATAAATGTTATATGAACAATAATTTTGGGAACCAACAAAATTGTAGAACAAAATTTTGGAAATTTGCAATGTTTTGGATTGCATGCTTTAACAGTATGTTTGACGCTTCAACTTTAATAATGCCTACATCTTTCCACCCTTGACTGCATGATGCCCCAAACATTCCATTAATACAAAAGAAACTTTCTTGTAAACAGTTTGATTAAAGTTCCTTGTAAAACAAGAGCGCATAAACAAGCATAATTTAGTCAAAGCTTGGGCTCGTTTCATGACGTTTCTGCCAGATAGGGCCTTCCCATATTTTCTGAGCAAAATTGGTTACAAGCCAAATTTCAAATACATTGCACTGATCAATCTTTTCTGCTTGATCATAGCTCAACTTAACAGGACTCAGAATTTCCATGAATGCATTTTTCCCGACATACCCTTTGTGCAATTCATGCACTCGTCGCGATTTCTCAACTTGATGTCGTTGGAGAAGGTGCCCGGTGGGCAGGGCGCCGGTTCGGTGGTTCCCTGCATGCAGTAATAGCCGGCTGGGCAGACGTTTGCATCCGTGGTGGAGTTGGGTGTGGAAATTGTCGCTCCACTACGACAGAAGTATCTGGTTGGGATAAAAAAAAAAAGTGTTACTATTTATGCAGAGGAAAGGTTTTCTGAAGTGAAAAATAAGTTGCAAGCCAAAAAGCTCCATACCTCACACATGCTACATTCATTCTAATGCCCGAGTGCAAGGTATGCTCGGATTTTCTCTGGTTTGACTGCCTATAAATAAGTTCCCAGGACCGGAACATGGTGCGTGCGTTCTTGGGCAAGACACTTTACTACGATTGCCTCTCATCACCCAGGAGTATAAATGGGCACCTGTGAAGGTAGAGACCAGATTGTGCATGATACAAGACTGTTTCAGAAAAATGGTCTCATGGCCTGATGAACAGGGGTAATAATTAGCGCTTTGTATCCTTTGGCATGTTTGGTGAAGGGACTTAATAAATACCAGTTATTATTATTATTATTTGATTAATGTTGCTGATAGCGCCTTCCATCAAGACAGTGGCTTGACAGCACTTTCTCTTCAAAAAGTTTCTTCTACACTTGGACTATGGAATTTCATTACCACTATATTGTCGATACACTATTGGACTATATTTCAATATCACCGTGGAGTGAGAATATTTTTTTGGGAAACCGAACAATACTGAATGAAGTTGTACAACAATACAGAGAAAACGACGACCTTGGTATTGAAATTCATTACTGCAATTCTCCTTCTTAAATGTGGCCAGATGTTTCATAAAGCCCTTTAAAAATAAAGGTGACGGAAACAACTTGGCCAGATCTGCACTATATGGATAATTGTTTCAATTCCTTGTGGTGACGATATCTAGAAAAGGTGAAACTTGTGCCTAGAAGTTATCCAGCAGGGCCTTTGAAGTTTTTTCCATGCTGCCTATGTGCAGTTTCCCTAACACCACGTGTCTTATTGTATTAATATGACATAACAGTCCGCCCAGGAAACTACAAGATAATACTGCAATATTTTTTGGTGACGGTATACGTGGATTCTCAAAATCCAATACTGCACACGCCTAGATTTCAACTCACCCAGCTTCGCAGAGTTTGGTGTAGCCAGTCTGTGCCTCTTCATCGCAGTAGTAGCCGCCTGGGCAGGGGTTGCAGTCATCGGACGAGTTCATACCAGTGCGGTTGCCAAACGTGCCGCGGGGGCACTTGTGTTCCGTGGCGTAGCGCGTGAGGGGTGGGCAGTAGTATCCTGCCAGACAAAAATAAGGAAATATGAGGATCGTGCTAAGGGTTATTTTTATCAAGCTAATCCCATTAGTCACTGTACAACCCCAAACCGCCCTGCTTATTACTCACTGTAGTACTCGAAAATACCCGAGCTTTCTATGGTTCTATAGATTCATTACTGAATAAACACAATGTAAAAATTGCAAAAAGGTTAAGTACAAATTTAATCATTTTTTAGCTAACCTTTTGCATTGCATTAGTCAGACATCGGAAAAAAAAGCTTGCAATATCAAGTTGATCAAAAAATTAACGCACGGGAGACATTTCTGTGCCAATTCAACAGGATTAACCCTCCTGCTACCTGAACAGTCACAGACAGTCACAAATTCAATTCTCTTGCCCTGCCATGCCTTTTGCTCAAGCTAGTCACCAACGATCAGATCATATTTCAAGCAAGCACTGTGTCAACAGCCCATAGCAGGCAACTGGTACACACAGCTGGCTTATCAATCACCAACAATCTAAGCATAGCTGTATCAAGTTACATAAACAGTCACAGCCAGACAATTCTGCTTTATGTAGGCTGGGAGCTCTTAACTATTGAAAACAGTCAATTGATTGATTTTGACTGCAAGGACAACTTGGCACAGAATGCATGTTCGCATAGGAAGGTTAAAGTGTATTGTTTGTTTTGGACACATCCTTTTTATAACCCAAATCATCCCTTTTTTCCCCACTTCACTGTTTCTCAGGAGAGGCATTTCAATGTTGTTTTGTCTTTGGAATCCCGCTTACCTTCAGGGCACAGAGAGTTATTATACAGCACCACCGGTGCATAGGTGTTGTCACAGTAGTAGCCGCTAGGACAGCCCTTGCAGGATCCCTGTGCTGTCTCATCCTGGTAATAGCCAGAACTGCAACGGATTGGCTCGTGGCTTCCACTGGGACAGTAATGACCTGAAGGGGAAACACACATGTACCAAAATGTGGATAACAGTCAGCAGAAAATCAGCATATTTGCCAATTTGCAGTGCAGTCAGGCAAAGCCAAAATTTGAAAGGGTGGTAAATTTTTTTTCCAGGTGAACCTCAATCTGTACATCCTGTTGTCCCTTTCCAAGTTATTATTATGCCATCAAGCAACTTTAATAAATCAAATTAGGTTTCGTCCTTCACCGACGTATAAACACTGTATACTCAGTGTGTTACCTCCCGAGTGAAAGTTGGAAAAAGTCACTCGGGTGGGACTCGAACCCACCACCTCTTGCTTTCTAGTGCAGATGTCTTACCACTCGACCACTGAGCTAAAGCCCCTGTCACACCGTTGCGTATCCTAATTCCTTATGAGTTCCTTATCAAATAATTTCAATATGCAGCCGTACGCTCAATTAACATCGAAATGTTTTGATCTCTTTGACTTAAGTGCGACGCACATATAGCGTACAAGTAACGAATTCAGCGCATCCATTGCGTATGAGATTCGTATGAGTTGCGTATGCAGTGCACAACATTATTTTTCAGGCTGCGAATAGGTCAGTATGCAGTACGCATGCCGAGCGTATTCCGGACGCACCCGACTTATGTCGACCGCATGCTTGAGGCACTTCTGAGCGTATTCCCGCCGCATTTTCGCCGCTCGCCGTTCAGCGTGCGTTGCATCTGCGCTGCAAGTACACTATGTATACGTCCAATACAGGCGGCTCATATGCTGACGGGGTGCGTCACGAACACATAGCGTACTCGTAACGCACTCGACCGATGCGCTGCGTATTTATAACTTATGACCTGCGTAACAGCGTACGCAGCGTAGTTTTGTGCATGCCCAAAACTATCCTGCGTACTGGGCCGTACCATGCGTATATCTGCATACATAAAACCTACACAAAACAATAGAGATGCATATGAGGTGCGTATTGTGCGTACGACTGCGTATGAAAAAAAGTCAATGCGCAAATCATAAGGAATTGGGATACGCAGAAGTGTGACAGGGCCCTAACATAGATGTACATAGCAGCGGGTACTGCATATAAACTGAGTTGACTTCTTGCTTAATGTACTACTACAACGGCAGGATTTTTTAATGCCATTATACTAAACTATTTACCGTTAAAAAGCTTTTGCTCTGCAGAAAGTCCAACTTTATGCTCATTTTGTGATACAATTTTTTTTAATTTCTAATTCTTTTACATTTAATATTCTTACTGCCGGACCTAAGATAAAAGGGAGTGGGAGTGTAACCAAACACTGAACGTTTCATCTTTTGCTCGTTGAATCATATTCAAAACATAGCAACATCAAAAATACATGCATGCAACATGCACTGTGCCGTACTGAGTTGCCTTGTGCATGCTGCTTGCTTATCGTTCCAAATAATGTTTGGTCTGAACATGATGCACATCATAGTTGCAGGCATGAAATCATGATTACAAGAACAAAATCGTAATTAAAAATACTATCAGCAAACAAGTTATTTTGCTTGAATCCCTCACCATCACTCCCCATTCATATCACATGGTTAATGTCACTTTACCTTCAGGGCAGCGAAACTCGAAAGGGTCGTCGATGTTCTGTCCCGGCGGACAGTAGTAGCCGGCAACACAATCACCGTCTGGCTGGGTGTTGGCCAGGCCTTCACAGTACATGCCCTGGGTGCAGTTGTAGCAGTCCGTCACCACTATAAGATATAGAGTAAAAAGTGGTCACTGATGATGTAATCACAAAGATACCACAGAATTAAAGGAACACACTTTTTTCTCTTGTTGCGCCACACTGACTCAACCACTGACTCTCCCTGTGCTCTTATTGAATTTTCAACTAGTATGTTTTATTCCAACCACAAAACCCCCTTTTTAAATTTTGTTGCAACCCTAAAAAAAAACAGCGATTTAGAAAAGGACTCTATTTCTCGAGACGGATCTCAAATATTGCACATCTTAAAATGCAACAGAAGCGGCCAATTATTAAAATCAAGAATTTTGCTCCTTCTTTTAGTTTCCTCGTGACCAAATTTAGCTTGAAATAAATCAACAGGTAATAACTGTATAATTATGTACATGTACCTATACCAGGATATGTTACAGATCAATACACAACAGGCAAAGTAATGCAAAGAGCCCCCTACCGCCCCCCCCCCCCCCAAAAAAAAAAAGAGAAAAAAGAAAGTATAAAAATAAATAATAAAATTCAAAAAAAACCCAATGAGGTGGGAATAATTCTGAGAGAATACTGAAGAAGTCATCAAGGCAGAACATATGAAGATTCAATAGGGATAAAGGCATGCTCACAATGCTCGTGCTCTATTGGCACTCACCTTCATTTCCTGTGGTGTTGCCGAATGTCCCACTCGGACAAGAGGTTGGTGACTTGCTCCCTACTGGACAGTAGTGACCCATGGGACAGGTGTCGCCTGAAAAGGGAACCAGACCGGTTTAAGCAATGAAAAACCGCAAAGGAGAAATGCACTTTTTTCTTGAAGTGAACTTTAAATAAGAAACATCAAAAACTCTGCAACATTTTTTTTCAAAAAAGGAATAAATAAATACACTCAAAAAGTTTGAATGGATTCACTAGCACATTGTTCATCAAAAAGACTTAAAAATTAGTCATGAGGGACAATTTCTAATCATAAATGTATACCTTCCAAATGCAAAAATCGCATCATACAATATAAACTCAAAATTAATATTCAAAAATTATCGGATTCTTTTAAATGTTGGTGACAGGCATACCAAATCGAAGACAACTTAAAATTGGGAATCGCCCCAGGCACTAGAGCGCCCCTTTACTTTTGGCTTACGTTTGCTTTCATATAACAATAAAACCCAGTCTTGAAACTCACCTGAAGCAACCCCTACCGGATCTTCCACCGAGGCCCCACCCACACAGTAGTGACCCGCGCTGCAATTACCACTCGGGTAGTCCAGCTCGGGGCTACCACAGTACATCCCCGGCAGGCAGGACAGAGGGAGAGAGCTGCCGAGAGGGCAGTATTCACCCGGTACGCACCGCCCACCCTCATTCGCCACAGTCGGCTGGGCGAAGCGGGAACCATTGCGGCAGTACCAGCCAGGGTCACAGAGGTCAGTGGGCCAGCTCAGGCCTGGGGTGCCACAGTAATACCTGGTAAGAGAAATATACCAACACAAAACTTCCAGTATCAATTCAAGTTCGTGGTACTTGGTTGGTTCTTCTCTTAAAAACTTCCACAAGGGAGTATAACTAGGAGGCCAGAACCACCGGGGCTAACCCCTTCTCTTTGCAGTAAGTGTTACTGGGTTCTTTTACGTGCGTTAGGCCGTGTACAACACACCGGACCTCCGGCTTAACGTCCCATCCGAAGGACGAAGCAATAATGGTTAAGTGCATTGCTTTTGAAGATGGAGCTGAAAATCTGAAAGTTCCGACCCAAATGAAACGCAAACAATGTACCGAAATGGCTTATAAAAGTTTAGTTGCCTTATTAATTCATTAGATGATGCCATCATTCGTATTTAGTATATAGATTGTTTTAGTTCAATTTCAATAATGCAAATAAAACCACACTCAAAGAAGAAACATAAAAAAATACCCTCAAAAAATCTTTACAAATGCAAACAATCCACAAATACATACGTTGGGAGACATTCAATGCAGTGCTGCAGCTTGATAGACCTTCCAGTTAGGTTATTAAAGGTCCCCTCTGGACAAGCGTTGGCGTAAGCGGTCTGGGTCCCCGCTGGGCAGTAGTAGCCCTCGGGACAATCCGCCGGATCGGTGGTCTGCTCCACGCAGTAGAATCCGGCCGGACACTCCATGCAGGAGGACTGACCGGTCAGGTTGTTGAAGGTCCCCGCGGCGCATTTGACCGGGGCGTTGAAGCCTGCCTCACAGTAAAATCCTTCAGGGACAAACAAAACAAAAGTCCAAACCGGATCATCATTAAAACCAGATCCACGAAACTCGTCTCAGGGATGTACATTTGTTCTATTATTGGTTTTCCACATGCACTTTATAAAAAAAGAGCAGGCATTGTGTAGTAAGCGCCTGGTCAATATTACTGACATAGCTCATCAGCCATTACTCAAGGCCACTTTCTGACAGACTTGGACTGAACTGGACTGAACTGGACTGACTTGGACTGAACTGGACTGACTTGGACTCAAACTCGGTTATAGTGGACTCGACTACGACAATGCAGTCGGCGCCCAGACGGGTCCATACGAAGACAGTCTTTTGACTTTCTTTTGATTTCATAAGTTTATTTGACGAGTTTTAATACATCTTTAATATCCAAATTGAAAACAAAGTATAACAGTATGGGCAAATCCAACATTATGAAAGGATATTTAATGTAGGTGAAAGAGCCAATTAACCGTGATATCCAATTAATGAATCATAAAAATGATCAAAATCTCCAAGTCTGTAAATCTCCTTGCTCATTACTAGTTGGCAAAGTAACAGATTTGCAAAAAAAATGTTCAGGTAGCCTTTTTGCAAGGATGTAGCCTCAATCCTGCAAATTCCTCCATTATTTCTTGAATATGGTCCGTGGAGGGGTGACCACTGCCTGAATCCTACAAAATCCTGTGGCAGTGACTGTCAATATGTTGAGGCTTGGCCAGTGACATCCTAGAGCAGTATGAAGGATTTCAAGAATAATCCAGGCCTATGTTTATGCATGGCTGAGCAAAAAAAAAAAAGGTCCAGCCCAAGACCTTGACAAAGTGCATCGTATGAAATCAGTAACACACTTTTGTTATGTAACCTCAATCCTCCAAATCCCTCCACTTTGGCAAAAAAAATTGGGGGCTGTTAGGGTTAAGTCAGCTTTTACAAGCTCCGTCACGGACATTACATGACGCTGGAATCATCCACATTCAAACATTTAAATTTCAAGCACAGCTTTAACAACCAGTTTTTCCAGCTCCTTACCTGCCGGGCATTCCCCTCCCTGTGAGGGATCTGTTGGTGTCGGTGAGGTGGAGCCTAAGGTGCAGTACCATCCAGCATCGCAGTCCCCTGCATAGCTGTTGGCATGGTAGTCTGGGCAATACTTGCCCGGATCGCAGACAGTGCAGGAATCGTTGGACGGAAGATGGGTAGAAAAACTGTATACAATAAAAATCACATGATGGAATTGTGTGTTTTTTGCTTGTGTGCACTGGCAGGTGGGCCAACACAAGTCTGGTCAAAAGTAAATCACAATTCCTTTCACAAGTCCAGTCTGAACTAACAGGAAACGAATAGTTACAAAGGAACGTCTTTGTCACATTATATTTGAATAACTTGTGACTTGAATTGGGACTGGAGTTCCTGTTACGGACTTGTTAGGACTTTTTTGAACAGAGTTGTAACGAGTCACTGCGCCAACAAAACCTTTACCTAGCAACAATGTCCCATGGGTGGGACATTTAGCTGGTTGACGCGCAACGTTCCTTGTGTGTGACGCACGTACACCAGGGGATTTGTACTGTAAAAGGGTAACAGCATGAGCTAAGGGAGTAACCTGCAGTGGACTGGCATCCCACACAGGGGTAATAAAAACGTGTTATTTTCAGTCATTTTATGCCATGGAAATTAGAAATACACGCCGGCCTGATGGGTCATTTTGGCAAGTGACAGTCATAACTGTTACTACAACATTGCAACTGACCTGTAGGTACCAGGGGGGCAAGGGCTAGGGTGGTCCGACCCTTCAGGGCAGAAGAAGCCCACCGGACAGATGCCGAAATCATCGCTTGTGGTTTCGTCAAAAGGACCCTTCTGGATGGCTCCTCTGATGGCCCAGAAGCCAGGGACGATGAGACCGGACCATGTGGACAGGCCAGGCACCTCGCAGTATTTACCTAAAAAAGGGGGAAATATCAATGAATTAACGCGGTAGAATCGCATCAACTCAGCTTGTGAAATATTGTCCAATTACATGATATACAAATGGACGCAGAATGCACAAAATCTGAGCCCAACAAAACTCAACATACATAAATTCCATAGAGATGTCTAAGGGCATGGCTAACTCACAAACGGTGATAGGTCAATTGTTAACAAATGTTGACTGCTATGATGTGGGGCTAAAAAATAGTCGGATATGTAAGGGTCTAAATATAACCTTACCATGCCAATCAATAAAATAATGTTGGTATCCTCTCTAAAGTGATCTCTGTTTTCTAATTCCCAGGATTGCAGCATTGCTTATATTAACCAAATTAGGTTTTGCCCTTCACCGACGTTTAAACACTGTATACTCAGTGCTTATATTGCTAGCCAACCTTGTTCCCAAGGGTACAATCTTGCTGCGCCATGTTGGTTCCTTCCCTGCCTTCTAAGATCTTAACCCCTGGTATTTTGTAATTTAAATATCAAACTATTTTGGAGATTTAAAGGGAACATACAACATTTGTATTTGCTGCCATTTTCAGAAATGAATGGATTTGGAGGATTAGTATGTTATAGCAAATATTGTTCTACTGACTTGTTTCACCTTTTGGGCTTGTTTATGCTGGAAAAATCAAGACAACCAATGATTTTCTTGTAATCTGGTTCCCCGACCCCACTTAAGATGAAACGGAGAAACGTAAAGACTTTGGGGAATTGTAAGGTCAAAGAATCACTCTACAAGGTTTGCACCCCTTCACGAGTGTGTGTGATCTATTGCGAAGAAAACATGGAATAACAAAATATAAAAAACTAGGAGCTGTTTTTGACCCAAAAAAAACAGTTTTTCCAATGCTGGTCAGCCGACCAGGATGCTTTAGACTGTCAATACCTAACAATTCAGTAAGGTATTTCGTGATAATTTGATCATTTCCTTTTTTGATGTTTGCAAATGTTGTATCTTCCCTTTAAATTAGGACTGCAGTCGATGTGTTTCACGTGCAAAGCTTTGCTTTCAATTTTGAATGTTTACTTTCACAAGGTGATTGGAACATAAAGGTGATTTGGACATCTCAAGGTACTGAGAGCTTACCTCCAGGACATGTGGCACACTGTGTTACAGCGTGTAGCTGGGACCGATTGCCAAATGTACCAACCAGACAGTCCAGGGGATCCCATTTTGCATTAGTTTCACCACCCACGCAATACTGGCCTGAACATTCACACAAATAAAAAAAAAATGGAATTAAATAATGCATATTTCATTTGTGAATTTACATATTTGTGAGGTGTTCTGGCAAAATGAGACGGAAATGGGGAAAAATGCAAGAATCTGAATGGGGTTGGCATTTTTTTGATTTCAGATTTATTAATATTTGTCGTCTCTGATATGTCTACTACAAATATGTTAAAAGCCTAGTATAAAAAAGTAGAATAAAAATGTTTTGGGGGAAAACTTGGCATCATTCATTTTTACGAATACAAAACTTCACACTGTCATGGCCTTTTTCTCATTATTTTACTTTTTGGACAATTGGAAAAATTGCTATTTTTAAAAAGCCGTAAGTTGTCAGTGGCATGTCTGATTAGAACAGTGTTATAAGGAGAATTTTATTCTCTTTCCTAATACCTGCAAACCCTGATTTTGACCTCTGACCAGTTCTGTTTCGTTTTGCCAGAACGTCTCACATTTGTGACCTGTCACCACAAAATCATTTTAAAGTCAAACTTTTGAAGAATTGGTTTTAAAGTGTACTATGAGTCACAATCTGTTTGTACCTTGCGGACATTCTACAGGGTCGGCATCCGGCGCACAGTAGAATCCCGGCTCACAGTATTTGCATTCCGATAGCCCCTCGATGTCCGAGTATTCACCCTGCCGGCAGACGAACTCCTCGGCTGTGCTGCCGGGACAGTAGCGCCGTTTGGAACAGATGTGGCCTGTCACGTTGTCCGTGGGCATGTCCTGCATTGCGCCGCCCAAGCAGACAAAACCAGGAGCACACTCACCTTGAAATAAACAAATCAAAACAGTATTGATTAACCCTCCTACTTTCTGAACAGTCACAGACAGTTTAAAATACAATCAACTTCCCCTGCACAGCTTTTATACATAGGCTAGTGACCCTCTTCATCAGTATAGGTTTTTTCTTAGATTTTGAAAATCCAAACATAGGTTTTTAAAGATTTTGTAAGTACCAAAATTATGCATTTATAGCTTTTTAGGTAGCAAAACTGTGCAATGTTCAGGATGAGGTAGTAGAGACATTGTGTATAGCTTACCTCAAGTTCTCCACCCAAGACAAAGTTACGCACCTTTCTTAAGCACTTGTAAAATGATCTTAGAGAGGTACATGAGTGACACGTTATACGTGTGATATTTTACTTTTTGTGACTTGCGGTTTATTGTAACACGTGTTACACCTAAAAGTTTCCCTAATAATCCAGTTTAATCCAAGAACACTTATTTTGTTCACTACTACAGCATTCAATGATACACAATCAATGGAACCAGCGACATTCAATACACATGTGACGTGTGACTGTTTTGTTCCTCGCGTTACACTTACCAGTTTCCTCAATTGCTCCAGTATGGTCGCAGTATTTGCCAGCGCCACAGGGAATGCAGTCACTCTCTGACTGGGCTCCCACGTAATCCAGGTAGGTACCCTTAGGGCACGCGGCCATGAAAGTTGCGCCTTCCTCACAATAGTGGCCCTTGGCGCACTGGTCACCCCATGTGATGACCACCTTGCCTGCAAACAAAGAATCATGAGGAAAGCAATGTCAACCTACAATTCAGAAGATCTATGTACAGAAGACAACCAAGGTTGTGATGGACGACAACTTCTTGGTGGGCACGATTATGACAAATGTATTCATTCATTCATTCATTCATTCATTCATTTATTCATACATTCATTCATTTCTTTTATTTGTCTAAAATCGTGGCCCAGAGGGCCAAATTCGAAAAGACAATTACATTAAAAGCAATTAATTTACAAAAGCGATAAAAACTTGCATAATACCCCCAAAAAAATTACATGAGTAAAAAAGGCAAGTGATACAATGAAATTGTACATTAACAAACACCACAAAACCAAGAAATCAGGATTACAAGAAAGGGGGGACAACATGCACTTAGAAAAAAGGCAAACAATAAAATCACACAGAGCCAATACATCACACAGGTTGTGACCATTGTGCTATTTAATACAGAATTTGTGGTTGTTTTTACAAAAACATATAAGCCCCACTATCTACTTTACAATGCAGAACGTGGTTGCTAGCCGAACGCTTGCCTAGAGCGATAGTGGCCATTCGTGGACGGTCACTATGGAGTACCGAAGTGAATACATCACGCGCACAAAATGTGTGTAAAAGACATTAGCGCGTGATTCAGCCTGAGAACCAACACGCACGTGTACTCCATTTGTTTGCACTACACTTTCTGGTTCTAAATGACTTCACACTTCAGTACTCCATAGGTGCCAATTTAAAAAAATGCAAAGGCAAGCAACACATGTTAAGTTCCCAAACACTGACCGTCAGAGGAGTCATTGTTGTAGACCGGCGTGGCAAACAGCGCACCAAGGAAGCAGATGTGGCCGGCCGCGCACATGCCGGTCCGGTCGGTCCCGCCGTTCTCGCTGCAGTAGTAGCCCGGCTCGCAGACCGTGCAGTTATCAATGTGGGTCTGGTGGGTACTCGGGGAGTAGGTGCCCGTCGGGCAGAGTTCAAAGGTGTAGGCACCCTCGCCGCAGTATTGACCTGAGGGGTTGAAGGTTAAAAGGTCAACATGTGCTATTCAACTGAGCTTGGAACACTCCCGCATCCTACAAAGTCCTCCACTGTGCAGAAACTATTATCAAATTCTTTGCACTCTGTTTTCCAGAGAGCATTAAGTCCCACAGGCAGGATCCAGCATAAACTTTTGAAGGATCCAGCTTAGATTTTATAGTCATAGATTTTGAAGGATTTCCCATAGATTTTGAAGGATCCAGCATAAATTTTGAAGGATCTGGCAAAGATTTTGAAGCATCCAGCATAGATTTAGAAGGATCTGGCATAGATTTTGAAGTATTTTGAATAATTCATATCAGGTCAAGAATTAAAGGTTAGATTATGCCAAAACTTGATGCATGAATTATTGAATGAACCAAATAAGTCGGCAACTGCACCACAATACCGACCTGACAGGGCATGCATGAATTATTCATTCCATGGGTCAAAGGGGCAAAGGATCTTTATAATAGGCCACTGAAGGCCATAAACTTGATTCAAGCAAAGGCGTTGCCATCCTCCCTTCAATACTAACTTGAAGGGGAGGTATGAATTATTCATATCAGATCAAGGGATAAAGGTCAAAGAGTAATTCAAGGTGCCAGTGAAGGCAGTGGGGTATTAAAGATAATAAACATGCACCAAGTTATGAGCCGGGCAATCATCATTAAGTGTTACTACCATTGCAGAACTAAATCCATGACTTAAAAAATTGGTCTTACCTGCTTCGCATGCGGTCATGTTCGTCATGGCTTCAAACGGGCAATAGAAACCAGCCTCACAGATCAGGCACTCGCCCGCCCTGTCATACGGCATGTAGTGACCCAGTTGGCATGGGGTCTGCTGCGTGGCGCCAGACTCTGAATAATAACCAGGCTGGGTGACTGTCTGGTTGGGAGTCCGGGCCCCGCCGGTACAGTAATAACCTGGGTTGCAGGGGCCTGTGGGACCTGCAGGGGGTTAAACGGATGCAATACTGATTAGCTTGAGATTCGGTGGCAGCAAAGGGATCCACAACCTTATAAAAACCCTTGTTCGGTTACCCAATGACCAGTCCCATTGCAGGGGCCTGGAAGCCTGCGACAGGTTACACAGGGACGCAATAGTGATCAGCTTGAGATTCAGTGGCAGAAGTGGGATCAACAATCTCAACACAAAAACCCTTGTTATATCGCCAATGACTGGCTCAACTGCTATAAAATGATAAGTGACCTCAGGTGAGGAACAGAAACGAAAAATTGGAAAAGCTCCAGCTTTCGCACCAAAGTTTCTGCCTAAAAAGATAAATACACTCGATCATGCAATCATGATTCTCCCAGAACTAAAAGAGACTCTTTATAAAAAGGATCATGAAAAGTCATGTCCATGAGATTAAATGGTTGAAGTTATGATGCATGGGATACACTAGTGCATGCCAAGCATTCAAGTATTAAAAAAATCGAATTGTTAAATTTAAACCAAACATCCTTTTCAAAAAAAACTTCCTTTCTGCCCCTCCATTAGTAAACTGCCTTTTACTTTCTTGTTCTTAAAATGCTAAATTCTATTTTCCATTTCTTACTTGGTGTTCGAGCATTGCTGCAGTAGTATCCAGGATCACAGTCGAAGCAGTCATAATGGTTGATGGCACCAGAGGTGTTACTGTAGGTCCCCGGTGGGCAAGGCAAACTGGTGTAAGATCCTGTGGTTGATCAGAGACGTCACAAGTCCAATCACAAGTCAATCACAAGTCCATTACAAGTCAATCACAAGTCAATCACAAGTCCATCACTAGTCCATCACAAGTGTGGTCACAAGCAAATCACAAGTTCATTCACAAGTCCAGTCACAATTCACAAGTCCAGTCGCAAGTTCAGTCACATTTTAATCACAAGTCCATCACAATTCGCGTGACAAATTAATCACAAGTCCATCCCAAGTCTGGTCTCAAGCAAATCAAACTCCCACCAAAAGTCTAGTAACACGTATTAAACAGTGGATGACCAAAACTGGAGGAATGCCTTTGTTGCAGTTCATTTCAATAACCAGTGACTTGACATGTGTCTGCATGGTGATTGACTTCTGGTGGACGTCTGAACACGAGACTTTTGACGGACTTGTGAACAAAACTGTCAGATAATGAGTTGGATGTATCTTAAATCCCCCACTACACCCAATACAGCCCCCAAACCCAACTCCCTGGCAAGCAGGCCAGTCCCTGTATCTCACAAATTGTCCCCATTCCAATGACTTTCTTAGACAGGTTCTTATCTCAACGCATATGAAAACCTAGGTCCAATTTGATGGCACTGTTAAGCAAGGAAAAATGGTCAACAAAGAAAGTAATTGCTAACACAAAATGGGTCACCAGCCAAAATATCATGCAGTATATGCTGCATCTGACTGGTGCTCGGCTAGTTTCTGCTGATGACAAGTCTTTAATAAGCAGGGTTTTCCTGCAAATAGAAGCCCCATGAAATAGGGTCCTGACATTACATGAATTGAGTTTGTCATTTTACCTAGTGGACAGTAGCCGCCAGCAGGGCAAACCTCCCCTGTCACCTTGTCAGTGGGGTCGGACGACGTAGCACCCTCGTAGCAGACAAACCCTGGATCGCAGGGGGCTCTCGGTGTGGTCAGTCCAGGAGCATCGCAGTACCAACCAGGGTCGCACAGCGGACAGCTTTCTAAGGATGGAAGACCTTCATACGGAAGGGGACAAACAAAAAAACGGTTATTAGAGAAGTATGCTATCTTGCCTGTTACTTCCTATACTGCCCCAAGCTGCCCCAGACTGCACTGGCACTGTATGATATCATACAGTGTAAAATACAAGGCCAAAAGTTTTATACACACACTACTTTATGGCCAGGACACAATGAAACATCAAATCTGATTATTAGAGGCACAGTATTTCAAGGATGTAAATCAATATTCGGTTTTGCCCTTCACCGATGTGTTACCTCCCGAGTGAAAGTTGGGAACAATCACTCGGGTGGGACTCGAACCCACGACCTCCTGCTTTCTAGTGCAGACGGATACACTCACTTCACACAGTCTGCACTTGAAAGCAGGAGGTCGTGGATTCTAGTCTCACTCAAGTAATTTTTCCATCTTTTACTCGGGAGGTAACACACAGAGTATACAGTGTTTAAACATCGGTGAAGGGCAAAAGCTAATATTGACTTACATCGCCCCGACGTAAAATTCTATCTTCTCAATATTTTAAGAATGGAAATCAAGAGAACATAGGTTTCAAAAGGGCCCTTTGAAGCAGCCCAATTTTTCTCTACTTATTATTCCACTAGACGGAGAGAGGCAAGTGGAGTAAAATGGCTTGCCCATGGACAAATGAATTCAAAGCTGGCCAGCAGCAGGGTTAAAACCCCTGACACTCTGACCCTGTTGGGCCACTCTACTCCCAAAGTAAACAAGTAAAGAGGAGCAACTGAAGGCCAGAATACAATACAATACGATGCAAGCATGAGCTTGCACCGTATCGCTTCAATATGCACAGACACATTCTCTATTTATCAAACTTTACCTGTTGTGTTGCCGTATCTGCCAATGGGGCAAGGATTAGCAGCGGAGGAGTTGGCTGGACAATAGAAACCTCGGGGGCACTCGATGGGGTCCCCTGTCCCCAGCGGGCAGTAGGAACCCGCCGGGCAGGGGATGCAGTCCTCTAGGTAACGACCCCCTTGGGTGTCTATGTATGTACCACCGGGGCAAGGCACCTGGGGTTAGGGAAGGGGTAGCGGGGTAGAGAAGGGGTAACAGTGGAGTGATTAATCTATTAAAAGGGGAGACAGGGCACCAAGGACCCTTGAGACACTAGTGGATGATTCATGACATAACAGCAAAGTCCGACTGTGTCTTACAGAATGATGATCAAGTCGTCATCCCAAAACTTTAGAGTCCTCATTAAGTTGTGATTCAACTTGCAAATTGCTTTATAGGCCTAGCCTAGTCTGTTGATCACAAGCCATCACAGGTCCATCACAAGTCGATCATAAGTCCCAAGTCAAATCACAATCTATCTATTCCAATGAATTGTGACAAAGGCATTCCTTTATCGCTGTTCATCCCCTGTTAGTCCCCTGGACTTGAAAATTGACTTGTGATTTATCGTGACAGGACTTGTCATGGCCTGGACAATAACAATGTATGTGTCATGTCAACACGAAATGAGCATAAAATGTAGGAAATTGCCATTTTTCGATACAGTAAGGCAGAGCCAAATTTAAAAGAAGCAGCCTTTTTGTTTGTTTCAGGTGATCCTCAATCTGTTAGTCCTGTTATACATTTCCCAATATTTTTTTGTTCCATCAAACACCTTTAAACCTACTGTCATCTTGTGTAATTACTTTGACTGTTCACTCACTGTAAATACAACAGCAGGATCTTAAATTCCATTCTTAATAAGCCTCTGTACTAATTACATCACACTTTGTTTACATGTGTGCTTTCCTATTGTGCTGAGTGGACGGTGGGGCCCCTACTGGCTCCCATAGGAAAGCGCACATGTAAACAAAGTGTGACGTCATCAGTACAGAGACTTATTGCTTTTACAAGTTTAGTTTTGTTGCAGTCTCTCCGTGAATTGAACTCAGTATCCCAAAAAATCAATGTTATACACCATTGCAAAGCTCTTGTTCTGCAGAATTCAGAAATCTACATTTCTCAACTCTTGCTCATTTTGCGGTGCTGGGTCACATATTGGGTTCAGGGACAGGAATCACCTGCTGCGGTCCGTAGGAGCCGATAGTGGCTGGATTGTTGCTGTAAGGATTGGTGATATTGGTTGGGCAGTAGTAGCCGGTGTTACACTTGGCAGTCACTGCGTCGGTCCCTTCCAAGCAGAACCAGCCAGCGTCGCAAGCCGTACACTCGTTGACGTCGCCCAGGCCGGTGGTTGGGTTGTATGTACCCACTGGGCAGTTGACTTCAAACGGCGTGGCTGCGATAGAGACAGAGGAGACAGAGTTACACCAAGATAGTATGTGTTTTATAGGAGAAGGTGTATCTCTGGTTTTGAGGACACTCAAACCAATCGGAAACGAACACAGGTTACTGAAAACAAAATTTCCTGAGTTTTCACTGCTATTTCCCAGAGAAATTTCCAAAATTCCACGAGAAATATTTTCACTTAAACTAGGTTGCTGGGAAATCAAGAGGTACATGTTTACTTTAGCACACCCTACTGTTGTCTGGAGAGGTGCGTAAAATTCACACTGCATAAAAAAAGAACACTTAAAATCCACCATATTCAATCAGTCAATAAACACAACATGGCAAAAAGACGCACATACACCAAACTTGGTACCTGTCAAATTCCATGAGTTTTCCATGATTTATGTGTTTTCTTCCAAATTCAATGAGTTTTCCCTTTATACTGGAAAATGAAAACTCATTCCGAAGGTTTTCCATGATTTCCACAGTGGCTGGGAACCCGGTGTTGAGGGACCCTTTGCAAAAAAACTATAAACAAGAAATCTCTCGGTTAAGAAATAAAAGAGCAAAAATTTCAAACACAAACCTTCAGGGCAGTAGTGCTTCATACTGCAATTGGTTGCCTCGCTGACATGGTTCAGTCCCGTTGTGCAATACAACCCAGCGGGGCACTTCTTGTTGTTCAACATGTCCAACTCGGAGGTGGTGACATTGTCGCAGTAATAGCCCGCCTCGCACGTCTTGCACGTGCTTTGTTTGGTCTTTGAGTACATCCCCGTATTGCAGTCGTTCGGGTAAATGGTTCCGGGGCCACACCAGGAGCCACCGGGGCAGTCCAAGCAGTCGCTCTGGTACTTGGCCGTGGTGCCATAGAGGTAGTCTGTGGAGTTGACGCCGTACGGCATGTAGGTGCCTGCAGGGCAGTCCTCGGGGGAGTTGACGCCATACTCACAGAAGTGACCTGAGTAACCACACAGAATTTTCCCATTTTTATTACATTTCACGAATACTTCTTGACTTAGATGCTCTGTGGTGCGATCTGAGGCAATTCTGACCACTTTAACTAATTTCTGTTTAAGAAAAAGATGGTGGTGTATACAGTGCATGCATCTATTAGGATGTTACTTACAAAAAAGTGGGGTTTTTTTTGGGGGGGGGGAGGGCATGGCCCCTTTTGGTCCCCCTGGATTCACCCTTGATTGGGCTGCAATGCCTCCCCTTTAGTCTGACTCGTCTTAAAACACGTACACAGATATTTAAATCAGGTTGACTCTCTGTCACAGGTCAATCAGACAACTGACCCACTGGCCGGTGTCAGACTATAAATGGCTGACATGGTCCATCATTTTGACTCTTGTGTTCAGACACAACCCACCACTTCATCTCTTGTGTTTACACTAGGGCTTCATCAAACTCAGGTTCCCAATGAGGGGGTTCAAAGTCCATCAGTGTGGGGTCAAAGGTCAAGTCAAGAACCAACCTTGGGTGCATAGTTTGCAGTCTGACTCCTCATCTTGACTGTAGTCCTCGTTGTAAGTTCCGTTAGGGCAGGGATACTGCTCTGCAAACTGGGTACCAGCGGGACAGTAGAAGCCTGGGGGACAGGGATCGGTCTCGGTCGGCTCCCCACCTGTGGATAAAAGATAGTTGACCAATTATTGCACACAACTGAAAATGCAAAGATTTAGACCCTTTCCAAACAATGACACTGTTTTCAATAAGCAATGCATTCAGTAAAGGTAAGCGGGTAGGCCTTAACCGAAAATCCATAATATATTTTGGTGGCAAACAGATTGAGCAAATTCACATACCTAAGCAGTAGTAGGTTGCTGTACAGATGGTGCATTCACTGGGCTGGGTCAGGTTGGACGATGGGGAGAATGTGCCTTCCGGGCAGGGGAAGCGGTCAGGACTCGGCGTCTGTAGAGGGCAGTAGTACCCCGGCTTGCAAGGCTGTGGACCGTTCACTGTCTCTCCTGATGGATGTTAAGATAGAACTCAATGATTAAGAATTCTTAAACCTCAAGTGAAATTGGACAGACAATTGCCAACTTCTTAAACCTGGCTCTTTGCCGACTGGTTCTTTAGAAAGTTTATTACACAAATTTGCTACATCAACAGTTTTTTGGCGACTCTTTGTCTGTTCATACGACAGAGTTGTAGTACATTACTAAAGAGCCAACTGGCGATGCAAAATGAAGCCTGCTACACGCATCCATGCTTGTGCACACTCTAATGGAATGCTCCATTTGCATATGTGATGTAAATTCCAAACCGATAAATGAAGCTAATATGCCTAAAACTGAATAACACAAATTACTGTTTCATTTTGCTCTGCACAAACAATGCAAAAGTGCAAATTTGGCTTCCTACATGTATATTTTTTTTTCATAGTTGAAATGAAACCATTGCCTATGCAGCTGTGTCTGCTGTACTCTCACATTGCTAACAGAAATCTCAACTAAACCTCATCTGATTTCATTATGTACTAGGATCATGCACTTTTTTTCAGAATGTCTAAACACAATATATGTCTGAAAGTATTCTAAATGCCTATTTTTTAATGCATTTTCGCCATGAACAAGGCCAAAAGGTACTCCAGGTAAGTATTCAGGAAAACTGAAGGCAGGAATTGACATTTCTCTTGAAACAGGATAGATTATATGAAAAACAACCTAGGAGAAACAAAGGAGTTCAGCCCTCTAGTTTTCAACTCTGTGGTTCATACCTGTTGCCCAGCTGCAGTACTTGCCAGCAGGGCAAGCGGAGCATTCTTCGGAAGATGTCAGCTCCGTGGATCCCGTATAGGTCCCCGGTGGACAGGGGAACTGGTCGTTAGTGATGGTTCCATTCGGACAGAAAAAACCTGCAGAAACGACATCCAAGCATTTGGAATTCAACCCAGTTTGCAAAAAAAATCTTTAAAAAAAGTAACTTATAATTTTCATATAAACTTTTTTCTAGCAGTACAAAACTTATTCATTTTTAAGTGGAGCATCTACCAACAAAATTTTGCTCGCGTTTTTGACTTATTGGCTGCCAAAAACTAATTCCGTTCATGCGGGGTAGGCTGGTTCCCGCCCATCAATCAGTATCGACTGAGACCCAGTCTACGGATGTGTTTTTGCCCCCCCCCAAAAAAAAAAAAAAAATTCAGATGGAAGAAAGGAGGTTTTTTTGTTGGAATAAAACAACAAACAACAAACAAGTTGATAGTAAAAATTGAAAATAGAAAGAAAAAAAAAAAAATTTGTTGAAGAGCACGGGGGATACAACTTTAAATTAAAGAATAAACAACATGCAAAAACAGAATATTCTTGTTTTACTAATGCTCAGCAGGTTATTTTGAAAACTTGTTAAGAAATCTACCAAGAGTTACGCATGAAGCTCTTACATGTACACTGCAGAATTTAGTAACAACAAAGTTCACGTTTGAAAACTCCTTTATTTCTTAAATGAATGTCACAATAGGTTGACTAAGGGAATAAATATGTGCTTGGCCGGTTTTAATCCGGCTAAGGGCCTGGTCACCAATAGTGGCCCGAGCCGAAGGACAAAAAGTCAAAACATGTCAAAAACTCACAAATTTTCAACGAGTTTGTCCAAAAGTTTACTTCATGTTTTGTGATACACCCCTGTGGCCATGTCTATGGCATGTGCCTCGCGCATAGTGCGAAAATCTCCTTATATGGAGATTGGTGTGTGCGCGGCGTGTACTGTGCGATGTGGTGCAGAATTCGGGAATTGTGTTTAAAACCAGCCAATTTTTTATAAGCTGTTTAAAACCACCCATGTGACTGCCTCTTGACCAATAGGAATGAGTAAACTGTCATGTATTAATGAATTGCCAATAAATGCCAGATTTCCAAACACGTCCTTCTTGAATTTCGACCCAAAAGTCTTCTTTTTTTTTCCTGCATACCTTCGGCACATGGGTGTGAGCTGTTCTGCAGTCCCGACAATGGGCAGGACCTCCCCCGATCGCACAGCCGACAGTTGTACTGATGCCCCGCCCCCTCGTCGGGGTTGTATGTCCCCGGCTCACATGGGTTGGGGGACGTGGTGGGGCTCTCGGCGCTACCGTGGGGGCAGAAGTGGCCCACGGGACATATGATGCACTGGGTGGTGTTGGCAAAGCCCAGCTCATCACTGAAAATGAAACGTAATAGGGGCAGATATTAACTTATCATTTCATTCAGCACAGAAAGAATAAGTTGCCGAGCGAAAAACTGGGTACCAGCTAAAATGTCATGTATTGTATATTGCATGTGACTAGTTCCAAGCTAAAGTGAAGCATTATGTAACACATGTACATGACAGATGAGAAGTTACTTTAAACACTGAATGTTCATACAGTCGTGAATTTCGATACGCTCGAGGACAATGCTTTGTGTTTCCCTTTGTCCTATAATAATCTACCATAGACAATGCACCGAACTGTACAATCACGGACCGTTTTCAAAAAAAAGACCAAATGCTCGAGTACTGCATGAAAGGATCTTTTGTTCTCCCTTTGTGTTTCTATGCTCGATCGTAAAGCCACACAAGAGCATCAACCCACATGTAGTCATGGAAAAACTGTTATTACAAATTTAAATTTATTTAAGGTCTGACAATAATGTGGTTCTCCCAGCTTAGTCTGGTGCCTGCCTACCTATCAGGATCAATAATGTAGATGATTGGGATCTGGTCTACTTGCTAGGCAGATATATTTGTGTGCCTAAAATATGTGCGAACTAGTAGTTCAAGGGTTTGTTGAAATGGAGAAGAAAAGAACAATTGTTGAAAAACACGGACAGTCACGCCTCTATAGCTAATTTTGCAGGAACCAGTCACTGAAGTGGTTTTCCATGACCTACCCGTAGTATCCGAGTGGGCAGGCATTGTCGTTACCCGAGGCCTGACCAGCTAGGCAGTAGAAGCCCCTGGGGCACTCCGTGGTGTCGTAGCCAGAGCTACCCTGGGGGCAGTAGTAGCCAGCCGGGCACTCCTTGCAGCCTATGGACTCTGATGACTGGTTGGTCAGGTCGTTGTAGGTCCCACCTAGAGGTCAAAGGTAATAGGTCAGAGGTTAAAGTTCATAAACACAACCAATTTCAAAATTCAAGATTTGGCACAATTCCTTAGACTAAGCCCAATTTTGTGTTATTTACAAAAAATTACAAAATGTCATGTGAGTATTGAAGCCTGCTTGTTTCATTTGTCACTATAGGCTCTGTTGCATCTCTTGGGTGTGTCACAATATTTCAAAGTATTCTGTAATTACTTCACTGGTAACCTTTCTCTTACCTGGGCAAGGGAAAGCAGTCTCGTACGTGGTACCAACCGGGCAATAGTGACCTGTTGGGCACCGGTTGTTGATATACTCGGAGTCCCCTGGGCCGGGACAGAAGAAACCTATGCAAAGAAAACAGGAACAGTGTGAAATAACAAGTCGTACAGACTAGTTGTTAAAACTAGGATTGATTCTAGGAAAAGATTTCTTCCTTCTTTTTTATTTCGTTCAAATTCTTATGTTTTGTCAACTTTTTTTCTCATATTGCACTAAAAAAGATGGCCTCCCCACTGTGTTGACGAGACCATTCCAGGACCTTTCAGACCTCACAAGTGTGTTTGAGTTTTGAATCAGCTAGATCATTCTTTATTAAACAGACAATTTTAATCACATTTCAAGATTCACGTTAAATTCCAAAAATATATGTAAGGAATAGTCTGTTATGTTTGCAGCTATTTCACTGGGGGAAACTGTGGAAAACTTAAATAAGTATGGCAAATAATGTGCAGTGCTGAATATAATCTGAATAATAGACATTTAGAAGAGTTTCAAACTTGTGGTTAATATATGTATCAAAATGTTAACAAACGTTTGGCTCATTTTATGAATATAAGGTCCAAAGTGTGACATATTTCCTGTCCCTGTTTTATCGTGGTTCTTTTTAATTTGCCATTCAAGTATCATTTAGAATGACTTCAAATGATTCTTTATTTGTTAGGTAGGTAGTTTGCTACTAATAATCACTCTTAGAGAACGACTGCATTAGGGAGTGTATCGGAATTATATCATCATCAATGTCAAATGTAACAGGGACAGGGAAAAAAGTGGGCGGGACCCAAGTTTATAGAATGACCTCTTCCCCAACTTCATGAAAACACCCATGTATACTGACCAGCAGGGCACGGTAAGCAGGCACTGGTCTGTGTTGAGGACCCATTGTTAGGGTTGTAGGTCCCCGCCGGGCACTCGTATCTGGTCTTGCCGTCGCACCATCCACCGGGCTCGCAGATGTCAGCATCCGGGTTGGGCACCGTGGATCCCTCGTCGCAGGTGTAGCCGGCCTCACAGGGCTTGCAGCCCACCCAGCCTGCCTCCGACCAGGTGCCCGGCGGGCAGACCTCGGGTACTGTGGGATTAGGAACATACCAAGTTTCAAGATTTCAATATATTAACTATCACTACACAAAACAGAAAAAAATTGTTAGTTTGTGTGTTTTTCTCCGGTGAAAAGATAGAGAGTGAGGACTGAAGTGGTCTATCTGGAGCATTGAACTCATGACTTTGTTGGTAATTCTGTGGGTTGTGGGCTCGAGTCCAGCCTGGGGTTGTGGTGCATGTGTCCATGGGCAAGGCGCTTTGTCACTCATTGCTTCTCCCCACCCAGGAGTAAATGGGTACCTGTGAGGGCAGAGATGGTTGTGTTTGTTTTAAAAGGTTGCACCTACATGGCAGCATCAAGTTGTATGCCATCAAGGGGGCTGAGATGGTCGTTGCAATTTTTTGAAATCTTTTGTTTTTTTATACGATTGGCCTACAATTTTTGTCCATGCTTAGGGTTATATTGATTAAACAATTATGAGAGTTTGGTGTTACTTTGTAACAAACATAATCTCTATGGTATGTGGTGTTATTCTCTGTGATGTTTACCAGCTGTACACTATACCTGTCTGATCCGAGCACTGGTACCCGGCCTCGCAGATGGTGCAGTTGACTGCGTTCAGGCCGCTGTAGTAGCCCTTGGGGCACTTGGTGGGACCGGTGTAGATGGAGGAGCAGAAGTAGCCGGGGTTGCAGTTGGTGCAGGCAATCTGGGTGCCCAGGGAATATGTGCCGGGCTCGCACATCGAACTTGGGGAAAAATAATAATAGTGCAATTTTTTTAAAAAAAATTGGATTAAGAAGATCAATACATTTTGTTTTAAACAGGAACGACTTGAAAATTAAAGCTGCTTTTGGGAACAGAGTTAAACAATTCCATCGAATATCTGTGTTCACAGTGCTACAATAATGGGCCATGCTATAAATTTAGGGTTTGAAGTGTTAAGTTTTTCCTGTTCCTTTACTTTAAGTAATTAACTTTGTAATTTGCCATTCAAGTACCATCACAAATGATTTTAAACTATGTTTTATTTGTTGGGTACATGTAGGTAGCTTGCTTCACATAATCACTCTTGGAGGAAGAATACATTAAGGTGTGCACCCAGAATTACCAAATCATCGGTGTCAGATGCAACAGGGACATGGAAATAAGTGGCCCACACATTTACAGAATAACCCTTACTTGGTTCTAAGCCTGTAAAGCATAAAATCCAACACTTGCACACAGCAAAAAGTGCTTGCTCTGAAACTGTGAGGCGTTCTGGCAAAATGAGACGGAAGTTGGCACAGGCCGTAGTGAAGAAAAAATGCAAAAACCAAATGGCTGAGGTTTTTTTTAATTTTCAGATTTATTATATTTGTAATGTTTGATGTCTACTTCACATATATTTAAAAGAAACAATACAAAAATCGTGGAATAAAAGTTAAAACAATTTGCATCTTCCATTTTCACGAATACAAAACTTCATACTTTAGAAGCCTTTTTCTCAGAATTGTACTTTTTTGAGTTGTCGATAACTGTGAAATTTTAACAGCCATAACTTGTCAATGGAATGTCCGTTTGAAGTGCAACAAACAGTATTGTAAGGAGAATATTACTTTTTCCCTAATATCCGCAAACCCTCATTTTGACCTCCGCATAATTCTGTCTCATTTTGCCAGAACGCCTCTATGGCTATGTGGTTTGAATAGAGACAAATCCCTGGTTGTTTTTCTACCTTGGTGCTGTGTTCTTGCTTGTGCAGTAGTAGCCGGCTGGGCATTCGGTGCAGATGGAGGAGTTGCCCAAGGAGTAGTAGCCAGTGGGGCACTCCAACATCTGATCCACGAAAGTATTGGGGCAAAAACTGACAAAACAAGAGAACAAAAAATCTAAATTTACATTTGAATAAACCTCTGAAGAATTCTTACATATCTAATAGAATATGTACCCATTTTCTGAAAGCCTACTTTCCCAGTATCATTTTAGATTGTTGTTTCTACAACTTCAGAATTACTTGAAATATTACAACTCAACTCCCAACACCACAATCTTTTCATCCCCAGATACAGAAACTAACATAATCTCCCTCCTCCCTCCCTCCCAAACTCTCAGTTACCAAAAAAATGTACTGCTTTGGCTGGTTGACAAGGCCCAATAGTTCTTGATCCATGCAAAAATAATCAACTGTTGAGATCTTTCTACAATTTGGAATAAACACCATACAAAAGAAACTCCACACTTGTTGGAGGGGTCATAATTTTGAAACTGATCGTCTTATGATGACTTCGTTTATACAGACCTTTGGGGAATTTTGTTTGCTACATTTTGATACTCTGTTTGCTACCAAACACTGTAAATCGTCCAAGAATTCCAACGGTTTAAGAAATATGATGCAGTTTGAAAAATTACAAAGAATCGCAAGGAGAAATTGCTAAGCGCAAACACACATCCCCAAATTGGCCCCAACCGACTGCACAGTGCCCAAACAAATCACCGGTAATTCAATTTCGCGTGCTCCCCTACATACAAGAAATGTGCGATCGATGTGACATTGTCATGCAGCAATTTCTACTCGCGTCCTCTTTAAATTTGCAACTTCTCAAACTGCATCATTTTTGTTATAAACCGCTGTCAATATTGGATGATTTACAGTCTGTGGTAGCAAACGGGGAATCAAAATGTAGCTAACAAAATTCCCTAAAGGTCTGAATAACATTATCATAAGACAATAAGATTTAAAATTATGACCCCTCCAATGAGTGTGGACTTTCTTTTTCTGCAGTGTTTAGTCAGGGTGAAACACAGTGGATAACAGCAACAATGCCTTACAAGCCTGCTGTGCAGCCGGTGCACTCGCTCTGCATCCCCGTGGAGTAGAACCCGCCCTTGCAGGCCATCTTGTAGTCGCTGTCGGTCTGCGGGCAGGCGTACCCCGCCGGGCAATCCACACAGGCTGTGCTCTGCGTGACGGCGTATTCCCCCAAGGTGCAGTTGCGCATGCCAAGCCCATCAGTCCGGGGGCACTCCGTGCCGGCGGGGCAAATCGCGCATGTGGTGGCGCCCTCGTAGGAGTAGGTTCCCGGGGCGCATTCCACCTCTGAGCTGTCACTGGAGGACAAAATAATCAAACAATTGAAATTCGCTTTGAATATAGTACAGATACTTGATTACTTTTGTTTTGATAAAAGTCTTAAAAGAAAAGATGAACAACTTTAATATTACACATTGTTAGACACAAATTGCATAGTGGGCACAACTGTCAATACTTACGTTGTACTTGGGCAGTATTTGCCTGCAGTGCATACCGTACAGGATGTTGCCTTGCCGGTAGCATAGGAGCCAGCCTGGCATGCCATCCTGCCTGCATAGGTGTGGTTTGTACAGGCATAGCCTGGTGGGCAGTTGGTGCAGGCCGTGGATCCTGCATAACTGTAGGAACCTGGAAAGAAATGATATCGAATGAAATTATGAAGTGAAGCTCAAACGAAATAGACCAGAACAGTGTTATTTGTTATTTAGTGATCAATTATCGTGCCAAGGTCTTTGGTTAATTTTTAAAAAAATAACCACAAAGGGAAACTTACTAGGTGCACTATAATATTTTATATTATAATATTTATAAAAGTTGAACACAGGTGCAGGGTTTGAAGCTGCGACCTCTTGATTGCCATTCCAGTTCTCTACATACTGAGCTATCCAGCCTTATGTTGGTGGTTCCCCATTGTTGTCAATGTGTTGGTTCAAGGGGCGCTAGTCAGAAGCCATAAACCCCTAAATGCTGTGTAGCCAGGGATTACACCCAAAGTCAGTTAATTAAAATCAAATTCAATCAATCAAAACCACAAGTTACAATGAAGGTTTCTTTTCAGAAGATACAACAGCACAAACCTTCTCAAAGCTATAAGCCTCTCAAAATTTCACACCAAAACGTCAACGAGGAATTTGGACCAAACACAAGGGTGGTAAATTATGTTTTAAAAAAGAGAAATATATTTGATACTGAAATCAACTTACCATCGTCGCAGTCCACGGGTGCCTGGGTGGGGTCGGCGCAGTATTTGCCCTCAGGACACTGCTGACAGGCTACGCCACTATTGTCGTCATTATACCAGCCTACGTTACATGGCACGGGCTCTGCATCTTGGAGCGCGCAGTCGTAACCTGTGACAATCATGATCAGTTATAATCAATTAACGCCTGTGCTACATAGTATTACATGGTATTTATTCACTGATGAACCCATAAACACAGAGAGTGCTTGGGCAGTTTTGGGACGGTACAGGGAGTAACAAGCAGGGTGGTTTGGGGCAGTGTTAGGGCCAGTTCATGCTCCATGGTTATTACACCAGACAAGGAGAGGGGGCGAAGGGTATTTAACCAGGACAAATTTAGGTACAAAAACTTCAGTTCCTCTATTAGAGAGGTTGTCTGGGCATTGGTTGGACACATATAGCCAATTTTGAACACCCGCTTTGTTGTGCCCATATACAAAATCATGAAACTTCACAAGTTGGATGTCATGTGTTTCCATGTTTAATGAATTTTGACACACAATTATTGTCCAAGTCAGCAGCCACACCTATTGGCAATACTTCCAAAATTTCATAACTAACAGTACTATAATGGTAAAACCTTCCTAGTCAAAGGTCACTTACCTAATGGGCATGGTGTACAGGCCATTGACCGTGCCAGTGAATAGGTCCCTGCAATGCAAGCTGTCACGGTGGATTTGGTGTCGCACTTGGAACCCGCAGGGCATTCCAGGCATATCGTCTGCCTGGCGGTGTCGCTGTAGTACCCGTCCTCGCACGTGACGGCTTCTGATGCGTCAACTGGGCAGTACTGGCCGGCAGCGCACTCGGCACAAACTGAACCTAAATGTACAAAGGTGACAAAGATAGTCTTAAAACTTATTCACAACACGCTGTATGTTTTTGCCAAGAACCTACTGAACACTTAAAAGGCACAGACGAACTGGAAAACTTATACTCGATATTCATTACAGGTTTCTCATAATACTACAATTATGACTACCTTGCATCAACAGCCAAATATTGATCTTGTGCAAGAAGTGTTCTGTCGTTTCACAAATACTAAAACTTTCATAAAAAAATTAAAACATGTGTGCACACCTTGTCTTTAAGAATGTGTGTGGCATGTGTGTGAGCTTGACACCACCACCATAAAAACAGCTTCTAGTTTTGCTCGGAGAATTCCAGTATAGAGGTTTTACGAAAATCCGGCTTCATCTATACGGAGTTGCCTTTAAGTCCAGCCAAAGGTTCATCATAGAAATTCAAACCCGATGGAAACACACAAACCATTTTGCCTACAGTGAAAGGATTTGGTGTATGGCAGAAAATTGACCAATATTGTCCTGAAGTCTGTCAAGGCAGGGGACCGAAATTATGAAGCTAAAACCTGAAGTCACAGACAGTGACAAAGATCAAGAATGTGTAAGATCTAGTGTGTGACTTACTTCCTTCTGCACTGTACCATCCCGGGCTGCACTGGGTGGCTGAGGTATTGGTACAGCTGTAGCCGGCCGGGCACGTCGTACACTCTGTCGCACCACCAAGGGAGTAAGTATCTGATGAGGAGAAACAAACAAGCATCCATTACTGAGCGATAACGTACATTTGAAAAAATTTTATAAGTACATTTCACAGGTTCATCCAAAAGGACATAAAAAAATCTGAGACAAACAACCCTCCACTCATGTTTGGTATCGTACAACCTGATTGTAGACTTATTTCATGAGATTTTTCTGTAAAATAGGCCAAATAACATCTTCTGGACACTGTGTGCAGTCACACAAAGTGTTCACACCCATACATACACAATCCATTTCCTGACAAATTTGTCATGAAGTTAGAAATGTGGTTTTGCAATTTACATTCGATCAAGGAGAGCAGGTTATCTTCCCAGAATTTTCATTGACTTTGTGTGCGAACAAGAGAGGGCACTTTTTATCACTGTGGAAAGCCCTGTGGTGGGACACATGGCTTGTGAATACTGGATTGCGTGCGTAAAAAGTGCAGAGTATGCACGACTTATATTATTCTGAATGTGTACAACTCTATAGCATCTTGGCGTGAGCATCAGGCGTCATCAACAGTGCGTTTGAATGTCTCTCCCAGTGGTCTCCCCTAACTCTCCCTTTACTACAGAGGTGGTACTTGTACAATGTACACAGATCTCATTGCTGGACACTTCACGTGGGGGTATGACACTGAACAGTTTACGGTAAAACTTAACAGAAATCAATCATGCAATTCCCACTTACCAGGTGGGCAGTACTCAACTGCCGACGTTGTCGGGCACCTCCGCCCAGCAGGGCAAGCCGTGCAAACACCGTCTCCCTCAAGGGAGTACTCCCCATCGTTGCAGTCGGTGGGTGTCTGCGTTGGATCTGAGCATTTCATGCCGGCTGGGCACGCATCGCAGGCCGTGTGAAGGCTGTTGCTGACTTGGTTGTTGGGGCAGCGGGTGCAGTTATCCGCACCGTCGGCTGAGACATAGCCCTCCCCGCAGGCCACTTCCGAGCCGGCCGGGTCCGGGCATTTGTAGCCAGCAGGGCAGATGGTGCAAGACTCTTCACCTTCCGAGCTAGAAAGATACAGAATGGATGGATTAATGAAACCCAAGCAAACGCGACATTTCAAAGCTGTGATGACATGCTACTAAGAACCAAGTCACAAAAACTATAGTTTGGAAGTGGTTCTGAAATATGAGAGTTTGGCTATAGTACAAGTGTACCCTTAGCAATTATGTTATATGAGAGTTTGATTTATACACATGTAGTACTTGTCAGTCCATGCTTACCCACTTCTTTTAATTTCTCTATAATCGTTTTCTTTGTTTTTGGTAAAATATCCAAGAATTCCTTAATTCTTAACTCCATACATTTCCTTTCTGTTATTTTTAATTAGCTAAGTGCTCAATTCAGCCTTAGCCATTAATGCTAAAAAAGGTAAAGTTGGTGCAGCGCTACTTACACTTTCCTTCACCTCAGTGACTGAGGTTCGAACCCTGTCAAATTCCACATGCGGATTGGCATTCTTATTTCCAAAACTGTTTTGCCTCCTAGCGGTATCTGCCACAGTTAGCTTATTAGACCTACCTGATGTATCCCAGCGGACAGGTGGTGCAAACGCCTTCCCCGACCTTACTATAGGTACCGGCCGGGCAGGGTACCGATGAGTTCCTGTCTGGGCACTTGTGGCCTGCTTTGCACTCCGGGCACGTTGTATGCCCTTCTCCGATGGAATACTGCCCAAAGTCGCACTGCAAGGGCTCGTCAAAGATGTTTGGGCAGTAGTGACCGATGGGGCACTGGTGGCACACAGAGCTGCCGTTGACCGCATACTGACCCTCACCGCACCGGGTGGGTGAGCTGGTGCCGTCCACGAAACAGGCATGGCCGGAGGGACAGGAGAGGCAGTGGTCAGCTGCTCCGAGGCTGTAGGTGCCTGCTGAGCAGGTCTACGTTAAATTATAACAACATTTTATTTAGTCCATGTACATGTAAAAGTGTTTATCAATCAATCAATCAATCAAATCTTTAATTGTTCCCAACGCATACATATAATATCACTTAACATTTGAATTATTGTGTATGGATGGATGGAGGTCTCCAAAAAGTATAAGCTTGTCGAGTGGAGACCCCCACTGTAATAAATAACAATTACATTACAATTACATGTAATTACAAGTACAGGTACAACGACAAGTACAAATAACATGGGACATTGACTTTTTCATTAAACTTTCCAAAATAAACAATTCAAATTATATTTTTTTTTTAACAGGAATACTTAATGTACACAAGCTAAGACTGACACAAGTATATTAACCCTCCTGCTGTCCGAACAGTCACAGACAGTCGAAAAGTCACCCATGCCTTTTACACAGGCAAGTCACCAACAGTCAGATCATACATGTATTACAAGTGAGCACTGTGGCTAGTCAAATTCAGTTAACAGACAAAAGCAGACAAGTGGTAGGCACAGCTGGCTTATCAATCAGCTCCTACAGTCAAAGCGCAGCTGTATCAAGTTACATAAACAGTCACAGCCAGTCAATCTTGCTTAAGGCTAGGAACTTTGAACTGTTGAAAACAGTCACTTGATTGATTTCGACTGACCGGACAACTTGGCTATGAATATTTTACACAGGAGGGTTAACGAATTGGACAAGAATAAAAGCGCTGAGCAAAACTTGAATTACCTGTAATCTATTTGTTTCTAAGTTGATTTTTAGTTTGTTGGATATTGTTTCTTTGTTGTTGTTTTTTTTTTTTGGGGGGGGGGGAATTGAAACAACATTGTTGGAGACAGTCGAAAGTGCAACAACTTTGTCAAATACTTTCCTAATAAATACATGTATGAAACTTTCAGTTAATGCAATGCCTGCCGGGGCTAATGCACACCAGATCTCCAGATCTCATACAGGAAAAACACTGTTACACCACTTTATTTGCCAAGTCTGAAAACTGGCAAATAATGACTCAATCTACTTATTTTGTGATTGTCCAAAAAAGTCGGATTTTACAACTAAACAAGACTGACAGGAATTGCGGGGACACCTGCGTACCTTACAAGCCGATGAAGCACTTTCTCCTGGGTTGTTATTGTACTTGCCTCCATCGCAAGGGACTCGGCCACTGTTCCCACCGGGACAACTAACGGGAGAGAAAAACAAATAAATTTTAAAAATGTTTGTGTTTACATGTACACATCATCGTGTGCCTAGCATAAGGGCATATATGCGCATATGCCCTTTCGCGCAAACGCCCTTACGCGCGAACGCGCAATCACCACAATGTTCCCAGCAATACATGTCATGTAGGGCATATGCAGAGAAATTGCCTCTATTTCAATGAAATTAAAAATTTCTGTCGGAAATTGGCACAAGCTGTTCCAAAAATTATGATTCATTGCATGTGACAAATTATTAATTTATACGATTTATAGGTCTACGCGTGTGAGAACATTGGATTCATAATACTCGTGGGGCAAAATTGGAGCATTTCAATGCAAATTTCTTGAAAATTATTTTCGTGTCAGAATGCTCATACATGTATGCCCTTCTGCCCGGCACCCCATGGTATTATGTTGTAAAAAAAAAAAACTCAGCACACTGCCACTACAGCAATGGTATAAACCACCTTCCCCGAACTCACTTATTGGTCCCCTCTCAGAAAATGATGAAGAGAAATAAAGAACTTTAAAGTGCCCCCCCCCCTTGCATTGAAACCTAGTTAAGTTGGAAAGCCACAGAAAAAAAACACATGGCAGGTGACAGAATCAAAACATGCAGTAAAACTTTTTTTATGGATCAAACAATTAATGAGGCAATACCAGTAGATACACCAACAATGAAAAACTTAAATCTGAAGTGACAAAAACATTGACAGCAGATATGGCAATTATAGCTTTCGAAAAAATGTGAGTTCTCTTAAATTAATTGTTCATGTTTTCCTTTATGTATTGATGTGTAGAACAAACCCAATCTCCCCCACTCCCAAGAAAACAAAGCCCAATTATTCCGCAATCAAGCTGAATATCTTCTTAAATGTAGTGACTAAAATCAATTTTAGGTTATAAAAAAAATACTACTTTAAGCATACATGTAAAGCAAACAGCACGAATCACATTTTGTTCACATGTGTGTTGCATACTACATGTACATGTACGTAACGGGGATAAATGGCTTACTAATAAACTCCTGGTTCAAATGATTATGGTGTGATTCACTTTTAGGAACTGGGACAAAGGAGACAAGGGATCGACATAAAAGACATGTAGACTTCTCAAACATGTCAAAAATTAATTAAGTCTTTCCGATAAACAAACCCCCTTTTGTGTGATGCCAATTAAGCTGCATGTTAAAATTTATAGTAGGCCTACTTTCAAGTTTCCATTTATTAAGAATGACACAAATGAAAAGTTTGTTTTTAATTCACACCACATAAATGCAAACTGGTGCAATATTTGTACATTACCAGTTCAACTGCAAATTAAAAATCAAACTACATCAACGTTTCAGTTTCATTTGAATGAGACAATCTGGAATAATTTATCGTTAACCTCCATTGCATACAAATTAAAGTCAAACTTGTACAACGCCAATCCAACTGGCTGTTGAGTATTAATAACAAAACGAAAGAAGAAATTCAAAGATCCCATTTGAACAGTGCATCCCATTCAAACAGTACAATGTACAAGCATTTAAATGAACCGTCCGGGAGGCCACGGTGCAGTGTTTGTGCAACAGACATTGTGACCCGTACCCAGACAAACAAAGTTTCAATACGTGTGCATTTTTAAATTGTTGAAGATAATTTTATTGACCTGTTTGCACATTAAAGGGAAGCGAAATAATTTTGTAGGAATACCCAAAACTCCCTATTATATGGTTTTTATATGAAAAAATGGTATAATGTTTTTGTCGAAATATGCTTTCAGGTCACTTACAAAATGAGCTTAAAGTACAAATGAGCATAAAGTAGCCCACAATATGTATGCATTTTAAATTGGTGAAGAGGATCTTATTGACCTGTTTGCACATTGAAGGGAAGCAAAATAATTTTGTAGAAATAGCCAGAACTCCCTATTGTATAATTTTATAAGAAAAAAATAATATAATGTTTTTGTAGAAATGCTTTCTGGTCACTTACAAAATGAGCATAAAGTACAAATGTAGGACTTTTGAAGAATTGAGATATTTCTTCCGATACATGTACATTGTTTTTCTGAATTCTGCAGACAAATGTCTCACTGTCATGCAATACGCAATACAAATGTATGAATATTAAATCACCGGTTGTGTTAAAATAAAAAGTGTATTCCCTTAATTCAACTTAAACTGAGATTGATATTAAATCAAATTAGGTTTTTGCCCTTCACCGACATAAACACTGTATACTCAGTGTGTTACCTCCCAAGTGAAAGTGGGTTAGGGTGGGACTTGAACCCATGACCTCCTGCTTTCTAGTGCAGATGTCTTACCACTCGACCACTGAGTTCGGAAAATTTGATTTACATCACCCCAACGCAAACATTTCATCTTATGAGATTGATATTGTCACAACAACACAATCCACTGACACTTTCCCGGCTGCCTACATTACAGAATCATTACTGTACACATACATGTATGATTTAGTGTACAGTAATGATGCTGTAATGTAGGCAGCCTGGAAAGTTTGCGCACATTGGCTAACTGCTTAGGTCACAGGCCACTTCCTTCATAAGATTCTGTGAACTCATCAGCGCAAGGGCGGATCCAGAACACAATTTTTTGGGGGGGCCAAACAAATTTGGTCCCCCCAAAAAGTGGGTCAAAAAATGACGGCATGGGGTTCGGGGCCTGCTTAGGGCCCGAACACTTTTTGGATTCTAGATGCTCTGTGGTGCAATCTGAAGCAATTTTTGACCACTTTAACCAATGTTTTTTGAGGAAAAGATGGTGGTGTACTCATTGCCTGCCTTTATTGCGAAGTCACATAAAAAAAAAAAAAATTGGTTTCGTTTTTTTGGGGGGGGGGGGGCATGGCCCCCTTTGGCCCCCCCTGGATCCGCCCTTGCATCAGCGTACCCCAGCGCCCTTTTTGCTCGGCGGTGTATGAGCGAAAATACAGTGCATGAATATTAAACAACAATGCAATGTGTGTAGCCTACATGTACAATGTAGTATTGTACAATGTAGTATTGTACTAATAACCTTCAACTTTCAAGACAAACTGATCGTGCAATCTGATCTTCATTTCGCATTTGTAACTTTGTTAACATTTCTCAAGAGTCCATGTAATTTGATTCCCGATGTCCTAAGTAAAAGTACAATGTAGATCCACTAGATGTAAATTGAGTAAGCCTCATGTACATGTAAGTCTATCCCTTTTTTTTCCACTTGAGAGCCTGGTGTAACCTCAGCGAGGATTTGTTTGGTCGGTTTGTTTGTTGATTCACTGTGCCCAGCATTGTCCTGTTGCTAAACAGTAGAAAGTTAATACTAACGCTAACAAATGTCTTGAATGCTACAGGGTAAACAGATATTATATGGTGTTGGGTTCTTGTGAAAAAGATTCACAAGGCTATCAGTGAAATACCAGTGTTTTTTAGTGGTGTCAAATTGCCAGAATCCCACACACAATTTATGATTTATTATAACAAAATTGTTTTAATGGGTATCAAATTTAGATCTACATGTAGGTGTGTACATTTAAATATGTACTATTTTGACTTTAAACCCCCCCCACCAATATTTCCATACCATGGAGGCCAGTTAAGTGTTATTTATGCTTTTTGTGAATTTCCTTAAGATTAATTACTATGGTATTCTGTTTAATTTAAACATTTTTTTCCAAATGTAGGCCTACATTGTACTTTGTAATAAATTGTTGGGCAAATGTGATTAATAAAACATTTGAGATCGGCAATTTGGCAGCAAAAAAATGTGTTTTCATTAATAACGAAAACACAATTTTTTTTTAAGCCTTAGGAACGACTTTGAACATCACTCTTTTATGGCTCATTCAATTTACCGGTACATGTAGTCCATCAGCGCTGACTTCACACTGATAACCATTTCAACATTTATAAAGAAAACTGGTCTGTGGTCACAATGTTTTAGTAAGCCTATTTTTACAAAACTTTTATCGTGCAGTTCAGACAGAATTATATGTACTGCTTCTATAAGTATTTATTCTATGTAAATACATTCGATGGCAATTGTTTGTTTTTAGAATTTAAAATCTCAGAAAACTTAGAACTGAAAGCATCCAATTGAGCCAGACCTTTGAAATTGTGTAACAACATGTACATATGCACCGGTACATATACAGTTTGTGCGTAATACGTATGCTATTATGCACGTACATGTATTATCGTGAGAGTCAAAATCCCAGTCATTGACTGCTCCATTCACTACTTTTTCATTGTGATTTTCAATTTCCCACAACAGAATTATATTTTTCCATTCTCCATCTCCGAATGGTTGTAAAAACTCTCTGTCACATTTGACAGCCCCAAAAGTTTCCCAATAATAGTGCCTTTATTGTGGGTCGATTTGGCATGACCCTTCCCACCATGTTAACAATATAATTAAACAACTTTGACGATTGCCTACGTGTTGTCAACTTGGCACAATACAGCAATACACTTGATTAAGTTGATCTTTGGACCCAACACGCCACAGCGCCCGATTATGCTCTAATTCTATTCACAGTGCATATTACTCACAGTCGGCCAGCAGATTTTTTTTTCACAAAGCCGACCAGAGTTTGTCTTTTTGGGAAGCCTGCACTTATTGAACGATTCAGTGTGCAGTCATGGTCCGTCGCTCCCAGTACTATAGCATGTTGATCGGTTGCCATGGGGACTGTTTGAACACAACTTTGAGTCTGTGTGGGATTGCCTGGCAACGCTGGGTTCCTGGTTCTGTGAGATAAGAAGCCCTCTATATTAATCACACCAAGACTATTTCATTGTGGGGAGAGATTTTCAAGGGCTTAGCAATGGTTCACAATGTAATTAAATTTGTCTGACGCATCTATCGCCAAACTTACACAATCACATGGGCCATATATCACATACAGTTTTGTACATGTAGTGTTTACACAGTTCACAGACAAAAATATGAAGTACGTGCATGGGACAATGAAATTCTCCAACACAACTGGAATTAAACCACCCACAAAATATTTGGCATATTGTATGGTGAATTCATCTGGACAACTGTAGAGTTGTCTGCACAAACAAAATAATTTACAAATCTTGCCCAAGAAACAAATTGTCCAGAGCTGTGTCATTTATCAGTGTAGGTTTCCTTATTCAGGCTGTGGCATTCAACAAGAGACATGTCGATTTAAGGACAGCCAACAGGCTACCACAGCCATTGCAACTAAATTTGATAATTTTCCTAACAATTCATGCAATTTGTTCTGTTGAGGAGGGGGCGGAGGGGAGGGGAGGGGAGGGGGGAGAAAGAGGCATGATTTAGTATGTGTTTTTTTTGGTAGTTTTAGAACAGGTTTTTGACAGCTTTATGAAATGCAAATTGAGGTGAAAGTCCTGTTGGCTGTTATGAACATGCAAATCATTAAGAGTAGGTTTTCAACGTAACTGACAAAATGTAATAATAATTTGGCAACAAATGTTAACTGGGTATTGTTCACGGAATGCTACTTATTTTATGACAAAACATGTGATTTCACAAATGCGACCAAAAATACTATTAGACAGGAACAAGTGCCTTCGCACAGTGCTTTGTACAAAAGGTAGCTGTTGTGAAAATCACCAAATACATGAACCTAAAACAAAACATGGATTTTGTTAAAAAAGTACGTACTTGCATGTATGTAAATGTATGCATGGCCACGTAATACAGCATCATTGGCAAGAACGGTCAAGCCATCGCAGACTGGTCCGTGGTAAAAGTTGCCATCAACAAGATGAATCATCTCGTCTTGGCATGTTTGGGAACGTTGGCAATCTGACCCAAGTTAACGGGCACGCCATTGCAGTGGTAGAAGTTGCCATCAATGTAAATGTATCGCGGTACCTCTGACGCATTCATCCAGCTTGAATAAATCCAGCGTTTGTCATGTTTGTGAGCTGTGCTTACATGTAACTGCTCGGAATTTTTGTGTCTGAGGATCAGACTTTCACTTAGGCAGAACCACAGTAGAACGTCTGACAAATCGTAGCATCAAATTAGGTTTTGCCCTTCAACGACATTTTTTAAACACTGTATACTCAGTGAGTTACCTTCTGTTTTCCAACTTTCACTCGGGAGGTAACACACTGAGTATACGCAGTGTTTAAAAACGTCGGTGAAGGGCAAAACCTAATTTGATTTATATCACCCCGACGCAAAATTCCATCTTATAATAAATCGTAGCATGTAAATGTTATTGCGACCCCACGTGCCAGCCAATCGGAGTGGTCTTTGGACTTAGAGATTGTGACGTCATTTCGATCAGAAATTTGTGGACTAAGCTGTGGATTGGTCACTTTAGATGCCATGATTTTGTAATACAAGAACGGGTTATGAAAGACCCAATAGAAGGCGCCCTCTGAATGGTCAGAATCTCGAGGTCAAGACACAGTCTTGTTGTGCATTATTAATTGCCGAATCAGCTCGTATATCAGACCCTTGTTGTATAAGGCGACATTCCATACACTAGGAATATCTCGGGTCCGAGTGCCAATTTTCTTTCAATTTGATTCATCTTGTTGAGAGCAATCTCATCCATCGCAGAGACTTGACTGCACTTGCCACATGCATACATTCAGGGGAGAAAAATCCTGGTGTGAATTGGCCACAATGGCAACCTACCAGTGATAGGTCAGTAAACGTGTACAGTGTGGCGTTCAAATATTTGTGACTCAAATTGACTCCATCTAAATATTTGACTTGACTCTACTCGACTACACACTGTGACTCGACTCGATCTTCTTGAACTAATGACTAGACTCGACTCGAGTCACTTCTTTAAAGTGACTCATCTCGACTCGACTTGAGTCACAAAAATCACAGACTCGTTACAACTCTGGTAAATTCACCGCCCTGCCCTCTTTCCGTGATATTCCAGTCACTTTTCAACATCAAAGGGTTTGTGGTGATTCCAATAACATACAAATTGGCTCTTGTTGTCATACAGGTAGGAAAGGGGTCCTGATTGTATCTCTCTAGGTATGTTGCTATCAGTGGCGTAGCCAGGAATTTTTCAGTGGGGGGCGCGGGGGGGGGGGGGGGGGGGGGGGGGCTGGAACATTTCATGGGGGGGGCGTCAAGTAGGGGCATCAATCGCTTCTCAAAAGTGGGGGGGGGGGGACATACCTTGATCATAACTGATGCAAGCGGATTGGATTCTAGATGTTCTGTGGTGTGATTTGAAGCAATTTCTTACGACTTTCCTCCATGCTTTAACTAAGATTTTCTTGGCAAACATGGCAAAAGATAATTATTTGAACATCGTTTTCGAGGTTGGAGACATTGAATCAGCTATCAGTATTCTGAGCTATTGGCGTGGGGTTCGGGGCCCGCTTAAGGGCCCCGAAAAAAATTTGGATTTTTGATGCTCTGTGGTGTGATCTGAGGCAATTTCTTACCACTTTAACCAATAATTATCTTAGCACATAAGACAATAATTTAAACATAATTTTCGAGGTTTTCTCAGCTAAAGGCATAAGAACATTTTGTGAACATTGTTTTCGAGGTTGGAATCATTGAATCAGCTACCAGAATTCTGAGCTATACATGTAGGCATGGGGTTCCGCTTAAGGGCCCCGAAAAATTTTGGATTCTAAATGCTCTGTGGTGCTATCTGAGGCAATTTCTGACCACTTTAACCAATATTTTTAAGCAAAAGATACTGTATCTTAGATACATTGTAGTACATAATAGGGCCCATGGCATCATGTAGATCAATGATAATTTTTTTAGAAACTCAAAATCTCAGTGGGGGGGGGGGGGGGGCAACAAGGTTTCATGGGGGGCGGTCGCCCCCCCCCCCCACGCCCCCCCCCCCCCTTACATTGGCCTTACATTGTTTTGATTCCCAAAATTCAATATCAGGAAAGTTATAGTGTGAAAGTATGGTGTGTAATCCAAAACAGTCCTAGAAAATCTGTTAAATGAGTCACAAGTCAAACTTACAGTTTTTTCTAGATTTGCTTATAAAAAAATGACTGAAACGGCCTAAAATTGAGGGACTCGAAACGTCATTACTTGTTTTATTTACGTCACAGGAAGATGATCCTTTTTCATTTGCTATAGGTCTTTTCAAGACCTTTACAATGATACCAATTTTATTGGAATCTGTTGATGTTGACAATTTTTGTCACATACCTACATGTAGATTGCTCACTGTTCAGCAGAAAAAAGGTACAATGTCACAAAGCACTACCAACCTGCAACGAAGTGCAGATTTGCACCATGTTCGTATGTATTTTGTGTTCACATGTATACTTACTAGTATCCAGCTGGGCATTCTATGCACGCTGTAGCATTGCTGTCCCAGTACTTCCCTGCATCACAACCTGCAGTGCAGTCAGCGCTGTTGCACTCACATACTCCTAGCGTGATGGAAACAGAGAACAAGAACATTATACACTCAGTTGAATCTGATTCTGACATTACCACATATCAAAAAAAAAGGATCGGGCAGTGTAGGCTAGGGTTAAACAGGAGTACGTTTTGGAGCTACATGTACATTGTATTACCCTCGCCCAACACCCCAAAGCCCATTCCCGAAAGCAGATCCAGAGAGGTTATAGGCCAAAATAAAATACTAATTCTGCTTCCGGTTACCCTACGTACCTTAATTTGACAGCCTCTTCCGTAATTTTTGGGGGAAAAAATGAGGAAAAAACCTGAAAATCATCAATTACTGCCTTTTACCCTCGACTACACGCAGACACCTCAGTGGCATAGCATCGTCATTTTTATTGGGGGGGGGGGGGGAGGTACACACATTTTTTGAAAAGGGCACTTGCACATCCGTTGTGAAATGTAGACATGTTGTTTTTTTTCTGGACACTTGGCCTCAGTAAAATAAAAAAGCAGAGGGGAGGGGCTGGTACTATCTGTCAATGGGGGCGTAGGCGCTGTTCAAAACCGACGATTATGCACGATTATGCACACTATAACGGACAATTCATGTATAAGGTGCTTTTAAGGGTGATACACGCGTAAAATAAAAAAAAGGCACCCAGAACGGCCAAAGGGCACCACTCCTTTTTAAAAGAGGGCACTCTTTACAAATTATTGGGAGGGGGGGGGGGGCCGCGGGTGAAAATAGGGCATTTGAGTGGAAAAGGACAGTCTTTACAAATTATTGGGGGGGGGGGGAATACTGAAATAGTTTTTTGGAAATGACAATGATCAAAATGTTCTCATACAAGTCCCCCCCCCCCTGCAGTAAGGCCAAATCTTGATACCACTAGCATTGTCACAGGCAGAGAAAACATCGCTAGATCCATTCTGAAAGTCCCCCCCCCCCCCCCCCGCCCGCTTTCTACGCCTATGCAAATAATTTCCCTACCTACCCACCCTATTTTCAAATGCCAAGTAATCGGAAGCACTAGAAATGGGTTTTTGTAGCCTTACTGCAGGGGGGGGGGACTTTTGGGTCATTGGCATTTAAAAAAAAACTGTCCGCTTCTGACCTCTTTTATCAAAAAGTGCAGACAAGAAACTGCGTTTCTTTTTTTTTATTTTGAAAGATCATTGTTATGAAGGTCACGCAATACAAATAAATTAATAACCGGGTATATTTAAAATGATATGTATTGCTTATCACAATTTTGCATCTCCATACACAATTTTTAGTTCTACTATTCTCAGGTAAAATCTTCTCTTTATCGTTACAAATATGTTTTAAAATGAATTTAGGAATTGAATTCAGTACTACTACGCTACTTTTTTTTCAAATTTAATAAACACTGCGAGAAATTTAACATCTCTATTTTTTTTTCTTTAGAATTTTCAATTGCCACTCTTCAAAACTCTTAAGATACTCTTGAAACTAAAATCATATATAAAAGCTGTTAAACTTGAAGCCAATATTTGCAATTCCCCCCCCCCCCCGGTCTTTCCCCGCCCACTTCACCAACATACCCTTCCACACACCAAAAAACACCTGTCAATTTGTCATGCCTGTCAAATTCATTTCAAATTTTTTTCACAAAAGCAAAGCGTCAAATCTCCAAAATTCCACAACTTACCCTCAACTCCAGCAATGCTGAGGGTTCCCCAGACTACCACCAGTATAAAAATCCTCCATAACTGGCTCATTTGCAGCGACGAAAGTTTGCTTTTTCTGTGACAGTTCGTCAGCGAATACTCCGCACAACTCTTTCGGCCATTGCCGGTTCCTGGACCACTGACGTTTGTCCTCATTTTCCTCTCAAACTCTGTTACTTTTCCCACCGTTTTAGAGGACGGAAAACTCCTCCAAAAGTTCAAAAATCTTCCCAGTTATATTTCCATTACGTTGGCTCCATGTTTCTGATTAAAGTTTCATCGTCCAGCGATGTTTTTTGTGTGAATATTCCTGCATAAAATCCTTGAGTCTGTTGCAGAAGTTCTCGTGTTAAAACTAACGTGCACCTGTACCTTGCAATCAATTAAGAAAATACCCACTGGGCTAGGGGGTTTCAGGGTACGTCATCGTCGTTATGGTTCCGCGTACGCTATCTTCTGAGTGCACCATTCGTGTCCGGGTTGTCGTTTCGGTTCAGTAGTCCTACCCTATCCAAATTGAAGTCTTTCTTTTGTACAAACAAAAGCGAGGTACGTCAACTAAAGATTAGGTAACACTGCAAAAACTAACTGTCGCAATCAACACAGGGATTTAATCGATTTTTATTTCTTTACCTACTAGTTTGTGGTTATTCAACTTTTGGGTACTACTATAGCATAGGTACATATATATGTAGAAAGAAATGTTGAGAAATAACTTCCGAGAATTGCTGTTGCAGAATATTATTTTTGAACCTAATATTATTGATAGGGTGAGAGTTTGGTGCGATGTGTGAAGAGAAGGCTTTTATGCTCTATTCCTTTTTGAAGTGTCTTCATTTTGCCGTCGATTCTAAATTGGGGCCCATATAGCCATGGTCATTTATGATGAGATTTTAAAGGCCCACCGAAATTGTACAAGTTTTTCAAAGAAATCCATTTTCTCTTCAGTTGAAAGGGACCCATTGAAAATACGCTTTGGGACTTCCATGGCCTGTCCCGAGACATTGTATTTTATTAGTTTCAATTTGACTGTATAAAGTCCTTACACTGATTTTATTCAGCCTTTTCACATTAAGTAAAATCTAATTATAGATATTTTCGTCCTGAAAAGTTGAAACACGTACTACCGCTAAAATATATTAGTTGTCTCAATCATCTTGCATGACTTCCAAAAATGAACCAAAGACCATGCCAAAGACGTGAATAATGAAAATCAAAAGTGTTCTTTTTTATATGAAAAAAATAATAAACTTACAAATATGAAATAAAAACTACGAAAAAAAAAAAAATCAATCCAGACTTCGAGGGGGTGCTTGTTCTCTGGAACGTATTGCAATCAAAAAGGCCTAGCTGATAGATACCTATATTTATTTCTTTCGTAAATCCCACACAACCTTCGTCGTAATTGCAAAAAAAGAAACCCACCCGTATTCTTTTTAATTTTAAGAAATGGTTTAAGCCACTTTCCCCACACTGCATGTGAGGCCTTTCTGTACCTTAAAAGAGCGTGTATATACCAGCAGAGGGCGCACTTTATACTTTACGGAGACGAGTTCGAGAGGGTCTGTGTATTTTTTAATTTCATACACCTGTCACACAAAGCAATCATGCTGTGACCTCTGCCCGTGCCGTTTCCAAGCACTGGCAGCGGTGTGTGTGTACACAATGGCCGGTCGATCGATACAGGATCTCTGCATGACACAAAACAGGTTACGCATTTCACCGTTGATAAATAGCTCACTGCACTATCGGTCGATGGAATTCCGGAATTGTAATCGCCATTTTGTGGACTGGCCTTCCGCGAAATAGTTTGGAAAACCGTAACTTATTTTGGCAGTTCAAGCGAAACGACAACGGTGAATTGTTTCTTCAACGTTACGGTTCTCAATTTCAGTCGAAGTGTAGACTGTTGTGTTGATTCGCCTATGACACGTCTGGATGTGCACTATGTGAATCAGAGCTTGAAATGGTCCACAACTGCGCGAACGGGCCGTAGATTTGATGGTTGTGAAAAGTTGACCAAATCGAGCCGTGTTGGGCCCGTGTTGGTCCAATATTTCTGATTTTATACTTGACGATTGACGATTTTATACTTGAACATTCCCTGCTGTCACTATAGAAATTAGAAGCCAATTGATATCGGACTTCAACTACCATGTTCATAACAGTGCGATTTGGAGGTAAGAATTGGCCTTTTACTTGTATAGTTGTAATAATTATTTGCAGTAGGCCCATGTACACATGGACCTTGCCGCCATTTTTCTCAGATTTCTTTTTCTAATGTTAGTAAATTCACAAAATAGTCTATAACTGAAAACCTAAACGACATAAATACCGCCTCAGCTCAGGGACCATTTTTAACAATTCGATATGTTTCATAAAAAAAACAGCAGTCTTCCGGGAAGCTGAAGTGTTTTTTTTTTTGGGGGGGGGGTAATCTGATGGATATTTTCCTTCAATAACGATTTAATTTTTGAAAACGGACTTTTCTCCACAAATCATAAAAAAAATACCTGTAGGCCTAGGCCCTACATGCAAAAAACAATACGGTTAACAAATCCTGCAATATTTTGCAGACATATTAATTAATTCCTCATTGGAGAATAAGACTTGGTTTTTTTTGGGGGGGGGGGAGGGGAAAAAGTTTTTCGTCGTACATATGGCCTATCTCTGTCCATCAGAGGCGTCTTGTTTTGACAGAAAGCATCATGTAGGCTATTTATCCTATCCCTTCTTTATTTCCTTGGTCCATACTTTTTGCTCACTTACAGAATATGACCACTGAATAACTTGAAAAATAAGCTATTGGATATGGACAACTTCCTAAACCTTGACAAGAAATCGCCAATACTGGCTTGAAAAACTACTTTCATTTCCCCCCATTTCTACAGAAAAAGAGGAGGCGTTGTTTAATCCCAACTGCCGAACCTTGTTACTGCTTGAAAACATCAAACAGCGATGCAACTGCGCAGAAGATGGTAAGATTACAAGGGAAACATTTACGGAAACATCAACAAAATTAAGCCACCCTGTGAAATGTACCAACCAGGCCCACCATACTGTCAGCTTAATATAGGTTTTCCCGGCTATTTTAAAGATTTGTTATTCAAATTCACCAACTTTATCATTCAATTTCATCCACAAAAAAATTCACAAGCTGTCATTTACCATTCAATTTTAAAGTTTGGTCACCCTCTTAAGTCACCCGGTGGAGAATATTTGTCATTGCAGATCAAATTCGTCTATTCGTTGTTGCCGAATGGCAGCATTCAGAGATCGAATTCGTTTTACATGTATATAAAATCACTTCGACGAATTTGATTTCTGATTAACAAGGTTTGACGTAGACGAGACGACATCGAATACTCCGGGTCCGTTACGAAAACGTGCACTGTGGTCATTGTTTGAATTTGCTTGAACTGAATTTGAAGTTTCATGACGCCCCACGGGTATTTCTGTACACAATTGGAATAATGGGATTGTTTCAAGTAGATCTAAGCCTGTCAAAAAAATTAAATATTTCTCCAATCCTAATTCATTATTTTGTCACATAATACAAGTACAAAATGTGGTGACCATTGTTTTTTTTATCCGTAGAACGGATTTAACTGAAGTCAACCCATGCAGACAGATTTTTTTGTATTTCAAAATTCATCTCTAAATTCAACTGCACAAGTACATTTTGCTCAACAACTGTGCAAATAAGATTCAGACATTAGTAATGTCACAATACCTGCACGACTTACAAGCACTGACATACGCTGTTAAATATTTTGATTTGTTTGTCCCAAACATAACAACACAGTTATTATTTGTCTTGTAAAAAGTGGACGTCGATCTATCCGACAACGAAGGTAACGTGAAACACCTCCTGGAAACGCCTCTACGATATGCAAATGAGGTGCTCAAGGAGCGGGAAACCTTGGTCTTGGTTCGGGTCGAGAGTAAGTGTGACCTTTGAACTCTGACTTTTCATTTATTACGATTAACAACTGTTATATTTTTATCAAGAATATATTTTTTTGTAAAAGTTAATCGGGGCCCATCACTACAAATTTTTCAATTTTGACATCTTGTCTTACAGTTCAACCTGTGCAGTGTGCTATTTGTGCGCAGAAATCTTGACAGTCATCAACAATAAGACTGATGACATTTCACCTATTCATAGGGCCTATGCCGTAATAGATTATGACTAATCCTTTTGACTTTAAGCAAGATTTGAGGGTTTGCATGGTGGAGATACATGTACTATTACTAATAAATGAAATGTTTGCGAAATACCATGTGTGTATAATTTTCTCAGACTTAGAGAATGGTTCTGAAAAGAGCCTGATCATGATGTATCAACTCTGATGGGGTTTTGACTTTAGGCTAATACGTAGATAGTTAGTCACAATTGGATGTATATATTACTCACAAGCTCGGGTGAAGATTTTTGTTATTTTATTACTTCCCCCCAGAAAATGAAGGCAATCAAAAGCCACACTATGTTCCTCTTCTGAACGACGTTCAAGCGATCGACGCTGCCTTTATGGGTGAGTGCTTTTCATGTCAGCGACTTGCATTAAAAACATTTTACATCGTGTTGCAATACTTGTCATAGGCAGATCAAATAATACAGGGTGAGTGAAAAAAAACCCAACAAAACAAACCGCACGTCCAATTTTGAATGAAGTTTTGCCTGTAGCATTTTCAAAATCAAGGATCATGAAATCCCAATCAATGAGCTTTCTTTTAGTAAAAGAATCATTCAAATCACTAATGTACTTTTCAAGTTACGGAATTGTGAACACAAACACCGTTTTAAAGTTTTGTCCACGGATAATATTCACATGCATCCCCATGAGAATTGTTTTCGTTCTGCTAAAAGAACACTAATTTTTTGTGTGATCCGTGGACAGAACTTTAAAACGGTATTTCTGTTCAAAATTTCGTAACTTCAAAAGTACATGATTGTTTGAATGCTTCATGTACCAAAAGAAAGCTTAATGACTGGGCTTTCGTATCCTAGATCATTCAAAAATTGGTCCAGCCATTTGGGTTTCGTTGTTTTTTTTTACTCACTCTGTCGAAGGTAAAGTTAGAGTGTAAAATGGATGCAGAGGGAAGAGCAATGCTGTTGTATAGAGTGAACGAATCTTGCAGGGATTTCTGGTACGTTCCTTATTGCGGAGAGCCTGCAATTGTCTCCGTGGATCCCAAAGAGAACTTGGGCTCCGGAGTGAAAACGTTTATATACAAGTTGCATCAAAATTAAATCGTTGGTATTATTGCATGTGCATGTACTATGTATACTTTTATACCAAAGCGTTATTGAACACAGAATTAAAGAAATTCTTTTTGTCTTTTTCAGCGCGGTTATCGACGAAGGAGAACTTGGGCTCAGGTAGTGCCAAGGGCTCCCGGAGGAAAAACGCCAAGAAAGACGGCACCAGTAAGAGCTCCTCACGCGCCGGGGCAAAGTCCACCACGCCCACCGGACGGAAGGGCTCTAAACGCTAACAGGACATAATTCCGAGTTAAATTTGGATTATTTTATTAAATATTTTTGTATTGTGAAACTTGTACATTTAGTAAGTATTTCCAAGGCTAAAAGACTATGTTGCAGGATAGCGTGAGAAGCCGTAAAGGCATAATAAGATCATTTTCATCTCAAAAGTAAGCTACTGAATTTTGAAAAATAACAACATGATTGGATTGATGATCACACTGGTACTAAACACCCCGTGAAATTATTCCGTCAGGTTTGCTGTAATTAGAAGAAATCAAGAAACGTAGGTGATTTCTGTATATGCAAGCTGTACTAGAGCATGGTTTCATCAGTTTTGGTGAAACAACGTTATCCATGGTCTGGAGAATTCAAATTACAAATGTGTCAAACAATTGAACAAATTAATTCACCATAATGTATTATAAATCGAAGAAGACGTAGGTGCCTTATTAACGTCTTAAGACATTTACAATGACGTCGGCATACATGCATGTTTATGCCTATCGAGAAGCCGTCCAAACATCGAACATTCTCGAGGTTTTGCAAGCGACCGGGTATCCTACACGGTGTAGGCGCCAGATAGTTTACTGTATACGGATATTACTAATTATATTAGTTGAGTGCGGTCTTGTATCTTCGTAGGCAACTCGCTCTCCGCAACGCGTCTACACCGTGACGGCACAGATATATCGCGCACTACACTGCAAAAATAGTGTGTTTTATGCACTTTTCTTTGCAAGGTTTTGCTCTCACTTGTAAACATGACGTTGTGTAAACATGTTTCAACACTAAACGTATAATAGTGTTGATGTACACCTAATGTTTGAGCTTCTAAAACGTTTACTTAGTGTTAGTAACTGTGTTTAATTGCTAAACACAATCTTAGGATGAAGTGTATGCGACAGTGTGCAACGCATGCTGTCCATTTTCACCGTCCATTTTGATGGTATGTAATCATGTATTTTCATTAAAAGAGGGTGAATTGCTAAACAATATGTGTCAAATGTGTGCATTTGATTAGCCGCAGATGCAAGGTTTTTCATCAGAGACTGCCATTTTGGATAATACATAGAATTGTACTTGATAACTATCAGTTATGTACAATGTACAACGCGAAACACTAACGGTCGATATAAAACTGTTGCGGATAGTGAAACGTATGCGTACGTATCCGTTTGGATTCGAAACCTATGTATTTGTAAAAATATGTACCGGTATTTGATATTGTTTTTGTACCTTTATAAGAAACAGTTAACAGTGAAAACAAATTGTCGTAGGCCTAAATTATTTTCTGCAATCCGTAGCAATCCAGCCATACTCTATATTTACCAAAAAGAGTGATAATGTGTTTCAATTATGCAGTTTTTATGACTAATGATACCGAAAACAGTTGCACTTTTATATACGTGGAAGTTGTTCACCATCACCTTGCACGTATACAAAAGTGCAACTGTTGTTTCGGTACCAGACTACCAATTGTCATAAATTGCAGAATTTTGTACATAGTATCACTGTTTTCGGCCAAACAAGGAGAAATGGCTGGATTGCTAAGGAATTTCTGTACTGATCGGTCGTAATTTGAGCAAGATATGCCCAATAGGTTTGAGTTATGACAAAAAGTGATATAGGGGGACTTTTTTTTTTTTTGGTTGAGTGTATGAGGACACTTGAATTGGATTCATAAAAATAAAAACATTTCCCGACAATTCAGTTAATTTTTCTAAATGTTCTCTTTGTTTTCTCCTTTTCGTCTGTACCCTGGACATTGAGTATAAAATCAAAAGCTGATATAAAGCATGGCCTAGCACGTTCCTAATTATAACGTGCAATCATTTTGACCTTGCAAATGATCCTGTACCATATGCAGTGTGAGAGAGCAGCTGTTGGGAGCGTACTGCCCGACGCCATAGGGACGAAGGTGGGCTTGTTTATGAACTAGGTGCAGCGCTTCAACTTTCAAGGACATTTTCTCAATTTTAAGGACCTTTTTTTACTTTTTTACTTACGAAGAAATTTCTGAGGAAATGAAAAAAGGGGGAAATTTCGAGGAAATCCCCCCAAATCTAATGAAATTCTGAGGAAATTATTACATTCTGAGCAAATTCTACAATATTTTCCACAATTAGTAGCACAATGTTCTCAAAATAATATTTGTTTTATTAAATATCCTGTCAGTTTCAGAATGACTTAAACCAAGAATAGAGTAAAATTTGCTGCGCGGCTCACAGGTTGGTCTGTTTACCCTCCAGCAAACAAGGAAAGTACATGCAGTATACAGGGTGAGTCAAAATAACGAAACCCTAATGTCGGGACCATTGTTTTAGTGAAGTTCTGCATGTAGCACTGTCAAAATCTAGGATATGAAAGCCCAATTCATAAGCTTTCTTTTAGTACAAGAATCATTCAAATCACTCATGTACTTTTCAAGTTACGGGACTGTTTTCGTTACGCTAAAAAGAACGTACACAATTTTTAGTGACCCGTCGACAGAACTTTAAAAAGGGGTTGTGTTTACATTCCCAGAACTTGAAAAGTACATGAGTGACTTGAATGATTCTTGTACTAAACGAAAGCTTATGAACTAGGATTTCATGCTAGATTTTGAAAGTGCTACATGCATAACTTCACTAAAACATTAGTACCGATATTTGGAAGTCGCTTCTTTTTTTAACTCACCCTGTATTAGGCTTTTTGGTGAAATAAGGAAATCGGGGACAGATAAGGAAATTTGGCTCTCGGGATAAGAACATTCTCATCGTGATTGTGGAAGCATTGACTAGATGTTTAAGTCGCTTTTTCTCGATTATAAATTATGTACATGTACTTGATACAAGCAGGTATTAATGAAAAATATTGCGACTGTTCCTAGGAGACTGTAGCTATAGTGGACATGGACGTCGCGGGGGGGGGGGGGCAAGGGGGCTCTTTCCACCTGGAAAAGCAATAGAAAAGAAAAAAAGGAGAACAACACGGGAAAAAGAAGAAAGAATGCTGTTAATTTAAAGGAGGGGGGCCTGATGTCCCTGCTAACCCTCGAATAATGACACATCGAGTATATGCTGGAAAAGTACAGGGATTTCGGGGGAAATGTGCTTTAATTGCCCCTCTTTAAAGAAAACATCCTGGCAACGCCCATGATAGTGGAAAGACTGCTTTAACACGCACGGGGTACAGTAAAACTGCTCATTATGATCACCTTGTAAGGCTAGTTTTACTCAATTATACTACGAGCTGTCAACAGTGATACACTAGTCCATTTCCTATTGTTTTTCCCGCGCAAACTGATCGCAATTGCATACCTGATCAGATTTCATCTCATTATCTTATTACAATGCAGAAAATTAATTCTTCGTATGCAGTGTAGCCACGAACCATTTCTCTCGTTACTTCACAGCATAACTTATTAGGCATATGCTACTATATGCAAAGTCATAAAAAAATGCAATTATAAATAAGCATACAATTATTACATAAGCTCCAAAGACGTTAGAGGCAGCATTGTAAAACATAATATTGAAATCTACTGAATGATCCTGATTATATGAGTAGCCGTATTGCAGCATACGAAACACGCCATCAACAAATTAGATCATGCTTCCCAAATAACGCATTTGCCGAGGCAGCAAAAAATAAGTACAAATTTAGTAAAATTGTGATCAAAATGTTCCTTTTTACGATTCTGCACTGTTAAAACGTTGGGTAAACTACTGTTGGACAATGTAACATTGGTATGAAATTACCTCATATTGGGTTGAATTCGGTAAAAACTGTCAAACTGTTGGAAAGAATTTGCCGAAGAGTGTAGGCAGTTGATATAAATTCGACCAGCACTGGTCGAATCATCAACCCATTCTGCCCAACTATTTTTACAGTGTGGTGGACTGGCTTTTGAGATAATTTGGTTATCAATCAATATAGCCATTATCAATGGTGCAGTGTGACGATGCCTGTTAATGCCTAGTTAAATACTAATTCTGACTAATCCTTTGTTCAGCGATTTTCCTGGGTACTATGGGTATGCAACAGAAACAATAATTCCTGGAACGCATCTTTTGTTCAGCAAAGTTTTGTGGTCTATTATGTTCACCATCTCGTTACCAATAGAGACATTTCACAACGATACTTATGCAGGTAGACAAGCTATTAATGTGACTCCATTCTATATGGTGCAGACCAGTAAGTTAGGCACCCTTGATAAATACTCCACCCCAAAAAAATCGGGAAGATTAATCGCAACTCTGAATAGGTTGGAAATTGATCCATTCACAAGATCACTCCATTGAATGTAATATAGACCGACTTTTCGGTCCAACTTCATGCCCAACTTTTCAGCAATAAGTGTTTGACTTGTGTGCCGTGGTACGTGGGTTCACATCCTGACGGGGAACATGGTCCTATGCTCTTGGGCAAGGCACGTTACCATTATTGCTTCGTCCTTCAAATGGGACGTAAAGCTGTAGATCCCATGTGTTGTGTAATGCATGTTAAAGAACTCAGTGACACTTTTCGCTTAAACTTCTGGTAGATGTATGGAGAGAACAACATCCAAATGATAAACAATATACATTCAGAAGAAAGTCTCTCGATATAAAAACTAGAATTGATTATTTCCTTATTTCACGTTGTTTGGCAGACACCGTTAACTCAAGTGATATTCGACCTGCAATTAAAACAGACCATCAAGCAATTTCAATAAAAATTACCTTATGTGATGATAAACGGGGACCAGGATATTGGAAGTTTAACAGTTCACTTATTGACGATAAAACATTTGTTAATGCAATGAAATCCCATTTGGAAAAGACAACAATCAAACTCAAACTTGAATATGAAGATGAACGACTCCGTTGGGAGCTATGTAAAATCGAAATTAAGGATTTCGTTATTCATTACTCAAAACAAAAGAAAAAAGTAGAGAAAAATGTTAAACGTTTAATTACTGAAAGATTAAATTACCTAAACAAACAATGTGACGTAGAAAACGAGGAGGTGTATGAACTCCAAAACGCACTAGACAGAATATATGAACGAGAAATTGAGGGTCAAAAGGTTAGATCTCGCGAAAAGTGGGCCGAGGACGGCGAAAAAAACAGTCGATATTTTTTAGGTTTAGAAAAACGAAACGCAGTCAAAAAACACATTACTTTACTGAAAAGCGAAAATGATCGTATCATTAAAGACAAAAGGCAAATACTACGCGAAGAAAAAAGTTTTTACCAAAAATTGTATTCTTCTAACTCTGTTGAAACAAGTCAGGTGACACACAGTTTGACTATGTATTAAATAATGAACAAAAAGAGAAATGTGAGGGAATAATTACTGAGGCAGAGTATGAACGAGCTTTAAACAACTTAAAAACCAATAAAAGTCCCGGTACAGATGGTATAACAGTAGAGTTTTATAACAAATTCTGAAACCAAATAAAGACACTTTATACTGAATCAATGAATAGAAGTTACAAGGAAGGAGAATTGTCTATTTCACAACGCCGCGCGATTATATCACTGCTTTATAAAAAAAGGTGACCGCACAAACTTAAGAAACTGGAGACCAATTAGTCTACTGAACATAGATTACAAAATAGCTGCAAAAGCCCTGGCAAATCGTCTGTCTGAAGTCATAGGCCATATTATACAGGAAGACCAATCCGGATATATAAAAGGACGATTTATTGGAGATAACATTAGATTGATTGATGACACCATCCACTTTTTACACAGTAATAACAAAAATGCTGCTATCCTCTTTCTGGATTATGAAAAAGCTTTGATACGGTTGAATGGAACTTCCTACAAGAAACACTCAACAAATTTAACTTTGGAAATAGTTTCATTCAATGGATAAAAACATTGTATACAAACATACAAAGCATACATGTCCGGATTCTTTACATTAAATCGAGGCCTTAGGCAAGGATGTCCGCTCTCAGCCCTCTTATTCTTACTCGTTGCTGAGGTACTAGCTAATAGAATTAGAAGTAACAAAGACATAAATGGAATTGAATTATCAGAAACATCAAATTTGCGTATCACAATGTATGCAGATGATACGACAATTTTTGTGTCAGATCCCACATCCATAAAAAATACTACTACAAGTATCGTATCAAACTTTGGGCAAATTGCTGGACCTAAACTGAATCTTCAAAAAACAAAAGGGCTTATTATCGGCAATTTGATCATTGATACACGTTTGCTTGAATTGATAAATTGGCAAGAAGAACCAATTAAAACTCTTGGAGTTTATTTTGGAAAAAACATGAGTCAATGTTACGAATTAATTTGGGAAGAAAAAATTAAAACAGTTTTAATAAACCAACGGAGGAGAAGGGCAGAAGTAACTATATTAAACAGTCTAGCGTTACCTATATTTACCTTTCTGGCATCCGTAATCCCAACGCCACAAAAGTATATCTCAAAAATTAACAAACTTGTCTTTCCTTTTTAAATGGACGCACAGACAGAATTGCAAGAAAAACTATCATACGGAGGCTTGATGATGGCGGTTTGAACCTCATCGACATGGAAACCCATAACATGGCATTAAAATGCAACTGGATTGTTAAACTACTAAACGACACAAGCGGTAAATGGAAAACCCTTTGTAAATATTTCCTAGATTCCTGTAGTCCCAACCTTACAGTTTTGAACATGAACTTTGGGAAAACAAAATATGGGTCAACTATAACACAGTCATTACCACAATTTTACAAAGAACTAATTCTG